TAGGAAACGCGACGTATACAAGCTATGATGACACCTGTTGCTCTTGAAAGGGTGTTCGGGAAGTCGATCGGGAAATCCCCAAACAAACTAAGTAGTGTGGGAAAACTTACACACCTGCACAAATTTTTAAAGTGTACGTAAATTTAAGTCCTTTTATCTGACTTAGTTACTAGATAAGTAGGGGGACACCTGTGCATGTGTTAAGCGTTCGGTGTCCGATAATTGTGGAATTTCACTCATCTTGCGAACTCGGAAGAAAAGAAATCGTATATTGTCAGAGAAAAAAAAAATAATAGGATAACTTCTCTTCGTGCTATTATCGGCGCGATCGATCCTTCAAAACTTTCTTTTAATCGTGGCGTTGGCGACTATTTTTCGGTTTGCGATATTAAATCGGCGAACTTTCGTTTCCGGGGGTTGTTTTAAAATCGATCGCGCGGGATGTTTTTACACACACGCGTTACAAATTAAGATTTCGGTTCGGTAATATGGGAACGAAACACATGAGATTAAGAGATAATGGCTTCTGGATAGTGTAATGTGCAAAAATTGATCAAAAACGAGGCTCGGGCCTCGACTTTTGCCCTCGTTTTGGCGCAGAATGGCAGGTACATATTTGTACAGGGGTGGTGAGTGTGCGGAGAGGGTTAAAAGGGTAATGTGGAACGAGATACCGCGTTGAAATTTCTTTTTTCAGGTGATTACGTTTAGAACAGTTGAGAATACGTCGGGGTTGTGTGAAATATTTGAAATGTGCTTGAGTGGTATTCTCGGCCGCATTAGGGGTCATATTTCGTGTTCAAGAAAATGTTGAAACTTGTTTGAAATCAAAGCAGATGTTTAAATTTACATTCAGCGAACTTTGTCTCCGTTGGTATATTTTTTGGCATCAATTTTTATAATTGGTGTAACAAAAACCGGCGAAGTTATTGGGTCGAGAACGTTTCTCTAGTTTTTTCGTGTCCGTCGCATTGACAAATAATAAACACATCAAATAACGACTTCCAAATTTTCAGTACGCGAAGCGCATACAAAGCTCCGATTATTGTCTTATGCGCTACCAGCACGACCATTCCCATCGTGGGCTTTTGCCCCCGACTGTACTCAACAGCCACATAAAGTAATCCAACACCGACCGGATATGTTCTTACCTTAGTGTATTATTGTACTTAAATTTGATGGGGGGTCGTCGGTTTCTCGAACGGCTTAGGGTGCATTTAATGTCCTCGTTGGCTACCATTGTAATGTATGTGAAGAAACGTAAAGACAACATTTCCTGAGTCGGAGTTGTGTTAACTGACGGACGCAAGAAGAACGCGGAAAAAACGTAATATAGAAACCCGGATCGGTCGCTTTACATTATTAAAACGTCGTAATTTATGCGATAAAAACGCTCAAGAGGAAGTCGCTTTTCTATTTACATTGTTGCTGGATATATTAATAAATAATGTAAAATGTGGTAATAGTCCGCGTTACCTGTTTCCTTATTTGTAGCACACAATGTGTGTGGGTATATTACCTTCTGAAATTTTTTCAATGGCCGTGTTCTTTGTGCTTTCGAGTCGTGGTATATTGAGCAATAGCGTTTGTATGTCATTAAGCGTGGACGGTTTTTTTTTCGTGTTGAGCCGTTTTTAATAAACGCGATTTTACAGGTGTTGTTTGGTTGTATTTAGTTGAAAGGGATAATACGAATAGGAAGATTTCGAGGTTGTTTTGGGCGAATCGCAGGTATAGAGGGGTGTAAAAGCTTCACGCACATGTTTTAAACGTGCTCCGGTTTTATTGTCTGTTTATGGGGGAGAGGGTGAAGGAGGAGGGAAGAAATGTCAGAGGGGCAATTTCGAGATTGGGGGATTTTTATTATCTGAAATAATAGGGAAGGGAGTGTATCTTCTATTGTGATGGGTTTAAATTGTTTGCAATTATATTTTAAGGGTCCGGATTCTTACTTACTTCTATTCTCTTTTTTGTTTTCAATTAGGAACTGTAATTTTTAATGCTATTGACAAAAGAGTTTGTATGGCGATTTAAACCCACCGGGAACAAAGATTGTTTACAAAATGGATATTTTACATTTGCATTATTTTCAAGTATGACCTAACTCAAATTTTTTGTTAGCGCTGTTGACAAGTAATGTTTGTAAACGACACATTTTTTGACCAAGCGGATAATTTCCGCCAACTACTTTCAATTTTATCGTAAGCCCTATCAGACGTTAACCAAAGTTGCGTTAATAATCCCCCGAAATTCGGTGACATCATCCCAAATATGGTTAAAATAAATCTCACTTAAAATGTGGAGCATGACGTGCTATTTTAATTATGGTTTAATGATGTACTTCTATTTTTAACCCTACGTTTATGGGATATATTAAAGAAAATTTATGTATTTCTTTTTATACACTGATGATGAGTAAGGGATTACAGTGGAATTAATTAAAAGTTGTTTATCCGTCCCTTCCGAAAAAATGATGACTGTTTAAAATATATCACGTAAAACTGCATCATAAATGCAGCTTTGAAATTTATGCACCAGCATCGTTTGCAGTGTAAAGGAGAGGTAAGTTCGGGCAGTAAAGAAATCCTAAAAACATTTTTAAAAGAAATGATGATTTTGAAAATTGTGAAACGAGTTCTTCCTTCCAATTGATTAAAATTTCAGAAAAAGAAAATATTAAACGTACTAAAGTGAGAACATACAATTAAACCTGAAACATTAATGAATAACATTTTAAAAAGTAAGACGTATAAAATAGAAAGTTGTGACCCTATTAAAACCAAAATAAGCGTAATTTTATTTAATTTCGCAATTTTTTAGTTTTACGAAATATATCTATCATTATTGAAAACATTAATTAGAAAACAGAAAAATTAAAAAACTTTTCAGGTGAAACATTTACACGCTTCGCGGAATGTTTAGTGCCCGAGGCGAGGCCGGGGGCAATAGTCGCACGGAGGCGAAAAGTAGCTTATTGAAATTAGTTCTATCGTTAAATAACTGCGTTCGCTTCTAGTGTTTCTCAACGTCTCAACTTGGATGTTTATGCCGGTAGTTTAAATTTTCAATATTACATTTCATTTTTAGCACCATCGAACAACACAACTTTTGTCGTTTCACTTGTGACGCCTCACCATGACAGCTCTCTTATTTAATGCCACTTTTCCGTAAAATACAGTCTTTACTTCGCGATATAATGAAATAAAACCCATATTTCGTACCACTTTCTGTCATAAATTAATGTTTCTTCTTAGCCAAGCAACCACTCTTCGAGATACTACATTCCGAGAAAATATGTAATTGTGCATTTACAGATAATTACACGAAAGAAATATTGTCGGCTTTATTAACAAAACCTGATTCCTGAAACTCGTTAATTCAATGGAAGTTTTTTTCTTATTACGGCAAGAATTAATTGTGGCAGAATAAACGCGCAGTCCTTTAGTCATTTGCGCCATTTTAGCGTTCTCCCATCTAAATTCTAAACTGGACAGAACCGTCCATAATCCTTCCCATTCAACTTTCGTCAATAAATTAAATCCGACAATAAACACGTAATAATTCTTGCGCATTCCGCGTAATGCGCTCAATGAAACATATGGATGTTTACTACTTCAAGGACGTCAAAGTAATTTTTTCTCTCAAATTGGTAATTAATTCCTCACATACCTTTCAATTTATTAATGTTTTTTGCATTTTGTACGCGTTTCAGTCAACAAAGAAAATTCCAGCTAATCTCTGAACATGCATTACGCTGAAAAAGGAGCCGAGCGTTAAGGGGGATTCACGCCGTGAATACCAGACAAAGGAGAAAAATTCGCGACGCGGTTGGCGGGGAGAGGTCCCGATAGGTGACCTCGTCTCGACAAAAATTCTGAACTCCCGTATTCTAATTCTGACCTACTTATTTTTGGTGTCTGGGAGACAAGAAATACTTCGAAAGCGATGTACCTCAGGGGGTTTGTACATGTCTGTCATTATTGAATTTAAAAAAAAAAAAAACAATAAAACCCTGTCTGGATATTTATCAAATGATTTGTATTATAAAAGTATTAAAAAATTAATTTAGAAGTACTTTGGAATACAGTTGAAGTGAAAGTCATGACACTGCATTTGGAAATAGTTAGCAACACTTACGATAACACTAGAGTTCAAGTTTTAATAAATCTGATTGGATTAGGAGATAATCAGTGTAAGTTCTTATTTGTCTAAGTAAGTTCAGGTCGTCAGCATATAACAGACATTCAGAATCTAGATCTAGGGTAAGTAATTTATAAAAATAATGAAGAACAAATGTCTCAAAGTAACTAGTACTGGAAAAAACTGAAAACCACGGTTACCACCTGTGTTCTGCTAATTAAATAAGATGTAAACAATTTAATGAGAGAATCTGAAATGCCAAAGTTGTTAAATTTTTCTAACAGTCTATAGGGGTTCAGTGTGTCGAATTGAAAAAGATTATATTTATAACTAAAACAACCATGCTGTTGTGAAGAAACCTATGATCGAACATGACCCATAATAACATCGTAGAGTAATATTCCAAAGACTTTTGAAAAGTTAAATGAGAAAGAGTCTGTAATTTTGAACTTGAAAATCTTTTAATTTGGAATAGAATGTTGAATATGCTGTGTCCACGTCACTGCATTCAGACTCAAAAGACCAATTAGTGTTCATAATTAAAGTATACAATTTAGGAAAATTGGGTTTTCTGAAATTGTAAATTAATTATGTTTTTAAAATTTAGATTATGTCTATTTTTGTGCAAAGAACACATCAGTGATATAAATATAAACTTGTAATGTTCATGTTCCGCTGTGTAACAAAGTGAAGTGCAAATTGTCTCCATAGTTCTCGCGTACAAACGGCGTTCCTGCGGGCCGCCGTCGCCGGCCGTTGTCGACTAATTGCGTCCGTACGTGTGAAGCGGGCCTAACGAGGTTGTTTTGCGTGGCGATCAGTGCCAAGCAGTCTGAGTGCGTTGTGTCAGCGTCTGGTGGTGGGGTCCGCAGTACGCGGCTACCGTGTACTGTATAGTTTCTGTTATTGCACTTACGCCTTCCGTCGAACGCGAACCGCCTCTGATCACCCTGTACACACTTGCGAGTGCCACCGTACGTGCCGTTTTTGCGCCTCGCCGTAATAATCGCTCGGTCGTACGTGAAAGTGATTTCAAGCGGAGGGTTGACGGCGTCTATTAAATATTAATGCGATATAGAGTGGCCGCGGCAAAGTTGAAGGATACGTAATTATTACGTTCGTTCTGGCATAAAGTGGAATATTGGTATTTTTATCCGAGGAGTATGTGTGTTACGAATGATTTATTGTGGCACGGCGCACAATGTTACACTTTCTACGGGGAATTGGAGTTGGTTTCAATGCTTGCGATAAACTTTTAACCCCCGATGTGAAAGTGGACGCGCTAATTGCGACGAGTACGTAGCGGGATATGGAATACCAGAACGAGGGGTTTTACTTTGGGAAGGGGTTCTGGAAGTCCGGGGGCGGCAACGTGCACACGGAGAGTGGGGTGAGATTTGTTCTTTTCTTTTTTTACAGTAAAGTGTCTTTTTTTAATAACTTTCAGCTAAAGATTTTGCGCCTTTTGTGAAATTCATTTATATGTATATTCGTAGAGAAGAAGAGGGGAACCAACAAAATACGAGCATCACTTTTTCAATATATGTTTTCAAATTTTCACGATTAATGGTTGCAATGTTGTTTAAATTGCGTAACCATAATTAAAATAGAAAGTAGTCATACTTACAATATTATTTTTTTGGTACAACCCCCTACAGATTCTGTCGAAACTGCAGCCAATGTTGCCTCTAACCACAGGCACTGTGCATTCGAAGGCATTAATGAGACCTTGAAATAATTAAACGTGTTTGAAGGATATCATCGAAGGATTTATAATAGCGGCGTCTTTCACCTGAAATTTATGGTGACTTACAAATTCTTGGTTTTTAAAGTTCATTATTGTGCAAATATTCAATTTGTAAGGACAGAGGACATTATTTAAAAAATGGAAAAGCAATTTATATAAAAATTGTTTTATTTGGAAAATTAAAAATGTCATCGATGAATACGACGTTACTTATGAAATAACATTAATTGTAAAGAATAAATTCATTCGCTAAAATTAGTTATTTTATGACGACAACCATTGGTGCTCTGAAAATTTAATTCGTGAATTGTAACAATGCAAAGGACTTAGGAAGTTTCCTAGACCCTAAATTACATAATGAGGTCTTCATCACGTTCATGTATTTGCTTTTGTTGTATAATTGATGTTCTGTCTTTTTTTTAACGTGCAAATAATTTTGTATTCTGTTCAATGTTCCCAGTGTTACTTACATCAGTTGTGTATATATTAAAGACAAGTAGACTCAATTGAGATCCTTGCTATATGATACTTCACTTTTCTATAAAAGACTCTCAAGGAGAAAATTAAACTTAGCCCCGCCCACCCACCCCGTCTTTTCTCTTCTATTTTTCTTCTGAAATAAGAAATAAATCTCGACAGATTTTCCTGAAATAATTAAGGGTCGTGACCAGAAGGAAGAGGCGGTGGGTGGGCGGGCCTATCGCTTTTCTATAAAAGACTGTCTAGGAAAAAGTTTAACTTAGCCCCGCCCACCCACCCCCTCTTCTCTCATCTATCATTCTTTTGAAATAAGAAATAAATCTCGACAGGTTTTTTTTAAATAATTAAGAGTGGTGACCAGAATGAAGAGGGGGTGGGTAGTTGGGCCTATTGCTTTTCTATAAAAGACTCTCTAGGAAAAAGTTAAACTTAGCCCCGCCAACCCACCCCGTCTTCTCTCATCTGTTTTTCTTCTGAAATAAGAAATAAATCTCGACAGATTTTCCTGAAATAATTAAGGGTGGTGACCAGAATGAAGAGGCGGTGGGTGGGCGGGCCTATTATCGCTTTTCTATAAGACTCTCGGGAAAAAAGTTAAACTTAGCCCCGCCCACCCACCCCCTCTTCTCTCATCTATTATTCTTCTGAAATAAGAAATAATTCTCGACAGGTTTTCCTGAAATAATTAAGAGTGGTGACCAGAATGAAGAGGCGATGGGTGGGCGGGCCTAGGCTTTTCTATATATAAAAGACTCTAGTAAAAAGTTAAATTTAGCCCCACCCACCCACCCTCTCTTCTCTCATCTATTATTCTTCTGAAATAAGAAATAAATCTCGACATGTTTTCCTGAATTAATTAAGAGTAGTGACCAGAATGAAGAGGGGGTGGGTAGTTGGGCATATTGCTTTTCTATAAAAGACACTCTAGGAAAAAGTTAAACTTAGACCCGCCCACCCACCCCCTCTTCTCTCATCTATTATTCTTCTGAAATAAGAAATAAATCTCGAAATGTTTTCCTGAAATAATTAAGAGTAGTGACCAGAATGAAGAGGGGGTGGGTGGTTGGGCCTATTGCTTTTCTATAAAAGACTCTCTAGGAAAAAGTTAAACTTAGCCCCGCCCACCCACCCCCTCTTCTCTCATCTATTATTCTTCTGAAATAAGAAATAAATCACGACAGGTTTTCCTAAATTAATTAAGAGTGGTGACCAGAATTAAGAGGGGGTGGGTGGGCGGATGATACTTTGAAGTTCGTTTATTAGATGACTATATAACATACTTAATAACAGTATGAAGATTAAAAAATGCGACGTTAGTTTAGAATAACAAATTGTCATCCAGTATAGATGTATTTTTAAATTAACGCCCTTAGCTCAACACGGCGGTGTGAAGTATGTAATTCAATTTTTAAACAATACAACACACTTGATTATACAAGGGCATACTATTAGTTAAAATAACTAGTTACATATTTGTACATTGTATCGAAGTCTTTGCGAAATGTTTTATTTCATTACTAAGGCCATTTGACTTTAATATACGATTTTTATATTTTGTCTGACTGTGCTCATGTGACTAACATGAAACTTATAAATAGTGCAAATAATGCTATTAATTCTAAACTAAATACAATTTTTGTCTACAAATTTGGGACACCCAGTATATTTTTATCATTTTCTTTTTTTAATAAAAAACGTGCATATACTGTTTTAGCTTTGCATATTATTAAGTGTTTTATTATCAACATACAACATACTCCACACAATGGAGTTGTACGAAATAAATGTCACCGTAATACCTAAAATGTGCAATTATATTATGCGCATGTGACATCTGACGATAGAATCCCGTATAAAACCGAGTTTGGGATTCCCAGAACCAATTTAAACGAAAATTTCGCTTCCTTCGATGGGGGAAGGGCTTCTGAGACTGCAGGGCGACAATGTACGGACAAGACACGGATTGATTTTTTTTAGGGTGTCACGTGGTTGCTTTAATTTTTGATAGTTTTTTGCACGTATGCAGAGATGGGTGGCACGGCGGTATTTTGTACGTGTGAATGCATTTTTTATAGGACACATCGTGACGATAAAGATTGAGTTTATGGTTATGGCGTCGCCGGATTTTTATAAATTTATTTTAGAGGGAGTATTTTTCATGCAGAGACGAGAATTGCCATTGTCATGCCATTTTTTATTGTGCTTGAATAGCTTGTCATGCGAAGAATTTGAAACTTTTTCATTTTAAAACAAAGGTACGTTTAATTAGGACGAAAACGCCCAGGGTAGCATTTAGGGGATAATTTATTCATTGTTCTTTCTCGAGTATTGTGGTTAATATTCTCCTTACATTGGCTATTTTAGTAAACACACACCTAACCAATTACTTCGATATTTTAAATGTATCTCAAGATTATCGTGAAGGTTTTAAAACACGACCGAATTTATGTGTAGTTATCGGGATGTCGGACTGAAAAAACCAGACCCGTTTGCTTCAGCAGTTCGGCTTTGTGTTTTAAAAGCTGCTTGGAGACTACAATTTCGTTAACACATAAACTCCGTCATAATAATTAAACGTAACAGGTAAGATTGCAATCGTTTTAATTAAGAAAGAGATTTTTAACGTGTTTGTAGTCCTCAAGACGCTTTTATGCGCAAACAAGTCTGCTTCTTTCCAGATGACTACATAGAAATTATCGAGAACGAATATAAATGGGTCGATTGAAAATGACTGAATTAGCTTCGGTCGTTTTTAACTCCCGAGATATTTTTATTGGTTTCTGATCACACTTTACCAATCTTACGTGAGTCTCATTTCGCTTTCATCCGCATCAACAAGTTGGTGGGTGTTAAAAAATTATTATTTTATTATTAATTCCGCATATTATTCATTTATTCATCCCTTCTAGAAGAACGATGACGTCATAGAAAGTTATCTTTTTGTGGTCTCAATTAAATAATTTTGAAAAAGTCACACAAGCCATCGCTTTTTATAAATTAGCGATGAACGCGGAACGCCGATCTAAACAGATTTGTTTATGTTAATTGTATTCTGAATTTAACAACTTTATGCCGTCAGTAATGCTCAAGGTAATTTATAGCACGAGTTATAGGCACATAATTTAATTTAATAGAGGCACCAAACAGTACACCTGCCAGGTAAGCATTCAGGTTCCCATTTTAAAAACTTAGTAACGATGATCACGTCCGAATTAGTAGGTTTACTTACTTTCGGTAAAAATTTCGAAGTATCGCGTTACAATAAACGACCCGTCAAAGCCCACCAACATTCTTCTAGTTCCGGAATCGGCCCGCTTATGACGCAACAATCATCCAGTTTCTACACATCTGCTGATTTCTACATTCAAAATTAAGTTGCTCAAGAAGCTAATTTAATTTTAAAATAAATTACGCGCTTAAGTTGTCCGTGTTTACATGCTCTTAAACAATAATAACATGTTTTAGTATTAACAACAAGAAAAATATGCATCGGCGGCTACGCTGTAATTACCAGTATCTCGTGTTGTTATTTGTCCACAAGTAATTAAAATTTGATTTTTTCGCCGATTAGACTAGTTTCGCAACGGCGTTTATCTTTTCAGCGAAACTGGCGGCGAGTTAAAGAGCTGATGGTAAAAACGCAGGTCATGAGTGACCATTTTTAAATTTTAAATAAATAGAATGTGAAATCTGAATCATAATTGGCAGCTGATGAGGAATGTTTCGTGCCGGATTTTAAATTGGAACTAGTATACATGAATCGAAATAAGACAAAAAAGGAATCACCGCAAGATTTAATTCAGAAATCGTAATAAGAATATTGGATCGAACTGCCACACTAAAAATTCTACAAACGGCTCATTAAAATTATACAGGTGTCCCAAGGTCTGATGGCGGAAGATTACATAGTTCCGGTGCGCTATTGAAAAAGTGTTTAACACATCAAGTCTGGACTCATTTAGATTTGCAAATTAAAATCGTTTCATTGTACAGGGTGTTTTAGAATTTTTTTTGTTTTAATTGAGAAGATATCTCCAAAGTCTTGATTTGTATACTGCTGAACTTGTCATTTAACTTGGCTTTTACCAATACAATTACTCTTGACATAAACATAATCTACTTGTGTTAATCATTCGTAAATCTCTCAGGATCCTTGATCGCTGAACTATTTACGTCCCGAATTCCACGTCACCGTCCAGGTATCCCAGTCGATCGACGTGGAACTAACCAATTAAATAATAATAGAATATAGATTGAAAAATTATACGTTCCTGTATGATGCACAAGTTCATTTCCTCGACGAATGCCATCGCTCCGCGTTCTTTAATGACCGAACAACACCCTGTACACGAAAAAAGCGGCCCTCGTCGCGTCCCAGCAGTAAAACATTGGGACGGAACCGAGACATTGATCTATCTGTATAAATAAAGACATAAACGATGATGTGGCGAAAAAATGGAGATATAAAACTCGTACGAGAATATTATATTGACGGAATATGCTGAATGGTCGTTCGAGAGCGACCCACGAGATAATAAATTTTCCTTATGCGGAGAGGCGAATAAAACGGGTGGACAAAAGGACAACATTTATGGGCGAATCAGGCCGGGAGGGCGGTCGGCTTTCGGTTTTTGCATGTACCGACATTATTAAGGTTTAATTAGCGAATTTTAGTTATTTTCTTTTGTATCAGTTTATCCAGTTTGTTGGAATCGGACTTCTTAGTACAGCTTTGACGCTGCGTTCTCTCTTATTGGTTTACGTGGCCGGAGGATTCATTCATAAATGTCACTTTTGTATTAACTAATGATTGTTTATTTTATTTTTGTTCCTTGCGTCAAAAGTGAAATTATATAATTATGTTTCTGCAAATGTAGTGATAGCACTAGTGAACATTTAAATTGAAAACATTTACAATTTGCTGTTGGGTATTGTATAAAAAATAACACTTTTCTTGTATTCTAGTATGGTTCGGACGAATTCAATGACTCTCCCCGCTACACCTCGCCCAACCCTAGCACAGGCTACTACCTCGGCGCCGACGGTACCCCGGGTACCGTCGGCGACTGGCACCCATCGTATGGCACCTCGACGACGTACCAGGCCTACGAAGCCTACGGTCTTATCCCAGAAACGGAAGGTCAAGGCTTGCCACCCATGTCCTCCCTAAGGCCAAACGGTACCACCGTCACCACCATGTCGGGAACGAACAATTCGGCGTTCGGACCCACAAATCATACAGACGGCATTAGTAATAAGGTATTAGGGACAGTGAGTATTTTTCAATCATTTAATTCCACAAGGGATACTTTAAATACGTATATCTAGGAAAAAGTGGTTACAACGAAAAGATATACCTATTTAAATTTCTATTACACAGTTTCGTGATAAGAAGAAAATAATGTTCTTTTTTTTTGCAGATTTATCCAATCGCAGAACAAGCTAGTGCGAGTAGTTATAGTTCGGCCCCATCGACGCCGGTTAGTTCACCGCCTCCGTTAGCGCCATCTAGCTGGTTGGCGAATCACACGACTCCACATTCACCCCACTACACACAGTCGGTCAGTGTGAATAATAGTGCTGCACCTCAGGGTTTACATATGGTGAGTGAGGTAGGGGGATGGAGGGGTTAAGGAGGTGCTCAAAAGTGAAAACGTTTTGATGTTCCATGTGACTAGCAGGGTGACGCTTGAATTGACAGCTTTGACATTTGTCGTAAGGCTTATTACAGGGTGCTCTCTGTGTTAGAGGGATGTTGGGAGCGATATTTGATTTGGGTTTTTAAGAGTGACGAGCTCGCTGCGCTCGCTGGGTGCTGCAAATGTCTTAAATAATAAAGTTTTTTGTATGTTTAATATTTCAATTTTTGTTTGTTCGCTTTTATTGTTTTTATACCCTTAGAAAGAACGAAAAATTTCAATGAATCAAGAACGGTTGTCATTACGCCCTATCGAGTGTTGTCCATTTTATCTGATACAAGGTAAAGATCAAGTTCAATAGCAAATTGAGTAATATATAAAACAAAGGGTCGAAAATTGCACGTTTGAATTTTTTTTTATTGCAATAATTGGCAATTTTTAAAGATAGATTTAGTTTATATGTAAAAATGACTTCAAGAAATCTTAAGACCATGAAATGTATTATCAGTGGTCCCCTTTTTGTGTTTAAAAAAAACAAAGTTACTAAATATTAAATTTTTAAAAATGCATAATATGTGTAAAATGTCTTCTCAAAATTTGCAAGTAATTCTTTTTTAAAAAAACCTTATGGGTTTTTACAATTTATCAAATTTACAAAACTTAAGTACCATAATATTTGATACTTTAAGTGTAGAACCTCAAAAATTTTGTTAAATGGACCCTTGACAGGCATGTTAAAAATCGGTACTATATAAAAAACAATTCTGGAAAAAGTTCTAAATGTTGCACCACCGTTTCGAAAACCGCAGCCGTCAACAGTTGAAATCTCAACCTGGCGCCGCTCTGCGGTCGCGTGGAACAATGGGCTGCGGCGAAAGGCAACTCGCGATCCTTATCCGCCCAATTATACCAAATAAGACCAACAAACCCATATATGAATCAATTAACCCACTGTATGATTTCATTTGTGTATTCACATTTTTATCTCGATGTCATTCTTTCCAGCTTAAGCCCATTATGGAAAACCAGATCAGTCTTATTTGGAACCTTTCCATATCGATCGCATGCCAAATGCTAACTTTGATTACGATTTTTCCTGTTTGCACTTTTGAGCACGACCAACAACTGAATGAGTTTTTATTTTTTTGCATTGGAGCTTCTCTAAAATTTGGCGACTTTGTTTTCAAGACGTTCCCGAACATGTAAAGTAAAAAAAACCCCGACGGAAGTGTACGCTCGACGCGCCCCTCGACCGTACACCGCCGCAACTTATAGTAGTTTTGTTTTTCGTTGTTTTGTGTTTGCATGGTGTTTTTTGTTTTTGTGTGAAGCCTCCCGCCCCTGAAGCGCAACGCTTAGACGATGCAATAGGGTTTTTACGGGATCACGCTGAAGTAAATGTAAGTCCATCCAAATATTTTTCCGTAGTGAGTAGTTCATTTCTCGATCACGAAATTCTTGCATGCGTTTACGACGTCCTCCTGCTCGGGGAATTCTTCAGAGTGTGCGTTTCAGGGAACACGAATGGAAGAAAGACTGGACGACGCGATCAACGTGCTGCGCAACCACGCGGAGCCACAAATTACGATCGGGCAGCTTCCACCGAACCTGGCGCAACACCAGATGACGTCCCTCGGGTACACGACGGCGGCGGCGGCGGCGTCCGAACCGCACATACCGGACACGGTCAAGGTGGAGCGGGCAACATATAACACGAGTATGTCAGAATTAAACTGGGCTCGCGGGGGCGAGAGCACGTGCGTCGCGGATTAGTTCAGACTGTTTACGGGGGTTGTCTCACTTCACCCTCTATAAATAAAAAGGCAGCGCCTGGGAACTAAATGACCGCACACACTAGAAACTGTCCGAGGGATTTTCGCCTCTACCGTTCAATGCTGGTTTGACGCATGTCCCACTTGAACACAGAGAAGCATAATTTAGACTCTCTAATTTGTATACACTTTTTTAATTATTGTATATATTACAAGTATAAAGATGTTTTTAGTTTTGTTGTTTAATAAATAAATAATTTCATTTTTACTTGTAAAGTTGTAAAAGGATCCATCTGGTGACCGGCTACTTTCGTATTTTCCTGACGTTTCATGACCCCTTGAGGACAAAAAATTCCGGTCCGTCTGTCTGTCTGTGCGTGTTTATTAGACAGACAATCTCCGAAACTACTGGACTAATTGATGTGAAATTTTTATGTTTTAACAGTGTACTAGAGACGATAAAATACTAATCAAAATTTGTCTGATCATCCGAACCAACAATTTAATGAAGTTATTCCAAACATTTTTACATAGTAAATGCTAAAATCTTTGATCAGTCGGTGCACGGTAGCACCATAACGTTTATTACACTCCAGCACTCAAAACAAAAGTTTTCGACTCACTTCACCGATGGAAGTATGTACTTGTAAAATCTGTAATCATTAAAAAAGTGAATACAAACTAATGTTGTTGAAAAAAAAAATTAATTTCAGTTTAATCTTGTTTTTTAGAACAGTGTATGTTTTTTAATTATTTCATGTTTACCAATATTACCAATTCTGCGCATAAAGTTGATATATTTTCAAACCCAGCGCCAAATTCTTACCGACCAGTAGAGACGAAATTCCTTTGAACAATCTCTGGTTTATGCGGCAAACCAGTTCTCTTCGACGCACCCCTAATTTTCGCCCCCGCCCACGAGCTCACCTTTACCGTTCTGATTGCTTGTTATGTGCAGAAAAACGCAAAGAGCCTCCAGACAGTGACACGAAACCCTCAAGCTCTGTAGAAAGTATTGCACAGCCCAACTCGACGAGCGGACCTCCACCGAAGACGACAAAGAGGTCGAGGAGATAGTGAGTGTCGCTTTATACTTATTTACTTATTTTTTATTGAGGGGTTGTCAAATGTTTGGCGATTCGTGGGTCAAATCGGGTACAGAGTAGTTTTTTCGTTTGGTTTTTGAAAGTTGACAGGGGACCCGATTTGACCCAACTTTGCGAGTCACGTTCGGCGTGATTCGCACTTTTTAATGCGTAGCTGTTCAAGTAATGGAGACGAAGATGAAATTGATGATCCGAGCAACAAGGCCGTACGCGAGAGAGAGCGTAGGCAGGCCAACAATGTCCGGGAACGGTATGTAAAGAACGGCACACTTTGTAATTTTTTTTATTTTTTATTTTAACACATCCTTTTATCTGTCCTTTTGTAGTCGTTGAAGTCGAACTTTTTTTTTAATTTTGACGGTACAGAAACATAAGTGACATCTATGAAAGGTTTACTTACTTACCTTCGTGTATGAAAAATGTATTTTTCGCTGAAAACACGGAACTAACTGAGAAGGCACTAAAAATCTTATTGCGACAAGAATTAATCGTAAAGTGTGAGATTTGTTGACGTTATGCTCTTCAGTGTCGGATTTTAATATATCGTTTATTAAATTGTCAGATATTTATAGAGTTTGTGGCATACTTAAGTTTTATCGACGATTATTTGCATGCGGTTGAGACATATTATGAATTGTGGAATAGATACGAAAGAAGTATTTCCCGTGTGAATAGAGAGGTTCTAAAAATGAATATAAGATGACCTACATAATTCTCGAATTGGAAAATTAAAAAGAAATTCCGCGTATACCTTTATGTTTACTTTTAAGGGGGTATTGGTCACTTGCGCGCCGTGGTTAGTTTACCCCATGTGTGAATATTAAATTGTTTATGGTATTAACGCTTAAAATTATATACAATTTTTTCTGACCGTGGTGCGCAACTAACCCATGGCCCCTTAAAGGCATCACCGATTTTTTTCCCCGGCTGTCCTATTAGTCGGTGGATTATTTTGTAGTGAAATCTAAGTTTAAGAATAAGTACAATAGTATACAAAAATAGACTAAAAAGTGTTATGGCAATTGTTACACGCTATCACTCCACAGCTGTTTGTTTGTGAATACAACACTGCTATTTTTGAATATTAAAAGCACTTATTATTTATATGAGATTTGGTTACAAATATTCAAAAATTATATGAGTTTAACTCTTAATTTGTATTTATTTCGGGGCCCTTTCATATTAAAACTTGCTAATATTGAAAGTTGTAATAACTAACGATATACTGGAAATTTATTGTCCAACGCATAAGTGATCGAATATTTTAAATCGTTGAGCTTTTGTCTAAATTTCACCAAGTATATTGATTTGAAGTCCTGAATTTTCTATATCAGTGTATTTGTTTTCAGAGGACTTCAAAGGTAAGGCATATTTCACACTCTCCTACTAAGAGATTACGTCAATGATGATGTCTGAAGCAGTTTCTATGTGTTTCTCTGAATTTTCTTCCAGAATATTATTTATATTTATTTAATTTCTTGCGCTTCGTCACATGGTGTGTTCTTTTTTTTCCGGACACTATTTTCCTTTTTCTTTGTCGCTTTATGTAAAATTTTGGTTCGACATTCAACTGTTCAGAATTTGTTTGTTTTTTTAAGTAGATGTTTTTGACCTTGCATTCTTACTATTTTCCTGTAAACACTATTAATTTCTGTTTCTGATAATATAAGTTGCACAAAAATATTAATTTAGGTTTTATATGTTCTAAACAAGTAAGAAAAAATGTAAGCCACTTTTACACTGAGTACCTTTGATGTGTTAAAAACGTCCAAAAAGTGTGTGATTTTATTTAACTTTAAAAGGTGGTGGGTGGAGCGACAGTACGGAGCGGTAATTGCCATAGCACTCGATTCAATCAATGTTTAATGAACACTCAACTTGTCATTAAAATTAGCTTCGGCGGAATACCGATTTCTCAAATAATACAGGAGTGATTGCTGAGGTTGCTCTACGGCATTTTATTTATTGCCATCACAATAATGAGACCATATTATGAATGTACAAAAAAAGGCACCCGACACGCCATTTTTAGAGACTTTTCAAACTTTTAATGCGAACATTGTAAAACTATATGGTGGTATTTTTCGCCAAATGAAATAGACGAAATACAAATGCACATTTATGCAAATAAAGATATACAATTTGGTAACTTTTTTGACAACCGTGATTAATAAAAATAAAAATCCGACGTTATTATTCCGATAAAATTCACTTACTTGTTCGCCGTCGCAATAATAGTTACCATTCTTCACAGCCTATGTCATTCAAATGACAAAACGATACTTACTTCCTCAACACATCCCTCTAAATGTCAGCACCCACCCATTAAAAATTCTCCAAGGCCCACATTCAGAAAAACAAATGTTACGTCACCTCACCGATGACGTAACATTCGTAGTTAAGAATTCGGCCAGCATGCGTAGTTGTTTAATGTTTTTGCTATTTTTCGTTTCACTGTTCCTTATTATTTTACAGAAACACTATGAATATGGGCCTTGATATACCCCAAGTGTGCTATTAAAAAAAAAAAAAAAAAACACATCAATTTCATTCTTCTTGCCGTTACCACTTATTACCTCTACTTACGTCTATAGTAAGCGATTAATAGTTGTTCCAGTGCTGATGAGACGGAAGAAGGTGAACTAGATCCAGATATTAAAGCACAAAGAGAGAAAGAGAGGAGGCAAGCGAATAACGCGAGAGAGAGGTGCGGAAAAGTGTATTTTGGCCTATATTCATTCACTGTGTTTCACTGTCTCTTCCTAACATTTATGTTCTCCGCTTCTTCACGGTTTCTCTCTTTTAGGATACGGATTCGTGATATTAATGAAGCTTTAAAAGAGCTGGGAAGGATGTGCATGGCGCATCTCAAGACCGACAAACCCCAAACGAAGCTCGGTATTTTAAATATGGCCGTAGAGGTCATAATGACGCTGGAGCAGCAGGTCCGAGGTACGCGATTCTAATATTTGAGCTTCTCGGTTTTATCGTTATTTGTTTGTTAGAACGGAACCTGAATCCCAAGGCTGCTTGCCTGAAACGGCGGGAGGAGGAAAAAGCAGAAGACGGCCCTAAATTAGGGCCCGGACCTCACCACATGCTGACGCAGCATTACCCCACATTACCGGTAGGTGTACCCGGCTTAATAAAACCTGACCCGGAGACGAACGTAAACCTAGGTGGCGCTGGAAACGGGCGATTTCTCCTACTGTTTGTTTAAAAATTAATTACCTGTTGAATTAAATTGGTATCAAATAAAACAAAAATGTCATGACAATGACAATGCCGGTTTAATTTTCGTTCTATGTTGCCGGTTGAGTGGTCTTTTAATTTTTGAACAGAACATTTGAATCGCTGTAATTGATCACAGACAAAATTAGTGACAATGTGGATTAGCAACAATAGCTTAACTTGATTTCTTAAAATGTTGAAGCTTTAACGATTAGATTTAAGTGGAAAAGTGACAGATGCAAAAAATAACCTAAAGTTAGATATGACAAAGGTTATGTTTACCAAAACTCAGAAAAAGTAATGGCTTTTTTAAATGCATGATTTGACACTTTGGTGACAATATGCTGTTGATGCAGCTTATAATAAATCTTCTGAAAATTTTGACGCATGTAACTAAATTTTGTCTGTGACTATACCATATTTGAATCCCAATCGCATTCAGCACCACCTGTCGGAAAAATGGCCGTAACATCCCATGACGCAACTCTTTGTTCCAGGGTGCTCCTGCCAATTTGCCTCACAATCCAGGCCAGCCGCAATAGCACTGCTAACGCGGCAGGTCTGCCACCTGTACATAACTTATTCGTACAAACGGCTCTCATCATTTGTTCATCAAACATACAAATTATATTATATTTTTTTAAGAAATGTTCTGTAGTGATACCTAGCATGTTTTCACATTAATTTTCACTTTACTGAAATGAATCATGAGAGGTTTGATGACAATTTTAACAATAGGCCCGACGAACGCCCGGAGTCGCCCTTATTTATTTATTCAAACAAAGTCGAACAATTTTGCGTGCCAAACGTCGTTACAATACTCTTACTATAGAAACACATACGTATTTGATCTCTCTATGCCATTTCGTGACAAAATTGTGCCATTTCGGAACCGTTGTCGCTTTGCGAGCGAAAGCGACGAGGGTTTTTTCGCGCTCCGAGCGCCCGTCGGCCCCGAATATATGCGCCAGTATTTTGAAAATTATGACTTATAGAACTTTTCCGGGAGTCAGAGAACCGGCGAAAACTGTAAATAAGTGTTCATTCGCGCGGCCGGCGACCCTTCCCGAGTATTTTGATATGCAATATTTAATTTATGTATTACGCGGGGGAGGGGCTGCCGGCCTTGTCTTAAAATATATGCCATTGAAAATGAACATAACTTAAGATATTACTTATTTAATATTAAACGCTCTGTTTATCCACTGGACTATTTTTATATCTATATATTTTATTTGAGCGGTAGATTTTTTTTTATTATTCTACTAAACTTAGTGCAACTTTTTTAAATTTAGTTTGGTGTTCAAACTATAACCAGATCACTATATCGATAAATTTGTTCATTATTTTAATTTTAAGTTTTATGTAATATTTAACTTTAATTTTATTAGGTATATTTTATTTTAAGGTAAACATGTAATTTTGCATTGTTTCTCTTAGCTTTTTAGTGAATCTTTATTTATATTTGTTTTTATTGTTGAAAGCTCAGTTTGAATTCCGACGAGTTCAACATATAGTGTATATTGTTGCAATGCAATCTGGACTTGAAAATTCTGCAATACGCGTAATGGCATAGTATATTTCATTCCACCGGCAGCCATTTTGTACTACTTATTTATTAGGCAGCAAATGGAAGACATAGCGGCAGCCGTGCATACACACAATCATCTTCTATTTTGGCTCAATTTTCAATATTGGTGCAACTACTTGTTTTTTTTTTACTTTATTTTTATTATTTTTTTAATTATTTGTGAAGCGAATCTTGACAGTCGCATCGTTGTCTACAATAAATTACACACATTGTTTAGACATTTGATAAATATATTTTTTTAGTTGGTGGACAACGTGTCATTTTTGAGATTTGACTTGAATCGATTAGACGATTGTAAGTAAAGCTTACCTTGACATGTATAAACGTTTAAAGCGGATGTGTTTTTAAGTATATAAAAAGTATATATGAATAAAATACTGCGTGATGAAAAAGTAAATTTAAGATATACAGTTAGACTACGGTATAAAATGAATATCAATGTAATATACAATACGTACATAATATACTATGTGCCATTTTTCATAATCAACTATTTCATTTTAGTTCACCCAGGCGATCTGTGTCTCCTTCTCCTTCCGGTCTCCATTCGCCTCTTTCGCAGTCGACTTCCTCGCCTTCTTTGGGAGCAAATTACCAACGATATTGATCCCTAAGTTCCTGTTCCTAGTGATGTCCTTCAGAATCTTAGAAAACCTGTACCGCTTTTTCCTCGACAGATTCTTGACGACGTTGAGGTTCTTCTCGTGCATGGGATTCGTGCCCACGTTGTCCAAGTTGATAACCTTGGCCGTGTCCAGGACGGGCCCGAGGGTGGAAATCGCACGAGACACGCCCACCTAGAACGTAGACAACGACAGTTACGCCACCTATCGTGCAGGTGCAAGTATTAACATTTACATTCCCGTGTCTGACAAAGTGCTCAGTCAGATCCGCACCGAGCAGCTCGACGTGTACCTCCATGCGGATGGTGACGAACTTGTTGATGGTCCAGAGAAGAATCATGGACGAGACGAGCCCCCAGGCGGAGAGGCAGACGCACGCCAGACTCTGCACACCGAGGAGGTACCACCCGCCACCTGTTGACGTTGTATGACATTTATGTGAATAAAAACTTTGCATTTTTATAATACTGTTCGTGAATTAATCTGTATCGTGATTACCTCTAAGCAGACCGCTACGACCGCTCGTGGTCCTGAGAGGGTAGGGATCTTGGGCGAAAATTCCCACGGCTAAAACTCCCCAAATCCCGCCCACTCCATGTACGGCACTAGCACCAACAGGATCATCGATCCCCAGCTAAAAACCGTACGTTGAATATTAAACTCTAGAAAAATAACGAACTACCTTGTCGAAAAGTGGCATGAAAAGGCAAGCTAATAGAGCACCGATACAACCGATTAGTAGAGCTTCCCATGCTAAAATAACCCATTTTTAAATACTAGAAAATAAAAAAATATCACAAGGGAAGCGTCTGTGAACACATTCCACCAGTTTTGTCACAACACAATAAAGCATTGCAACAAAATACAGACCTTGGTACAAGAAACATCCAGCTGTAACGCCCACCAACGATCCTAAAATCCCGTTAATAATATCAATAGTATCGATTTTCCCATTTAGCTTAATCAAAGAATACAAAAGGCTCGTAGTACCACCTCCGAAAGAAGACATCATGGTCATCACCGCAGCTCTAGCGGCATAATGCCATTTCTCCCCACTCAGCTACAAACGTACTTTAAAGCCTCAGTCCTGGAACCCGCTATCACTCACCCCATACGTACTTCCCGAATTGAAGGCCAACCAGCCCCACCACAAAACGAACAAACCCATCACTGCATTCACCGGGTTCCCTAAAGGCAGCGACTTGATCCCATTGTCGTACCGACCGAGACGAGGTCCCAGCATCACGGCGCTCGCCAGCGCAGAACTCCCTCCAATAAGATGAACAGCTCCGGAGCCGGCGATATCCACAGCACCCAGTTTTTTGAGGAAACCCTGCTCCCCCCACATCCACCCAGCCGGAATGCAGTAGATGGCAGTGTTGAAGAAACTAAAGATGCAGTAGGCCTTGAAGTTGCACCTAAAAACATGGTTTCGCCGGTAACGACATCAAGATTAAAAATGACTTGGGACCTTTCAGCCATCGCCCCGCTTACTATGGTGGTGGCGGTAGTAGCAAAGCTCAGCTGAAAAATAAAAGCGGCGTAGATGGCACCCTTGAGGGGGTCCTTCAGGCTCGGGTCGGTGAAGAAGTCGCCGAATGAAATGAAGCTGTTACTGAGGGGACTGCGACCGAACGAAAAGGCGAATCCGAAGATCCAGTAAGTCAGGCCTCCGAGGACGATGTCCACCACGTTTTTCATCATGATGTTAACTTCGTTCTTGATGGAAACGCAGCCGGATTCCAGCATTCCGAAACCTGAAAATTTCGGCTGAAATGTACCGACTTCGTAATAAACGGTATACCTGTCTGCATGGTGAAGATCATGAAGGAGCTAGTGATTATCCAGTTGGTGTCATCTGGGTCGATGTCGTAGAGCCAAGGTGTGTGTTGGGACTCGTTTTTTTGCGGCAGCGGTGCACCCATGGCCGAAGAATGAATCTGGTGTGTTTAGGTAAGGATTGATCAAAGCCGTGACAGTAAACATGTAAATATTTGAAACGTATTTTATTTTATTCATCGTAATTGTTTGGCCTTGGGGTTAATTTTAATAGGGAAAAGTACGTCAACTGAAAATTTGAGAGGGTTTTCATGTTAACAATTACGCACGCTGGTGTTGTAACGAAAGTTTGCATCGATCTGGACGGTTATCTTGGTTGGGGTTATCTATACATTTGTATTGGCTGTGACAGTCCACTTTGATTAATTACTGTAAATGGGGATGGACTGTTGTGGGGGAGAAAAAATTGTGATCATTTGCCAAGTTGTCGCTTGATTTTATCGTACCGGACGACCTTCGTCACGAATAAAAGGCTCTTAATGATTTTTTAATCATGACAAGGACACGTAAATAATTTATGATTGTCAAAAGAAGAAATGAAGATAAATGTTAGACAATTGCAGACGAGAGCAAGAATAGAAAAAACGTACCCCTCCAGAAATTTTTGGCATAATTCTATTCTCCTGATTGATATATTTATTTATTTATTTGTATATTTATAAAATTTTTACCTACAATAATAACCACAAAATTCATTACTAATTGACGTTTATGGAGTCAAATTCATTCATTAGGCCAAAAGCAAAGTTTAAACGGCAATGGTGACGTTTCGGAACCTTTTATCAAAACATATTTGAACAGTTTTGAAAGAATACGGGACCGGTTTTCGAAAGAAATTGATCGGAAATTTGGGAAAAGTATTATTTACATGTAGAGTCTACAAAAATTGAAAAATGTTGCTTACAAAGGGATTTAGCAAATGGATTTATTATAACCAGAGTTAGGTACAGCCGAAGTGATGGGGAATCAATCACAATCAGACAAATATTAAAATCGACGGGGCGTCGTCAAGTGATAAACTTGGCTGACCGATTGTGCAGTCTCAACCTCAGTGGCGTTTGATGCAATTCAGGGTTTATCTGATAAAGATTATCACGAAAAACAGTTATTCTTAATTTTTAAAGCATTTTAACATCTGAAAGAACTCCTCCAGGAAAACCTAGAAAAAGTAGTAATTGGTATTAAGAATGCCCGAAGTGGTAGGCCACGACTGTAATAGCGCTGGCGATCGGACGGCAATGAGCATCACTTCCGCTATGCCGAAGTCTGATTATAACTTACACATCTTGAGATTATTAATATTAACTAACTTACAAACAGACGAAAACACAAGATACATTAGAAACATGGAGAGAATATTTTGAACACAAGTTTTCAGCGCAACCACCGGAGGCAAAACCAGAAACAAATAAAGAATTAAAAAGACCATCAAAAGAAGAAATAGAATCAGCCATACAAAAAACTGGAATGGGAACAGCATGATGAAGATGAAGTGGGTCCAGTGATGTTAAAATGGCTAGGAGAGAAAAAACAAGAATGGCTAGGAGAAATATTTAAAAAAGCTTGAACCTAAAAAATATCAACTTTAATGATGCCAGTATGTAACAAATCGAAAATATTTATAATAACAGTTCAAATGTTATCGCAAGCTGAAAATAAAATAAATGCAATGGAATGGAAATGCGACACTTAAAGATAGTAGCAGGGAAAACCAAGATTAGGAAGCAACAATTAAAGTGGAATGAACTCAGGAAGAATAGTAAAGAAGGTGGGAAAATGTAAGAAAATTCGTAAAAAAAGCAGTGGTTAAAACAGATGGAGCAAATTAGCAGAAAGGTAAAATAGAAAAGATGATAGCGATGGAAGAAATGTATTAAACAAGACAAGGACTCATGGACCGTCGCCTGAAAAGACAGAAGGAGATTGAAAGAAGAGTTTTATTCAGTTCGTGGTATCGTAATTTAATTAATATTTATTAATAATAATAATAAATTAAATAAAAATAAAAATTGGGCTCGACGGTTAGTTGCCCACGAAAGCTCTGAAGCACCGCAGTGCGCATGCGCGGATTCAATGTAAAGCTTGTAGACAGGTAATTTTGCCAGTAGAGCGAATACAGTATTACCTTAGTAAGTTTGTGAAAACAAATTCAGTTTCTTAGTTAGCAAAAAGCGGTTTATTGTAAATAATGAATACAACACGTGACAACAGTCAAATATTAAACATTGGACGCCATCGAACGGTCTCTATATGCAGAAGCGGTTTTGGATACTTGGGAACCCAGCTAAAATTTCAGATGTAGAAAAACATAAAGGCGAAACTTTTACATACTCGCGTTAAAATGCTTTTACTACCACCCATGGATTCGTGGCTTATCATTTTCTTTTTTAAACTGCCAATTATTGACCTCATCTGTCTCGAAGTTGCGGAACTCTTCGAGGTCACCAGCAGCTTCTTTGATTGAATCAGTTTCCGAAGGCATTCCTTAGAGTCTTCGCTCACCTATCGCAAAAAATCGAGAAGTTCAAAAATCGACCGCGTACTCTAATCCCCGGGTATACCAGCTCCGAGATCTGCTCCTCTGTCAACATAATCTCATATTCGTTGTAATCCTTGGCCGGTATTACCAACAACTTGGTCTCCACGGGCTCATTCACCTTAAGGTAGCTGCTCCGTGGTAATATCAGCTTTTGCACGGCTCTGAATGGGATTTTTTTAATAATAAATTAAAATCTAAAATAAATTTAGATCTAACTGTAATTCCCAACAATCATTTGAGAACGCATCTCATAATTATTAAAGATCGCAAATAAAAATTTCGGAAATTGAAAACAATATCTAATCATTTGCGTTGAAGAACAGAAAAAAAATTGGACCACAAAGAACCTTGCGGTACCCTGATTGAACTCTGATGATTTTTAATTTGTATACGTAGTTGTACATTGTTGACTATACTGCATAAATTGAATTATTCAGGGGAATGGGGTTCTTCAAGGTAAATGACAATATAGTGCAATCGAACCACGGAAATGAAATTTATACATGAAACAGAGCTGAAAGACAAAAACTAAACATGATAAATATAATAGCACCTCACAATGCCTCTCAAGAGCTCTTGGAGATGAAACCTCTCCCACAAAAATTGATCAAAAATTTGCTTTGAAATCAGTTGAAAAACTATAGAGCACACATACGGAACACTACCACACGAGAGCATAGCTGTTTATGCTGGCAACGGCCAGAGGACAGACGTACCTCGGAATGTAGCACGTCCCGGTGTACCTGTATCTGGAATTAAAGTCCATCACTGTTCCCTCGATCAGTATGATGTCGGCCATCATTTCGTTCACGACGAAGACTTTGTAATTGGATAGATTCGGTACAAAGGCCCGCTCAAGGATGTACTTGATCTTGTTCTGAGTGTACGACCTGTACGAGGGGCTGTTCATCATCACGGTGAGGGCCTTCTTGAAGCTAATAGATTTCCATATGCGACACTCCAGCCTGAAAAAGGCGTAGAGAGAGACTCGAGGTGAAGAGAGCAATACCGACCCATTGACCGGGTCGAGGTTCATCTCGAACGCCCGAGTTAGAGAGGTTTTGTTCAAAACGTAAACCATGCTTGTTGTCTCTGCTTTAATGACGGCATTGTATGGCCTCCCTGTCAATAGAGACAGCTCTCCGATGCTATTTCCCGGTACGACGTACTCGATGATCGGTTCTTCGTACGTCAGGGAAAACGCGTAGTCGACAACCGGCAAAGCCCCGACTTCTCTCAGTTTATCCAAGGGGGCTTTTTCCGGAACGTACTCCTCCTTGAGCATCCCTGCATTGTAGTAAAGGGTAAATACAATAATAAGGTGTAAATACATGAAGGTTGACATCAAAATACAAAGCGAGTCGAGATCGTACCCGAAATCAAAATGTAGATGTTCTCAGCTATGTCGCCTTCTTTGTACACCACTTCGTGCTGCTCAAACTTCCTCGTAGTCAACTGCGTGTATAAGAACTCGATCTCTTCGTTCTCCACCATGTACGGTATTTCCCGAAAGATGAGTTTGGTAGAAACGGGCTGAATGATGTTCAAGGAGTCTATGAACGTGTACCTCTCGCCTAAAGCATTCAGAAGTTTAGCGTTCTCGACGTCGTCCACCCAGCCCGCCACTTTCAGCTCATGCACATCGTCTTTCATGCTATTGAGCACCATCCGCATGGCCAGCTTGGTCTTGACGGTAGTGGCCACGTGAGGAAACTCATTCTGGAAGGTACCCAACTTGTAAGTGAGGGCGAGCCGATCGCTGTCTATCTTCTCTTTGACGATTTCTCGGATTTTTTCATCGTCGATGATCTGGTGCAGATTTTCTAGCATCTCTTCTTCTCCGGCTAGATAGTTTATACCCAGCTCGTACGCCAAAATTCTGTATCTATCGATCTGCTCTTCCAGGTACCGAATCACGGAGGGAGCAAAGGCCCGGTAGCAGGCGTAGTACTTGAGAAGAGTGAACGTCCGAAGAAGCCGTATGACGAGGAGGACGAAGAGCGTCATCTCGAAGATGACCGTGCTCATCATCGGAATGGCTTTCGCCACTGTTAAAATATGAACGATGGTGCAAAAGCTGCAGAAGACCAGGATCGTAAACTCGAGGACGTTCCAGTAAGATCTGTAATGTTTTGATTAGGGGTTACAGCGGCAAGTCGAACTAGCTTTACCTGAAGTAGTTCCCAATGCCGTGCTTGAAAACAAGAATCCACGACAAGGCGAAAATCTTAATCATGAACTCGGTGAAGTACAGCATGGTGTAGAAGAGCGTCTTGGATAATAACGCCTCTACAGTCATGAATAATTTGTTAAAAATAATTGTGCACGCATGGATAAACACCAACGATTGCATTATGCATAAAAAAGTGTTTTGGTGGACGATCACGAGGCGATAACACAGACGGCGCCACCACATCCGCGGGGGGCGCAGGTTCACGTATTTGACTCTGAGGAAGTGGTGCAAGATGTTCGTCAACACTCTGTAGAACATGCCCTAAAACGAAACATTATTTTTGCTTGGGAGCCGCGAACAATAACCTCTTTAGTAAAAAGGCGATAGAGACCGTCCAGCTCGACGATGAGTTCTTCGTTGTCCATCGCCACTTCGATGGTTTGGTGCATGATCCCGATGCCGAATTTCGACATCATGCCGTTTTCGAAAAAGCGAGAATACGCGGTTTTCTTGAGCTTCAGGAGACGCAGCTTAGCTTCCTTCAACATGTCGCGAAATTCTTTAGGGGTGGGTTCATTCTGTACTTTATTTTGACAGTCAGGACAGAAAGTGTACCTATGATCTAATACACGACTTTAACGAACACGAAAGACGTCGGCGGCCGCTTCCTCAAAACCCACCTAACAAGTCGTTGTTGTCCTCTTGACCTTTCAATATCACATCCTGGCTCATCTTTTTGTACGGGTGTTTAAGAGCGGTCGCCTTCATCACCAGCGGCCAGTTAGCGTCCGCGAGAAATCGGTCCATTTTCAAGATGGCGACCGTCCGGCTCCTTGCCTCATAAATATACTTCATGCAGGTGTTCATGTTCACCAGCCTCGAATTTGAGAGCTCTGCGAGTCCCAGTGTCTTGATTAGTAATGTCGCGCAACTACCGTTGATAAACAATATCAGGGCATAAACGGTCACACAATACAGGTAGACCAATCGGCCTTTACGCTCATCGTCCTCGAAGAACTCGAACACATTCAGCGCCATGGACAAGCAAATGGGGTTCTTCAGGCCCGCCCACACGCAAACGATCATGTTCTGAAACGTCATCCCATACCCGATCCGGCTCAAAATGAACGAGAATAAGAAGAAACTAACGAACCGCGTTATGTTCGAAATCAGGTACGTCACGAAGATCAGCATGTAGTCCTGGACGTTCAAACCTTTACTGATGATCATTACCGTCACGGTTCCTATGTTTGTATAGAGCATGCCGCACATGATGCAGTTGATGGTTTGCCACAGAGTGGTGACAGTCCTGTCTATTTCTTGGGACAACGAGGCTCGCTTCGAACCCATCAATATTCCGACGATGGCGTTCCCGAGGACGCCGGCGTTGGCGATCCAGTGAACGTAAAAGTAAGAGCAATAGCACATGGCTACGGTGACCAGCATGATGCCTACGGCGTCGTTGTACACCACCCTCATCAAGTACGAGCCGGCGATGCCAAAGAGGTAGCTTATGGGCACACCTGCATCCGATACACTTTTTATCTTTATCTACACCACTGTACGAAGGCACGTACCCACAACGATCTGTAGAAGGAGGTGTAGGACAAACTGGTACCACCAAACCACCCATCCGCTTATATAGCTACAAATAAACATGAACACTGTGATAGCTGCCCAAGCTGAAACGATTGTTTCTCCTTCGAGGAGAATTTTCATATGCTTGGTCTGCATGGTGGATTCCTTGAGGCATCGCAGGACGTCCTGGGGATAAATGGGAATCATAATCGCACCGAAGAGGAAACCATCCAGCATCGTCCAATCATTCGGGCTGACAGCCACCTTCATCAAGCTTCCAGTCATGACGCCGCTCAAGAAGGCAACTGGAACATACAATTTTTACCGGTACTAAATCCGGTTTGGCGCATACTTGGTCCTGCGATTATCAGAATCTGAGTCAGAGACTTGAAGAATGCGTGGACGTCGATGCAGAAGGCAATCTTGAATACTATAACCGGTAGAAAAACGTCGTCTAGGGACTCCACAGCTATATGGGCGGCTTCTGACATTCCTGATGCCCAAAAATCATACATTGCCCAGATTCCCCACACCACGCCGAGTATTATTGAGAAGAGTGCGTATGGAATGGGCAAGTCGTATTCCTAAGATTCAGACGTTAGTCGATGTGGTCGCAAAAGATACGTAACTTACTTCAGTTACGTGACGTACGATGGCCATGAGCAGCACGGTGGTGGAAAAGTAGATGTACTTGTAGGCGACTGTCTCGAATAAAGGTTGCTTGTCGTCTACCACTTGGCCGTAAACGGCGCCGCCAACGCACAAGAAATAAACGCATACAAGTAGTTTTAACATTTTGGGAAACTGACGTTTAGAAGTTTAGAGGTGTTGCCAGGGATATACAATACTGACAACGAACTGTACTCAACTAAACGCGCTTGTGAATGGTTTGTGTTCGGATTGCATCATTGCACTACTAAACACCTAAATTTAACTTGAACAATTTTTATACTCTCATTTATTCTTGACGATAAATAAGTAACAAATTTACATTTTGGTGGATTTACAATAGTATTATCAATGTAGGGATGTGGATTTATTTCAAAGTCGTACACGCGCAGCACGATCTCAAGAAACGGTACACCTCTTCGTATTCTCCCTCGGAACGACAACGGGTGCCTTTTCCGGAATTTTGCACACCCGATCCTTGACTGATTCCCAATACTCTCGCCCCTTCGCCTTAACGACAAACCCCCCCACGCCTTCTCTGTAATATCGGCTTCCCATCTCGCAGAAGGTCTCCCCGTGTTTATTAACGGCCTCGATATCAGCCTCCGCCTTCAACAGCGCCACAATCCCTTCGTCGAAGTGGTGCCTAACCGCCAGATGCAGAGGCGTCTGCCCGAACCTATTCGGTGCGTTCACGTTCGCTTTGTTCTCGATCAAAAATTCTAGGACCTGGAGCAGTTTATTCAAACAGGCGGCGTGCACGGGTCCGTGGCCCTTCTTATTAACAGCGTCGATGTCGGCTCCTCTCTCCATAAACATGTTCATGACGTCCATCTGGCCGCTCCACGCCGCCATGAACAGGGGAACGTCTCCGTGGTGGTTCGCAAGGTTTACGTTCGCCCCCTTCTCCAAAAGCAACTCTACGATCTCTTTGTCCTTGTGCCTGCAAGACAAATACAGCGGAGTGTAGCCGTAGTCGTCCCCGAAATCCACGTCAGCTCCGTGCCGGATCAAGATCTCGGCCCCCTTGTACGAGTTGGATTCGCAAGTTAGATGCAAGGCCGTCTTGCCAAACTGATTTCGAGCATTGATGTCCACGCCGGAATCGACCAAGAACTTGAGAACATCCTCGTTCGAAGACCTCGCGCATAAATAGACAGCATTATAGCCGTTGGAAGTGGTGGCGTTGACGTCGGCGCCGGCCGCTAGTAAGACTTCGAGGATTTTAACCTGGCCGTTGTGGCAGGCCGACAAGAAGGGGGTAACCCCACTGGAATCGGAAGTATCTATGCGCTGTCGGTATTCCGGGTTCGTCATCATCTTCTTCACGCTGTTGACACTTCCGTGGCTCACCGCGAGGTGCAAAAGAGACTTGTCTTCTCCCAAGCTAACGAAGGGTATGTCTTCGAAAACGTCCGCGTAGTCGAGTTTCACCGAATTGTACAGGATAGTGTTCACGTCGTTGAAGTTCTTCAGTGCGGTAAAATCGAAGGTGTGGGTGTTGGATATCACCAGGAGGGGAACCAGGCTGCAGGCCGCGTCCGCGTAGCCGAAAGAGTCCATCAGAAAGAGCCCATCGGCTTCGAAAGGGTCGCAACGAGTGATTAAGTAGTTCAGGATTTTTTGGTACTCCGGGGTTTCGTCTTTTGCGCCTTCGGAACTTTCGTCTGGAACAAATTTATAGAACACTTTAGACTTTTTACACTCACGACTGGCACTTACGGAAATCGTCAGACCCCAAATTGCACAGTTGCCTATTTTTTAACGCCGGATTGACTGGACTATTATATATTGTTACGTACCTTTTGGTGAAGTATTAATGGAAAACCTCTTCCCCCAGGAGCACGCGAGATGTAGCGGGTTCCTTCCGCCCCCATCCCGTCGAACCAAGTCATTTTCGTGCTCTTCCAACACTCGCGGGTTCTTATACAGCACGGCGACGTGAGCTGGACACTGCTCCGCCATCAGCAAATCGAACAAAAAGCGGATGTTGTTGAAGCTTTCTTCAAAAACAAAATCGGAGAAATTCGGCACTTTATCGTGGTACTTCCGCAGGAAGGACGCCGCGAAGTACTCTCCGTACGAATTGTGCAGGAAACTCGGTATTTTTTCGTCCGTCACGTCGATAATTATGCCCACACTGTCACACCCCGACTGTATTTCTTCCAAGAACGCGTCGCAATTGATTTTTAAAGCTTCGAGAACTTCAGGTCGTAGGTACGTCTTAAGAGCTGCCTCTTCGTACTGCTTGAGTCTGTCCTTTTTGCTGCGTTCCATCACTTGGATCATCACGTCATTCGATCCGTCCAGGTTCGCTTTAATCTGATGATAGATGTTGAATTTTTCGTCGACAAAATGCCGATACAAGTCAGTAATGGAGAAAATACTAGTTAATAAGGTTCGGTACTTGTCGCGGTTTTGTCGGAAGAGTTCCGTGAACATGTAGATCTGCAACGGAATCCCCAGGATGTCGTTGTATTGGACGAGCCGGATGCACTTGTGAATTTTCGTCTTGATATCTTCCAAATCGCTCCCTGTGCAGTTTAGGCGCTTCTCAATGTACACGTTTTGTTGCTGTACATCGAATTGTTCGATGGTTCGCGCTAGCACGTTGAACGTGCTCTCGAGAGCACCTCTCAGGTTGCACCTGGACGTCAACCACTGGGTGAATCCACGCGCGGACAATTTTTGAATAATCTGGAAGATCACCTTCAGATTTTCTTCCGCTACTTCGTCCAAACCGTCCCATATGAACATGACCTGTCGACTTTCGCACAAAACTTGGACGAGTTTGCGAACTAAGACATCTTTGTAGGTCTTGTCGACAACGTAAGCGACGAAATCATCAGCGTTGGTGTTCTTGTCGCGGAAGTACCTCGAGTGGTCTTTCGGTTGAAGCAACACCGTCCAAACTTTCGCTGAATTCTTCAAAGTCTTCATTAAAATCGACTTGCCCATGCCGGGATCTGCGCACACGATGTTAATCCTATATTCTCCCGGGTTACTGAAGAGCACGCTTTGCTCCACCCACTGACCACCTACTTGGTGTTCCTTCAGCTTGTTTATATCGCCAGTGCTTTGCAACCATTCAAGAACGTCACCTCTAACCCGAAAGAGGTGATATCCGGTGGTGTTCAGTCGCCGACAAATAGACTCGATCTCACCCTGCGAACACTCTCCCGAACTGAGAATAACCTCGTTCTTGTTCTTTTCGGAAGCGTCAAGCTTCCTCTTCCAGAAATCTTGAACGCGAGTCAGGGTACAATCGAGGACGGAATTCCTTATGGTTTGTTCGTCGCTGGGTTCCACGTTGTTGATCATGACAACGGAGTTCTTTTTGGTGTTAAGGAAGCTCATCTTTATGAGATTTCTGTTAAGAACTCTGTCGATGTGTGGAATCGGAAGGATTTCTTTTTTGCCTCCGAGTTTAAACGAGTCGTCTAACATCTGGACGAGTTCGTTCGTGGTGATTAAAGGGTGGATGTTCGGGTTGTTCTTGAGTAGAGTCTCAAGAGTTTGGTCTTCTTTACCTTGGAAGGAACATTTGAAGTTTTTAATGATCTTCGAGCGACTGGGAAGATCCAAATCTGATAAGTAATGGAAGGTTTTCTTGGAGGAGTTTGTTGTTCCGAAAACTAGAAAAGACTTGTTACATAAGTCAATAGTTTTGGTGATAGCATCGTTTTGGCAAACAGGCAATGGGCAAAGACCCATAAGCCATAGTAACGTCGTGCAGTCTTTGTCATTTAGGTCGTCAATCCTGGTGACGTAGGAAGTGACTTGGTACGTTCTGTTGATTTTGTTCACTTCGTCGATATCGAGAGTACCTTTCAAGTCACTCCAAACTGTTGCGATTTTTTCGCTATGCGAAGCATCGACACGAGTAACTGGAAACTTGGCCACTACGTCCCTCCAGATTGTCCTATTCTCACTACTACCACCAGAGAAAACAAAAGGCACTATATGCGGAGCCATAACTCGAACAACTATAGCACTTATCATTAAATCCCTCTTCAGTTTGTTCTTCTTCCCTTCCACCAGACTCCACTCCGTCACAAACTGCAAATACCGTTCAAAAACCACCTCTTCACACCCGAACATCCCCTGAAACGTCACCACAGCATCTCGCCTTAATTTATCCACGCTTACTTGGTCTGTGTACAATATAAACTGCTCAAAAAACCTCTCGTACCTCTTGCCCGGACTCGCAAACTTCCAGCACCTCCCCTTCTCCCCTGTATTCAACAACCCCTCCTTTGCACTTTCCTCAATCGTAATCTCAAAATCGTCCTCTGCCAAAGTGATCCCCACGCCGTTCCGCACGGCGAACTTAAGGTTCGTGAAAAGGACGAACGTGACCGCATGTTCGAACTTCTGGAGTTGTGTGTAATCTTCGTAGTACTTCTTGACGCTGAAGTTACCGCGTTTTTCGGCGAGCCCATTCTTTGTCAGAGTTTTCCCTTTGTTGACGTGCTTCAACTGGATGGCGTATATCTTTTTGGTTCCGGTTGTGTATTCGACCTGGATAGTGACGTCGTCGAAGGCGCCAAAACTGGCATCGTTTGAGGAGATCTGGAAATTATGGATCGTTTTGTCGGCAATTAGGTTGAGGATGACGGTGCAGAGGTAGAGGTGTTCGTAGTCTTTACCGCGGTCGGTACAGCCGGTGCGTTTCTTGAATGTCTGCAAGAATGGATTCTTTATTATTTACTTATTTATAACGATTTGATTATCTGAATTTAAGGCTTGTAGAATAAAACTTCCAACAAGTACGAATCATGAAAATGTCCACTTCGATTGCCTCATTTTAAACACATTTAGAATTCTTATTTGTTGAAAAATAGTACTGAACTTACTTCTGCTCCCTGGCCACTCATGGCAGATTGTGCTGTACTGTGTTATTTTTGAAACCTGCAAATATATAAAAAATCTATTAAACTCGTCTTTTTTTTTGTTTAATTTAGTAGGTATATTTGAAAATAATTGTAACTGTAGCCCTAAATGAGTTCGGTTGGACAACATCAATGTTTTTTCAACGTTCCATGATAAATGCATAATCATTCTCTGGAACACGCTATATTTTATTATATGTATTATACAACACAAATTAGACCGTTTTAAAGATACTACCTACGGTTTGATTTGTCTGTTTAGTTTTGTCTGCGACATTCAAGTTTTTTTAATGACATTGTGGTGACCGAATCTGAATCAAATTTTCGCGCTGAAATTAATTAACAGCGGCGCGAAATCACATTTGAACAATTTGAATTTGAGAAAAAAATTAAATCAAAACAATCGTTAAACATAGGCCTTGTGAACGTTTAGTTCTTTTTCTGGTAGTTGGTAGTTCTGCTTGTTAGTTAGAGGGTTGCTAGGGGACAAGCTGGCTGCTTAAGAGGGAAGTAAAAGCGTCAGTCTGGGTGTGTTTGTGTGAGTGTAACCACGTGGTAAAGTAGTTTGTTTAACGAAAATTAATCGTAACGCCGACCGACACTACACGTGCTGTAAATTTGTTTTATTGTTTGTTAATTCACCGATCAGGTTAGGATTTTAATCGTTAACTGGTTCTGCCCTTAGGCAGTTATTATCGTTATCATCATTACATCACCGAGGCATTTCCTCGCAACGTTAAAGATTGATTACATCACGGAGACCTATTCTCTCGCAACGGGGAAAATTACATCACCGAGGCATTTCCTCGCAACGTTAAAAATTACATCACCGGGACGCTTTTTCCTTGCAACGCTGACTGTATATTTTTGTGAATTTCTTATGTGTTTTGTTTGGGGTAAGCAGTTCACGACATTATAAACTGTCAAAGCTAACCAATCACTTGGATCAAGACATTAAGTAATTTTCTTTGTTGTATAATTTAAATTGAACGTAAACTTTCATGTTCTGCTGCTTCTAACCTCATGTAATATTCTATCTGCACAAGTTTAGTTCACACCAGATATTTTGTTTATATAAACCTTTGCTAGTTTTTTGTTTTGTAAATATTTTGTTGATGAATGTTTCCATCATATAAATTTTCTGATGTGTAGTCTTAATCTCAAATAAGAATTATTTGTTGTTTAAAATTTCACAAGCTTGTATGGCGAATTTAAATGTTGTTTATTGCTCTTTTGAAACTTTAACACTTGTTCAGTGGTCGTTAATATCCAGTGGCGGCTCGTGACTATTTTGGTTGGGTCGGCCAGCAGTGAGTAACCCAAAGTTTTAAGACATAGAATACAAGAACCAGGGACCTCAAGTCAGTCATTATCTATAATTTGCTTCCTGTATGGTGTTAATTCATATAGTCCTAACAACTTGGTAAAACAAAATAAAAAATATTCTTCAAATAGGTATAAAGTAAAGCATATACTTATACAATATAAGCCATCTATAATAATAAAATAACGACAATAAACTCAAATAAAAATGAAAATAACATTCAAGTTATAAAGTAACACATTCTAACAAAAAATATAACATGACACGTCAACAACTATTTATTAGTAAAAAACAAAATTAAAAAAGTAAATTAGAAATTTTTATAAACCAATTCAATGCGTCTTTGTTTTGTATTGGCAAAGTGGTCAATTACTTGATTATAGAACTTTTGATCTTCCGTTAAGTTTGTAAGCACTTCTTTTTCTATTGCTAAAACGAATAATTTGGATAATCGATTTTGACTAATGGAGTTTCTAGTAAAATTTGTAATTCGCTTTAAAGCTGAAAAACTGCGTTCAACATATGCTGATGTGGATGGTAGGTATATGATTAAAATTAAAGACAGAAATAATTTCGGAGGCTTCTACATTTTCGTAAGTAGCATCATCAGGAGCAGGGTTGAGAAATTAGGAAGATGGCAAAAGAGCACGGTAACTCAATATGTCAATCGTACCAGACGACCAGAGGCAAAACTCTTTTTCTGAAGTTTTTTTGAATTTATTGTCAACATCATATTCAACAATTAAACAATATCAACAAAATAGTTTGTTTTTTGACTTGCTCCCCGTCAGCCATTCATAATTTTCATACCATGCTGTATTAATTATTAATTATTAATATGCTATTGCACCGGAGCTGACGTTATTATTACTCCGTGCTTCGATTAAATGTTGCATGCGCGGCTCCGAACGGGTCATTTCTTTTATATCCCAGGAATTGATCATCGTATGTTAAAAGTCGAAAGTCATTATTTAATAGATGTGTAACAGCATCAAAATTTAAATCAGTTACTAATTCTCTTACTAACTGTTGTCATTGTTACTGAAATTAGAAACAAACCTAAACCAATTTCATCCACGTGAAGACTGCAGAAATTCACAATATACAGACAGCGGCCGGCCGGTGCTGGTAGTGGGGAACCGCATGGAAAAGTGCACGGCAGAAGTGGAGTGATGAAACGTAATATTGTACGGTTTCATCGCTATTGCCTTCTAACTTATACAAACAGAAGGTGATAGCGCTATAACAACTTGATGTACTGCCAAAAGGCCGGCCGATTTTAGCAGACATTTGACCAATCACTGCTGCAGGCGCGTTAATCAGAGGGTATCAGACACGTATCAGTCTTTATAGCTATTTCTCTTTAATTCCGCTAAACAGAGAGCGATAGCAGATATGACATTATTCGACGTTTATTCTTGTAGTCGGCCGGCCTCAGCTGCTGCTCCTCGCAGTAAAAATATTTAAACTTCCCGGCACGATTTGTGCTTCCGAACGAAAGTGAATAAACTAGATAACGCTTTTTGTAATTAAAAAAATAATAACAACAGTAAAATCAGGTGATTTCAAAATAGCTTTAAATTATATTCTTGCGTTTAAAATAAAAATGAATATCGCAAATTGACAAGTTCGGTGACAGACTCGGCCTGGCCTAACTGGCCCCCCCTGACGAGCCGCCACTGTTAATATCAGAGTCATAGAAACTGAACATTAAAATAGAATTGAGGCAAATAACACCGAAATTCATGGCAGTAGCGGAGTGCGCGGTTCCTAGTCGAGCTGGCGAGATTTATCGCGCCATTTGTACAAAGCATGCAGATTAGAATAAAATTCAGGGGCGGTCGAAATGACGTAACGCTGTCGGCTTCGTGATAGCCTGGACCCAACTGCGACCGTAACGGCCTGCACGTACGACTTGTCCGTAATAGAGAATTGCTTTGCGGCAGGCTTGCGATAGATAGAATCACCGTCGCGGGGGAGAACAGCGACGAGCGGTAACCCCAAACTCCGCTTGTGCTAGAATGGGTATTTTTGTTGTGCGCTTGTTGACTGTCATAATTTTAAATTTTTAAATTCAGATTTTTATTTGTTTTTATTAAATGTGATACTCAAATATTTGCATTGATTCAGAACGTTTAATTTAATTTCATTGCAAGTCATTCAAAGTTTTTTTTTTTTTTTTTTGGAGCTGAACAGCGATTGCGATTCGGCCCCCTCTGGGCAGCCTGAAGGCAAGTTACGAGTCACCCTCGCACGCAGATTTTTTTTCTTTTTTTGTCAGTGGAGGAATAAATAATTTTGTGTCCTCCGTAAATTTTGTGTTTTATTTAGCGGTACGTTTCCAACCTCGGGCTCCACCATTTGCATCTGAACGCATCCTGCCATTTTTCAAAAAACACAACGTAGGGTTCGACTTTGTTAGACGATTTTGAATTTTTAAATTTTTCGCGTGCTTTCAATTTTTTTTTTCGCATGTCAATTTAAAGCGGGATCTTTGGGTAATCACAACATCCTTCCAAAAGAGGAAGCCTAAATGTATGTAATGCCGTTAAAAAACTTGGAGTCAAGTGACATATATTTATTACTTATTAGATACTTTTTTCATTTTCAATTCAATTTTTATTTTGTTAATCTTGCCGCCTCGTGAGATGATTGATACTGATGTCGATGATATGAGTGTTGTGTTGTAGTCACGGAGTATGTACTGTTGTCACATATGACTAATGCCATAAATTAGTGTTTGCTATTGGAGGGATAGGCAACCAATAATTCACACACCACTGAAGCGACAAATTCTTATTAAAAATGTATTGACAGATTTTTCGAAGTCAAATGGACGTAGATTTAATAATTATCGTTCGTATAATTTCTTTGACATGTCCAAAAATATCTTACTTATACATACATACCACACATTAAAAGTAAAACATGATGTCATTTGTAAACAACCAAAGGTAATAAAATACTAATAATAGTGTTATTTTTTTCATATTTTTGTAACTATATACGTAATGGGGTTTTAACAACGATGCAACATAAGACTTTAAATTTTTTTATCACACTGTTTGACATGGCCGGGGATTTATACCAGAGATATGCAGATATTGCCTCTCTTCGATTTTGACATTATGCTCTTGAGGTTATGATTGAAATAAGCGTGAAAAAGCAATAACAAGTATTAATTCAAGAAATCAAATTACGTTACCACGAAATCATAGAAGACACTATTAAAAAAACTAACACTGGTCATTACAATGTTTCACGAAAAAAATCTTGCTGGAAATTGCACATCTTTCGAGTGACTTTTGGTTGATAATGTGTGTGCTTAGGTGTATATTGGGTTGCCTATGTTTGTGGAGATTGTTGCAATTTACCACGATTTTGCTCGTAGGACTATCATCAGCGGAGGCCCGTGCGGTGTCTTAACCACACCGGAAAACCAAAAAGAGACAGTTTTGTTTAATTTGAATTAATTTTTACAAGTTCTGACTTCGGGGTGTAAGTGAAACACACGATGAACGATTAGGTGAAAGGACTTATCCATGACTCAACCACCAACACAGACCACACATGTGTGATATGTTTGACTTACTGCGATTGCTGCGATTAGTTGTTTTACTGAAACCGAATACAGCCAAACCTCGCCTTTAAAAGATGAAATTAAAATGATAAATCGTCGAAAACTCGTCGTCGTTGGCGACTACTCCGGCAAAACCACCACCGTGAAGACCTTCACCAGAGACGAAGTACCCAAAACGTACATCGGCACCGTCGACCTAGAAATAACAGACATCGAAGTAAACGGACAAATAATAGAAGTGCAAATCTGGGACACTTGTAGCAGAACTCGTTTCGAATCTCCGCGAAAAAGCATCTTCAGAGGAGCCGACGCAATTCTCTTGTTTTTCACGATTTACTCGCGCACCTCGTTCGAAAACGTGAAGGAGATATACTTACCCGAAATTCTACAAAGTGAAAGAAAGAACGCACCTTTGTTATTAGTCGGTACGCGGTGTAACGAACCAATAAGGAAGAGGGAACCTGCTGTGGGCGTGGAGGAAGCACAGCGGTTGGTGGAAGAAATCAACGCTATTGGCTACATCGAGTGTTCGGCAGTTTGTAAACTAAACGTGGAGGAGGTGTTCGCGAGGGCGGTCGCGGCTACCATGTAAAGGGGCGGGGCGAAGAAAAGTGAATCTGGTGAACACAGAAAAAGATGACAAGTGGTAACTATTATCTTTAATAATGCGATCCTCAAAAAACCTCACATTAGTCGGTAACACCCTTGCCAAAAATTACCTCACCTCCACTTTTCATTATGGTAAATTTCCCCAACACCTCAACCACTTCGGTCATGATTTCCCCCAAAAAATACACGTCCAAGTGGAGGGCGACTTTATCGAACTCGTGCTCTTGGACACCTCTCATGATGAAACCAAGGCTCGATTTCGACCGGACGTTTTTCCTCTGAGTGATTTCATTCTTGCCGTTTTTGCAATCGATAATCACGATTCGCTGAGTTACCTCGAGCACGAGTTTCACGAAGAGGCGATACGCAGATGTCCCGACACTCCCGTCATACTAGTTGGTACGAAAAGCGACTTAAGAGGTGAAAAAAAGCAGGGTTTGGTCACCACTGAAGAGGTGGAAAGGGTGGCTGCTGCGATTGGTGCCGTGGATTATGTGGAGTGTTCACCGAAGACAAAGTACAAGGTTGAAGAAGTTTTCGCCAAAGCGGCAAAATTAGCTTTGGAGGAACGACCAAAGAAAAGGAAGATGTGTGTTGTGGTATAGTAATATCGTGTTATACAAGTCAAAAAATCTGACGCAAGTTGGGAAAGAACTAAGTAAGATAAATCATAAAAAATGTTATAATTTCAATTTCAAATAAACATTTCAACAATCAGACTCTTTATTTTCAACGCCTTTTCTTCTGTTGTGGCCTCCCGAACGTCTTACCCTTCTGCTTCCCCTTCTTCGCTTCGTGACGCAACCTCTTCGCATTCTTCGTATTCCACAGATCATCGCCGAAATTCGTCTTCTTCCTCTTCGGTCCGGCCTTCCGGACCGTGTCTTCCACCACCGCATTTATCTTCTTCATTTTGTGCTTCTTTTTCGCGAGCTTGGCCTGCAGCAGCGCGACTTTGCCAACTTCACTCTTTGCGCGCTCTTCAGGACTCTCCTTCGCGTTTTTCTTCTTCTTCGTTTTCTCGGGCTTGCTTTTGTCGGTTTTATCCTTCAGCGAGAGACGTTCCTTCTCATCTTTCCGTTGTTTCTTCGTTTGGAACCATGGCCGTTCTTCACTCTTTTCCCCTTTGAGGATTTTCTCCATTTTATTAGCTTGATTCTCGACTTTCGCCAGTTGTCTCTCTTCATACTCCTCTTGAAGAATTTGGGTGATCTGAGGTTCGAGTTTCTCGAGTTTTTGTCGGTACTTGTCGACGATGTCTGGAGGGATCACTCTACTTTTGACTGGGTTTTTCGCCCTTTTTATTACCTCTTTGACAATTTTCCGTTCTTGTTCGCCGGCCAGGCTTACGGAAACCCCTGCACGTCCCGCCCTAGCGGTTCTCCCTACTCGATGAATGTAGTGTTCGATAGTGGCGGGCATAACGAAATTGATTACAGTTTGAACACCCTGTATGTCCAGACCGCGTGCTGCCACGTCCGTCGCAACCAGTACGTCTACGTTTTTATCTTTAAATTTTTGTAGAGCGTCTAAACGTTGTGGTTGAGTCAAGTTCCCGTGAAGCTCGCCCACTTTTAGCCCCAGAAGCCCCAAAAGTATGTGTAGTCTATGTGCTTGCTTTTTCGTTTGTACAAACACCATGCAGTGTTCACGAAACGTCCGACATACAAGAGCGGCCAAAATCGCTTCCCTGTCACCATCTTTGTCAGCCCTAATTCGTACGAACTCTTGCCGCAGATTGAAAGCCACCTCTCGATTACTGTCAACGAACAGCCGGACCGGTTTACTGAGCGAAACGGCAGCTAGACTTTCGACTTCTTCAGTCATCGTGGCTGAGAAAAGCATAGTTTGACGCGTTCTCGCACACTGCTTGATGATTTCTTTCATCTGCTCTGCAAAATATTCGTCGAGCATTCGGTCTGCCTCATCTAAAATTAATACTTCGATCGAGTCCAGCCCGAACGTTGGGGTACTCTTCAAATGGTCGATTAAGCGACCAGGAGTCGCTATAACAATATCGGGGTTTTTGCGCAATACAGTTTCTTGGGCTTTAAGATCCAGTCCACCCACGGCAAGCCCGATTTGAATATCCGTAAACTGAGATAATTGTTTAGTGACTTGGTAGACTTGAACACCCAGTTCTCTAGTGGGGACTAGAACCAGAACTCGTGTTACTGTAGTACCATCAGCTGGTCTGTATAAAAGTCGTTCTAACGTAGGTAGCATGTACGCCGCTGTTTTACCAGTACCGGTGGCGGCGCACCCGCAAATATCCCGCCCCAGTAACGCCACTGGAATCGTGGACGCTTGAATGGGAGTCGGGTGCACAAATTTCATCTCTCCTATCGCTTTGAGCAACGGCCTTGACAAATTCATTTGATAGAAACTAGCATGTTCCGTTTCAACGTCCACGTGTTCGAAAAACTCTTCACTATCGTCTTGCACAGGACCCTTTTTCTTCTTCTTTTCTTTGATTTTTATTCTGTCGTGCTTAAGCTCGTCGTCAGAGAGTGACACGTCCGACTCCGGCTCCACTGTTTCGTGCACGTTTTCGTCATCCTTTTGTAAGAATTTCTTAATTTTGTCGTCAGTTTTTGTCTTGGCTTTGCGTTTCACGTATTTGGTTAAATCATTCCAGGAGTCTTTGTTGTACTCTTCGACCGAACTAACGAATTGAAAGTCGGTGTCGAAGTCTGCTTTGCGTTTGTTTTTCTGTTTGGAAGGTTGAAACTGCAAGAAAGTGCGTTATTTGTGGTACATGAGGGTATGGGGAACCTAACCTCAATTTCCGCATCGGATTCTTCAGAGAAGTCTTCGATTTCCTGGTCGTCGTCGATTGTGCGGATTAAGTCGACGAATTTGGATTGCGGTTCTTGTATCATTTCGTAAATTGGTAAGGAAACGTGTGGCAACAAAAAAAGTTTCACATGGAAAATCGAAACAAACAAGTTTTCACAAATTGTTTTGTTGGGTATGCAACCAATAATACCAATAGTAAGTGATCTTTTACAAAAACAATTCTTGATCACGAAAATAATAAACGTTAAGGAAAGAATTATCTGAAATTGTTCTCTTGTATAATTTTTAAAAATGGTGGAATTTACAAAAATATATTTTTAATTAAAAAAAAAAAATAAAAACAAATCGAATTTATGCAACCAATAATACCGAAGATTCGTTGCTAGCCAATCACATAGTACCATTTTGAATTTGAGATTTGCTACTAACTTAAGAACTTTTATGTTTTGATTTCTTCGTCTTAGCATTGTTTAAATCTATATTATACTTAAACAAAGATTCTAGGTTCCAAATATTCCCACAGATGACTGTATTAAAATTTTTAAATTAACTATTTCCATAATTTTTAAATAAATTCAAAGGTATCTCACCTTTTCAGCGTTATATGTGTCATTACTGCCGCCAACGATCTGCAGAATTATATATTTTTTAAAGCATTTTTTGGTGAACAAAGTTTGTCAAAGGACATGTCAAGCTGTCATTTTCAACGTTTGTCTTTTTATGAATATGATAAAACTGTTGGAACAAAGTATATTAACATTAATATGTCAAAGCTACGCAATGCGTTTGAAACATGGAGGAAAGAATATACTATTATTATTAAATACCATCACCACATTATCAATTCTTCGATTATGACATTCATTTTCGGTCTGCTGATCAGTTACGCCACCACGGCTGATCCTCCAGTGGACAAAAACCTTCTAAGTCCCGTTTGTCAGTTTAGAAAATCAAAACGAGGGGCAGAAGGCACGTATTTAGGTGTGGAAGAAGCTTTGCAAACTTTGGAGAAATAAATTTTTGCCAAAGTACTTCGTTATGATCACTACTTGCCAGTGTCTCCGGAGGTCCTTTTGGAAATATTTGAAACTAATTCAATAATATGAATTTAAAAATGCGCTTAGTTAGTTGACTTGTTAAATATTTTTTACACATTATAAAAAGTGGCCACAGAACGTTGCACAACAATGTTTCAGCGTTATTTTAGTATTGATACACATTTTATTGTCTCTTCATGATAAACAACAAACAATTGGTCCAAAGCTGTTTCGGCAGAACTTACCTCGCACCCAAGTACAGTGAAATATATCCAGCACTTTTGAGTAGAGTTGGCCAAAATCAGTCTTATCTGAGCAATTGCTAGCCCCGCCCACCCGCCCCTATTTTCTCAGAGGATAAGTGATTTGCCAAAATCAGTCTTATCTTACCAAGTACTAGGCCCGCCCACCCGCCCCCTATTTTGTCAGAGGGTATGTTATTTGCCAAAATCCGTCTAATCTTAGCAAGTGCTAAGCCCACCCACCCACCCCTATTTTTCTCAGAGGATATGTCATTTGCCAAAATAAGACTTATCTTAACAAGTACTATCAAGTACCACCCCCTGAGAAAATAAAGAGCAGGTGGGCGGGGCTCATGGTAGAAGGAGACATGGTATAGGCATACGCATCTGGTGTGACGTCAAGTGGGGTGAAATTAGCGCGAAATTTAAAATACAATTCGTTATCCGACAACTAATTGACGTATTGGACAGAGCAATGACAACTCAAGCTGAAATTCCCTAGACTTCCCTAGCGAAGCTCACAAGAGTCACAAGGTCGTTGATGCCACCTAACGTCACAAATGGATGCGCAGACCATTTTTAAATTGGTACGTCGGATGCCTATACCATGTCTCCTTCTACCATGGGCGGGGCTAGTACTTGCTAACATAAGTCTTAATTTGGCAAATGACACATCCTGTCGCAAAATAAGGCGCGGGTTGGCGGGGCTAGTAGTTGGTAACATAAGACTGATTTTGGCAAATGACATATCCTCTGAGAAAATAAGGGGCGGGTGGGCGGGGCTAATACTTGATAACATAAGACTGATTTTGGCAAATGAGATCTTCCCTGAGAAAATAATGGGCGGGTGGGTGGGGCTAGCACTTGCTAATACTAAACCACGGAGGTAGAAGAGACCGGAGGGAGCGTACCGTATGCTAGCAATGTAACGATTCTGGCATCGTTCAAGACCCGGTCAGACACCGGTTATGATCTTATTTGAACAAGGCGCCAATATTTGCCAGCCCGACGCAAACGCGCCCTTACACTCAACAGCTGACAGGGTTTGGATTTCCAGTGGCGTACTATCACGTAACACGTGCTGTTTATATGCAATTGTTCGTTCTTGAGTTTGAGTTTAGTTGTGCTGTTTTAGTTTTGGATGTGTTGTTGGTGTTTTTAATTTGAATAGACTTTGATTATAACTAAAGATCATAATAACATTTAGAGACTTATATATAAAGTAGTCAACATAAAATATGTTGCCCCGCCACTGGTTACGACTGCTAAACATTTAGAGGGTGGAGCTTAACACAGCGCGCATTTCAAGTAGGGTCATAAACGGTGCCTGAGTCTGTGTCACAAAATTCACGACACCTTCCCTCCGGTCTTTTCTACCTCCGTGTACTAAACTGATTTTGCCCATTTTAAACTTGTAAAAACTTGTAAAATTTATAGGTATTAAATCGCAAATTTCCATAGCAACGAGTTAAATTCCTAAGTCTACCCGAAATGTGGAAAATATGATAAGTTTTTACTTGTGATTTATCATTGCCTTCATATATTTTTTTTTTGTAGTTTTAGTTTAATAGGGGAAAATCAATCTTATGTTAGCAAGTGCTAGCCCCGTCCGCCTGCCCCCTATTTTCTCAGAGTTTATGTCATTTGCCAAAATGAGTTTTACCTTTGCAAATACTAACCCCGCCCACCCACCCTCCGTCTTCTCATAGGGTATCGGATTTGCCAAAATCAGTCTAATCTTAGCAAGTACTATGTATTTAACAGGATTTTTTAGGACTGATAGGTAACTTTTCAATGAATTTTTTGGTCGTTTTTCGAACATTTTTTGAAAATTACCAAAAAACACTTTCTCGGAAATTTGGACTTGTTACTTTCTCCGAAAATTCCAACAATTTTTCTAGAACTTATGTTTAAAAATTTTAAACTCTGAAGAATCTGAATTATTAGCATCTCTTCAATTTTTTTCTTATTTTTTGACGGTTTTTCAACTGTAGACTTCAGTACTTCATGTTCGATGATGCTCTTTGTTATTGGTGGGTAACGTTAGTATCCTCAATTAACAGAACAGTTGGTCAAAAGTTATTTTGACAAAACCTATCTCGCCCCTGAAGTACAGTTAATAAATTCCGCTTTGAAAAATTATAAAATTTGATTTTGCGATTTTGTGTTGTGATAAGCTCTATAAAGTAACCAGATGGTAACCAGTAGCATAAATAATATCCCCACAACCCGTTTGCTTCGCGGGGGAGGGAGGCAAATTACAAGAGGACGTGGTCCACACAAATTATAACAATAATAAATAAAACGAAGGCGGATTCATAAACCATAGGTATAGGTAAGAACTTTACCATCTACATGATATTCCTAACTCACATACAACGTTTGACAACAATCTTTTCTGTAGTTTCGGAGATTATCTATCTGTCTAATAAATGCCGGACATACGGCAAACGGCGGACAGACAGATAGACAGAAACGGTAGACCTATTGTTTCGTAGTCTAGGGATCATGTGATGTACCGAAAACATGAAAGTAGCCATTCCTTGCATGGATCCTATTTCAATATGTACTTCCTTAGCTTACGTTCGAGAAGTAAAGAGAAACGCATTGTAAACGCGGACGAAGTACAATGAGTGGTAGCGCAAATCACCTCTGTAGGTTAAATTCAGTGCTTCGTAGGTGTTTGCGTGAGCGGTTGGGACTACAATTAAAATGGGCGGGCCGTACAAAATTTGCCCCGTGTCCTTTGTACAAGTGAGTAAATCTGATGAACGCTCAATAGCATAACATGATAACGGAAATGTTGCGCAATACGTGGTAAACGTAAACCAGAAATGGTAAATCGGCGGAAAGTGGTTGCGGTCGGTGACTATTGTGGTAAAACGTACATTATCCAAACATTCGTCAAAGATGAATTGCCGGAACCACAATTAACTTTCGTCAATTTTGACGTGACCGATGTGGAAATAAACGGGACTGTGGTAGAACTACATATCTGGGATACATGCGAAAAAGAAAGATTTGAAGCATCGAGAATTGTTGCGTATAAGGGTGCAAACGCTTTCTTAATATTCTTCTCGATTTATGGCCAGCAAACTTTTGAGAACGTCAAGACGAAATGGGTGCCGGAAGTGAGGAAACACGGACCTAAAAACGTTCCCATTGTTCTAGTGGGGACTCATTGCAAAGAATTGACCCTAAGAAGTGAAAAGGGTGCTGTTAAAAATGAAGACATAGAAGTAATGGTTCGAGAAGTGAACGCTGTTGCCTATGTTGAGTGTTCCGCAGACAACAAATATAATTTGGAAAAAGTGTTTGAGACTGTAGTTGCGGCTACGTTGGAAGAGTAGGCGTGGTTATCGTGGGCGGGGCTAGCGATAATAAAGAACGTCATGGTTAATTATCGTAAATTAGTGGCCATTGGTGATCTCTCTGGCAAAACCTTCGCCATCCGGACGTTCCTTAAAGACGAACTACCAGAACCTGACCCAAATATTCTCGATATAGCTATTACTGACGTCGAAGTAGCTGGGACGATAATGGAATTGGCAGTTTGGGACACTTGTGACAAAGAAAGATACAAAGAATTGAGATTGAATGCGTATCATAACGCGGACGTTGTCTTAATTTTCTTCTCATGTTATGGACAAGACACTTTTAGAAATATTAAAGCTATATGGGTGCCTGAAGTTAGGAAGCATGGACCCAAAAAAGTCCCAATCCTTTTGGTGGGAGTACTCTCTAGGCAATTGCGATCGTTTAGACATGAAGAATCAAACGACTTGATTGGACGTGAACAAATAGACTGTATGGTACGAGAAGTGGGTGCTGTTGGTTGTGTCCAGTGTTGTGCGGATAATAAATACAATTTAGACAAAGTATTTGAGACGGCGGTTGCAGCTACGCTTTAGCGCCATTTGGGACGACATCCGATGAACACGAGACGTGACTTGATTGAGTAGTACCATAAGTGGGCACAGCTTGTATGAATCATCATAACACCGCAGGACCTTGAAATAGTACTATGCACCGGCAAATACTTTTCATACAATAAACATTAATAAAATCGAAGTACTCTCCTGACTAAAGCTCATTTAGCTGAAATTTTCCCATTCCATTGCTATAAATATAAAATCAATATTGCCGCTTATCAATAAAACCCTCCACACCAAATAAAAAAAATTATATTGAATACGTAACAATCACTAGAGTATAAACTTACAATTAAAGATAAATTAATCATTCTTTGAAGGCAAAGTTGTCATAGCTCGAAACGAAATTAAATAGCTAACCCATACACAGATACGATACAAAACATGGTCTTGTTTTCCCAACGAACTGTGCAACTCCCGTCGGTGTTGTTGTCCCAGTAACACGAACTAGCCGTATGCAAACCAGCCCCATTCTTCTGCATTATGGTACACGTGACGATGTACTTGTACGGTTTCATCAGTTTGGTTAGCTCCGACGTGCAACACTCCACAACTGAGGTCGTCCAGTCGTTGACTTTGTTTTGCGAGTAGGCGTTGCCCCCTATCACCGTCTCGATCGCGTCTTTTATAATCTTACTTACGTCGTCCACCACGAATTGGCCCTCCTCTTGCAGGTCCTGCTCCAGGACTTCTTGGTTGGATTTCTCCATGATACTACAAATAATACGTTAGAACGTCGAAACACAACGCAAGGTGTTTGAACTCACTGAATTTTACTTTCGGTAGCTGGAAGCAACAAAATTATAAGCGGAAATCGCCCCTTTTCAAAATCTGTGTGGTGACACTTGACAGGTGCTGACAGGACAACAGGCGCACCAACTGTAGAAATAACTGCTAATAATTCCGAATAAATATTTACGTCTACAAGCTAAGGAAATTGTTGTTGTTACTCAGAAACACTCAAAAGTCATTATTATGGGGCTACGTGAATGTTGCGTCCGAAATTTTATTAAACCAATAAATATCACACACCACAGTAAGTTCGTGTTGCCATCCTTGCGTCCCAAATTCCCTGTTCAGATTCCAGAACTTTCAACGATCGATTTACTTCAAATAAAACTCGCCTTTAAGTAGTAGTAATTAAATTTTTAATTAATAATTAAACACAATAAAATGCAACAAAAATCCCTTAGCCTAATTTCCGTTGAGAACATGTCCCCTGCCCCAGTTGTGCCCCCCGAAAAAGCCCCCGCGTGGGTTTTGTTGGGCGGGTCGCCGGGGCGGCGGCGCTCCAAACCCGTGAACGCCCCCGACTTGGTCCGGGAACCACCCTTTTAAAAATGACGGCGTTTGGAGTAACGATGGTCCCCCCAGCTCTTGTGGGTATTTAAACATCAGGAAAAAGTATAGATGCCCAATTAAAATTCCAATCAGTTCTTGGACGCCTGCTCCTGATATTACCATGTTGAAAGCGAGAAGGACCCACGGCAGGTACATTGCTTTAAACCGCGTTCCGAACCAGAAGTTCACGATTGTGTCTTTGTTGAGTTGGCACCAGATGTAGAGTACTGAGAGAATCATTGGATCTAGTAGTAGCTGAAAAATTTCGTTTTACTTTGAAACTTACAGTAAAAAAACACTTACTGGCATTTCTATAAGGAGGCCAACGATCACGCAACATATCCAGTTAAAAGCCAAGAGGAAGCAATAGTCGGCGGGTCGTCCTGCATATACACCTACACAAAGCACGCTATAAGTTTGCCGATTTAATTTTTGTGACTAACCTTCTTCAAGTCGGCGTGAGTAGTTATATAAAAAGTATAAATTGATTAAATAGTGGAATCCAGTGCTTGGATTCAGAGGGTAGTAGAGGGCGGACGTCACCAATCTCCATATTTGGAACCGTTTTATTGCATCATAATACAGAATTAAATTCTGGGGCTTGAAAATCCCAAAACGTCCGAGTAGAGTGAAACTTACGGTTCCTGATAGCCAATACCGCGTGAAAAGTGGTACGTTTTTGTACCAGTCTCCAAAATCTGACATTTTTACCTAAAACTGGTCACAATTGTAGCGTATTAATTGTAATTTTTATTAAAAATAAACTTTAATCAAAATAAACATAACCTCACTTACTCGTAGTCGTTAATTATTTACTTTCTGTTTTTTATGAAACAACATACTCATAAAAACTGATAAGCTTTGAAGCTCGCAGAAGTTTGACTTGAGCGATGGACACGTAATTGTTAATTTTCTGTTTGTTTAAATCGCTGGTGACATGACACAATTATCCACTAGCTGTCAAAACGGGTGATGATAGTGACGTTTGACAGAAGCTGACGTAGATGTCAAAGGGTCAAAGTATGAGGTGTTTTGTTGGTTGCCTGATCAATTTTAAACCTACGTTTGAAACATCTGCATATTTATGTATCGTATAAATCGTTCAACAGGAATTAGTGTGAAATTTATGTTCTATGTATCCCCTTTAAGGAACGACTTTTGTTTTCTTAAAATATTTTTTACGATATATGCACTTATGAATTGAATTATGCCTTCAGCTACCCGAGAAACACTTCAATATAAATACATCATCGTATAGTTTAAACATTGATTAAATACACGTACCTATGTGTTTAATCGATTGTTTAAATATCAAAAAAATCTTTACGCTCAAAAATATTGTTCTTGTTCGTTTAATTTATTAAAGCTATGACAGTTTTGGAAAAACTTAGCTAAATTAATGTCTAGAGTTTGTTTGTCATCTGTTGGTGATTTTAGCATACAAATAATCTCCCAAACTACTGCACTGATTGTTGGCAAATCTTACGTGCATTTTATGTAGATAATAAAACGCCAACCCAAATTTGTTTGATCATCTCCGCCAACAAATTTGATAAGGTCGTCTAAAAATTTTACCAAATAAACTCTACTTAAACTTTATAAAATAATATGCTTCTGTACTTATGGTTTATAAATATGTCGTTTTTGCCTTGGATTTCTAGATTTAAAGAAAGTCAAAATTGTATAACATTGTAAAATCTAACTTAGAAATTACGAAACCCTGGTTTGAAGTATTGCAAACGTTTTAAGATTATCGTACACATAGTAAATCGCTCATTAAAATTTATCTGTTTTATTTTGTTAAATAAATTATTTCTAAAATAAAAATAAACTACACTCAAATTGGCTGAGAGAGGTGTCCATTCTGAAAAGAAATGATGTCAGAATCTGTAGCGATTTTTACCGTAGCTATTCAAATTAGCGAGAAAAAACATGTTTCAAACTCTCATTTTTTTTTCCCACAATTCCATCAGCTTTTAGGAGTTATCCTAGAAAAAAATCAAATTTTATAATTAATCTAAGAATCTCGATTTGTTTAACTGTGCTTCGGGTGCAAGGAAAGTTCTACCTATATAACTTATAATTTTACATTAACGTTTTTCATTCTTCACATTCCTCGTGCGTTATCTTAGATACACAGATATGATATTGATGGCCGAAACCAAACCTGGAATTATGACAATTCTCAATATCCTCTATTCCATAATGTTTACTCACTACGATAACACGCAATAGTATGCGCATAATATCTATTATCAGCACCTGTAGTGGGAAATAAAATAACCACTAAAAACGTCCAACAATACGATAAAAAAACCCGATAGAAAGACCTCAAATGCACAATAGTTTTAAAGTTCAAAATCTAAAAGCCTTATCGTTAGCCAAGATCACTCTATTGTTATTTGATAATTGGTACATTATTCTGTCCTTTAAAATTATTATTATTAGTGTTACTGCTCGTGATAGTGCAATCCGTGTCACTGTGTCACTCAAAAACTTCTAACTGACCACCTTAAAATGTGATGTTACCCTGAACCACAGATCAGATAATTTGGCGCCAGGTAATTATAACACTTTATCACCTTATCATTTTGCACTTTTAAACTCTAATCATTTAAATACGACCACAGGTTAAATTCGAATTAGAACGGGCCGCAGACGGACTTCAAAAATGTTTTGGAATATGTGTTGTTGTGGACGAAGCCAGAAAGATTCCTCGCTGGAGATGAGTTCTGGTGAGTGTTTACTTATATATGACTTGAGAGAATATCTATAACTAGGTCGTTTCAGGTAATAATGAATCTCAGAATACTCAAATCAGTGTGATTAATACAAATGAGGAGGAAAACGGCCAAAGAATGCGGACAGATACGCAGTCCAGCGGGAACAGCATGCACAGCATTAAGTCATTTTATAGCGCCAAATCCACATCGTCGAGAGATGAAGCGGACTATTATAGTGTTTGTAGTGTGGAGTCGTATAAGAGTACTTGACTGAAATTCACTTTGTTATAAGAATATGTAAATTATAAGGTTAGCTATTGTATTTTTATATTAATATATTTTTTCGCTAGCATTTGTGTTTAAATTCACTCAGATTTTTCAAAGTATCTAGAGGATCAGGTGTTTAACATGGGTCCATAAATCTTAATATGTTTTTAAGAATTGTCAATTACAACTTGAAACAACGACTTAACAAGAAGATTTTTCAATTCAACAGACACTTTTTCTAAACATATATAAAGCACAATCATTAGTTAGTGTTTAGTGTACCTAATATGCTGTGATAACCCAAACATCCCGCCTTAAATTGACGAGTGAAGTTTGGGGCTCCTGGTTGTGGCTGTTCTCCTAGCCACGACGGTGATTCTATCCTATCGTAAAGCTCACGAAAAAACGTGCCTAGACGACTAGGCCGTAACGGTCGCAAACTCGTGTTTGCGTCCTGGTTATCACGAAACCGATATCGTCACATCATCCCGACCGCCCCTGACTTTTATTCTAAGCCTGCATCCCTTGTGCAGATGGCGCGACCGCCAGCTAGACAAGGAACCGCGCACTCCGCTTCTCCCACGTATTATTGTGTTATTTACCTCAATTCCATTTAAATGTTCAATTTCTATAATGCTGATACTAAACTACAATTGAACAAAAGTTAAAGTTCAAAAGAGCAATAAACAACATTTAAGTTCGCCATAGACTCTTGTGAAATTTTAAACAACAAATAATTCTTTTCTGAGATTAATATTGGACATCAGACAATTTATATGATGGAAACATTAATCAACAAAATATTTATATAAAAGAAAACTAGCATAGATTTATAAAACAAAGAAAAAAAAACAATCTGGTGTGAAGTAAAACTTGCATGAAAATTTACGTTCAATTTAAATTATACAACCAAGAAAATTACTGAGACTTATAAATTGTGAGATAGAGAAAAATCGCATGAGGTGCAAACGAACACATAAAAAAAACATAGCAGGCAATCTGGAGGTTCAAAATGGCACGTCCCACATGACCCACAATGTTGTTAATTTGTTCAGCAAGATTTTACAATTCGGTTCGAAAATACTCTTTCAACATGGCCGCTGCCAGAACAAAGAATTTACCTGATGTTAAATTATGCCACACTTTATCAACGATTCAAATAAAGAGTTTACATTATGTTAAATTATGCCACAATCCAAGTTATCGGCTACTTAAAACAATTAACTTTGAGAGTTTATAACACAGTGCACGGTCCCCAGGTATTCCCAAACAAAACACATGAAAAATAAACAATACAAAATATATTCGGCGTTGTGTGAAAAGCTTCTCGGTGATGTAATTTTCCAGGTTTCGAGAAAAATATGTCTCGATGATGTGATGATGATATGATGATAATAACGATGATAACTGCCTAAAGGGAAGAATTTATAATCCCCCGTATCTCAGTCCACGACATTGTGAATTCTACCGTACTTTCACGGTCCTTTTCCCAGAGTGGGGTAATCTTAGGTTAATTTTAACTGGCATAAATGAACTATTAGCATTCTTGTGTGAGGAATTAAGAAGTGTTATAATGTAACACTTAAGTATAAGCATCCAGAAACTTATTCATAACTAGATAAACAAAGAATGAGTCCTGACTAAGTGAATTTCATGTAATCTCCTAGCAAATACTCTATCTAAATAATCTCAGGACGTCAAATTGTGTTAGACTTAGTTAATGATGAAAATCCTAACATGAACTGCGAATTTACAAACAATAAAACAGCACGTGTTAGCGTCGGTCAAAAATTCGCCTATTTCCGTTTGGAAGAACTGCAAGAATTAGTTACGCGTGTTGGGAAACTGTGGCGTCGTCGTCGTTACGATTAATTTTCGTTAAACAAAGGCTCTCCCTTTTTTATTAACTACCAAACCAACTAAACTTCACCTAGCTAACTCACGACGTGGTTTTCACTCACAACAAAACAAACCCAAAGCGAAGCCTCTCATCTCCCTACTAAGCCTCCAACTTCTACCAAACTTCTCACTAAAATTCCAAGCAGAACTACCAACTACCAGAAAAAGAACTAAACGTGCACGTGGTTGCCTATGTTTAACGATTTTCTTGATTTAATTTTTTCAGATTCAAATTATTCAAATGTGATTTCGCACCGCTGTTAATTTTTTCAGCGCGAAATTTTAATTTAAATTCGGTCACCACAATGGCGTTACTTTTTTTTCCTAATTTTACGGAAACTAAATGCGGTATTTTTGTAAATTAACAAAAAAAAAAAGTAAAATTAAAGAGGAATTCTTGGTTTGATCTTGAAAATATTCTGCTATGCAGACCACATTTTTACAGTAAGTACACATTACATTTAAGATTGAACTGCATCATAAAATTGCTATCAGACAGACAGGTAGACGAAGGCAAGAAACTGATATTTTTTACTGTGTAAGCTTATAACACAGAACAGAGTCAACCTATAATGATATCCTTTGGTTGAAGCCACACATGGAACAAAGAAGATTAACAAAACTTGTTAATCTCCTTTGCATGGAGGGAGAATGACAGGGTATCAATGTTAAAAGTTTAGTGAATAAGCGTCCTAATTATGGAATAAAACTAAAATATTTACAGCAACATAAAAGTACAAATAAATTTCTATGCAATAGCCACTATATTTTACTTTATTAAATTATTTTTGTGTAATGTGTCATGTCCGTTCCCTCGAAAAGCACTTTCGAGCACGCCACTGGAATTACCATTTTGTCGATAAAGTTGAAAGAGCCATTTATAACTTTAATCGTAACGCTTTTTCCAACTATTTACTTTCCGCTCATTATATCTCTATCCAATAAAGCACGTTTTGTCGCTAATTGATAACACCGGAAACCGGTTCCCCTAAAAAAAAACCGTTATCGACTCCTTCGCCACAGCTGCATGCAATGACAATATTGACATTTGATTTGACATTTGACGTTTGCACAGCGCTCTCTACCCCACTTTCGCAAACTACACAAACTTTTCCCGCCTTTTTGTTTTTATCAACACCGCAAATTCTTCTTCCCAAACACCGAAAAAACCTCTTCAACTCCAATTTACTCAGCGCAAATCCCCCAGGCGACTTCGCAAACAAGGTAAGAGCAAAAATTTCGCACGAAATCTCTTAATGTAATGCAATCACAGCAATGCCTTCTCCGGCCCCACATCGCACCCCCCGAGCCAACCGTCTCGACGAGGATGCCCCCACGCCGCGCGCCCGGAGGCAAGCCGGGGGCCAAACTCCCAGAGGCCACCGCACTCCGGCGCGCGAAGACCCGCCAACCCCCTCGCGGACGCCTCGGAGGGGCCAAGCCACGCCGGCCCGGAGCGACACCATCGATACGCCAATGCGGTGGGGCGCAGCCCTAAGGGACGTGGACGGAGACGGCGACATTCCGGCGTCTCCGGCGCAGAGCATGCCAGCGTCGAGCCCCGCAGCAGGTAGGTTTTTAAACTTTTCGAGATTATTTGGGTTGGAACTTGGTGAAAAATTGTAGGCTTGATGAGCGAGATTGATTTGAGTTCGCCGTTGAATTACGGCACGCCGTGCTCGTTGGGCTCGATCCGCACCCCCAGGTCCGGAATCAGGGGGACGCCCATTCGAATGCGTCCTGACGTGCGGACTGATCGCAGGATTCGGCAAGTGAACGTTGGAGATGTGAGTCAGTATTTTTTTTTTTTAGTTTTTTGTAATTGCGGGTTTTAGTTGGAGACAGTGCCAGAGGGTGGGGAGAGTGACGCAGGGCCGCATTTGGTTATCTGGGGCACAAATGTTTCCGTGGCCGAATGCAAGGAGAAGTTCAAACAGTTTATTTTGAGGTTTATTGATCCGAATGCTGAACAGGACGAACGGACCGACGATATGAACGTCAATGAGCCGCTGTATTTTCAGAAGCTGGATGAGGTGAGTTTGAAATGTTTGATAAGTTTGGGGTTACGTAGGAATATTGTAGATTAACACTCTTGAGGAACCGTTTTTGAACGTGAACTGTGCCCACATTGAGACTTTCGATGGAAATTTGTATAGGCAACTTGTCAGTTATCCACAGGAAGTGATACCAACATTTGATATGACGATCAATGAGATGTTTTATGAGAGGTATCCGGCTGCGGAACTGGAGCACCAGATACAAGTGAGGCCTTTTAACGCCGAAAAGACGAAGAATATGAGAGCGCTTAATCCTGAAGGTTTTTTTTTTTAATAAATTTCTGTGTTTTTTTATTTATAATTTTGTCACAGATATTGATCAACTGATTACCATAAGTGGGATGGTCATTCGGACGTCCAACATTATGCCAGAAATGAGAGAAGCTTTCTTTAAGTGTATAGTGTGTTCTTTTACGACCTCTGTTGAAATAGATAGAGGTCGTATCACGGAACCCACGCTTTGTACCAGCTGTAATACCAATCACTGTTTCACTTTAGTGCACAACAGGTCCCAGTTTACTGATAAGCAGATGATAAAACTCCAGGAATCCCCAGGTTAGTTCCTTTAATTTTTGTTACCAATATTGGTAGTGCTGGGTTGAGCTGAAGTACATCCCAGAACTGATGGATTAAAAAAAATCAATAATGATGGTAGACGCAAGGGTTAACAATTTTCAAAATAATGGCAGCAAATAATTAGACTGGAAAAGTCCAGGGGTTTGTTTCATAATAATAAAAAACCCAGTGACAATAAAACTGTTTTATATCAAAAATTGTTCATATGAAGTTCTTGAAAGAAGAACCAGCAGTTTTAAAGAAGATTGTATCCAAAAAATTGAGTTTAATGTAAGAGAACGTCAAGATTACCAAATAGTGACGTAGAATTAAAGACAGGTTTTCAAATAAAATGTATAGTGATTTACAAAAGATGTTGAAATGGGTCCAACTAGATTCCATTATTTTTTTCAAAATCTTCCACATACTTCAAATCTAATTGATGAATAAAAGTTTTTTCTTTTTAATTTGTCTTTTTTATGTCAATTCAGAATTTTTTTCACGATTTATTAACTAACCAAAATTAAAAAAAAATATGTGGTATTACATAACAAAATATTAATTCTCGTCACAGACCTAGATAGTATTATTTCAAATTTCGTTATTTTTTACTTCCCGAGCGTAAGCGAAGGAAGTATTGTAATCGAGTCCGTTGGCCGATTTTCTTGTTCTTTCCGTCTGTTTGTCTGTCCGTCCGTGTGTCCGTCTGTCTGTGTGTCCGTCTGTCTGTCTGTCTGCCGTCCCGGATTTTTATTAGACAGGTTATCTCTCGCAAATACACTTACCGACACGAAAAACGGGCCACCCGTATTTTTTTTTCAAAGATCCGATAATCTGCAATTCGGTTTTGGATTTTGAGAAGCCGTTAAATTACGAGTAAAGTGATATACACTTAGATATTTATTTCATTTTCAATTGATAAAAAAATTCAATTTCAATTGATAAAAAGTATAAACATAAAACAAATGAAATTTAAGTGAAATAAATTACACTTATACTTTATTCTATAATCAAGAAGATCTGTATTTTACTATATGTTCGAATTGTCTTAACATATCGTAGTTCCGTATTTCATTATATTGTCATTTTTTATGTTAAAGTTAAAAAAAAAACAAACATTTGAATTCGCCATACACTTTCGTGAAATTTGAAACAGCAAAGAATTCTTATCTGAGATTAAGATTGGACAGCAGACAATTTATATGATAAAAGTATTAATCAACAAAATATTTACGTGGTCAAAATACTAGCAAAGATTTATAAAAACAAAAAAAGATCTGGTGTGAAATAAAACTTTTACAAATAGAAAAACAAATTACGTGTGGTTAGAAACTGCAGAGCATGAAAATTTACGTTCAATTTAAATTATACAGCAAGTGAAATTAGTGAGGCTAAAATTGTGATATAGAGAAAAATTGTATGAGGGAAAAAATTGCAAAGCTAACAAAATTACATGAGTTTAATATTTACCACACTTTATCAACGATTCAAACAAAGAATTTACATTATGTTAAATTATCCCACACTTTATCAACGATTTAAACAAAGAATTTACATTATGTTAAATTATGCCACACTTTATCAACGATTCAAACAAATAATTTACAGGATGTGAAATTATGCCATTATCCAGGTGACTGGTTACTTGAAATTATTAGTATTCATTAGCATTGAGAGTTTATATCTTGGACTGTCCCCAGCTTATCCCAAACAAAACACATGATAAATAAACACAAAATGCATCCGTGTTGCGAGAAAAGCTTCTCGGTGATGTAATTTTCCACGTTGCGAGAAAATATGTCTCGGCGATGTGGTGATGATAACGATGATAATTGCCTAAGGGGAAAAATTTATAATCCCCTGTATCTCAGCCCACGATATTATGAATTCTGCCATACTTTCACCGTCCTTTTCCCGGAGTGGAACAACGTTAGATTAATTTTACTGCTGTAACTGAACTAGCAACACTTAAGTATAAGTACCCAGAAACCTTGTATATAACTCGATAAACAAAATAATAATAAATAAAGTAAATCTCATGACTGTTAAATTGTGTTAGAATCAGTTAACGATTAAACTCCTAACATGAATTCATCATTGCGTTATACTTTGTTCAAACGAAAGAGTCAGTGATCACGTGAAGCCCGCATTATGCATTTTGGAGCCGAGTGCGCGTAAGATTACTGCGCTTAGTCCGTGTTACACTGTAGAGAAATTTTAAGTTCTGATTTTGACAAAATAATGTTTCCAACATCCGATATGATAACGCTTCAAGTATAAAACAAGCAGAAACACAAAGGACGGAAGCAAGGAGACGACAAAACGCAAGGGATGAGTGAACAATGAGACGCACCGGCAACGCAATATCAGTACAGTGTAAAACTGGCTTGGGAAAAACCCTCCCTCAAATTTGTTGACCAATAGGCAGTTGAATACGCGCTGATCACGCGTCTTTATTGCTGACTTTTTCACTTGATTATATTATAATATTTTTACTTCCCGAGCGTAAGCAAAGGAAGTATTGTAATCGAGTCCGTCGGCCGACTCTCTACTTTTACGTTTTCTCGATCTTTCATGACCCCTAGAAGACGAAGAAATAGGTCTCCCATTTCCGTCTGTCTGTCCGTCTGTCCGTCTGCCGTCCCGGATTTTTATTAGACAGATAATCTCCGAAAGTACTCGACCGATTGTTGTGAAATTTTGTACTTATATTAAGAATATCATGTAGATGGTAAAACGCTAACCAAAATTTGTCTAATCATCCCCACCACTAATGCGATGACGTCACTTCAAAATTGTACATAGTAAATGGGTTTTCAATTGTATAAAATAACATAGTCCTACACATGTAGTTTACAACTCCGAATCGACTTTTCACCCGAAACGTCCAGATTTTTGGAAAAAAAATCAAAATTATAAAACAACATTTTGAAATTTAATTTTTAATCTGCTAACCAGAATGCTTTGAAATGTTGCAGATGTTTTAAGGCTATAAAGAGCATCATAAATCTTTAGTCAAAAAATATTTACTTATCCCCTCCAAAAACTTGATGACGTCAGCTCAAAAGTTTGTGGAATAAATCATATCTAAAATGTACAAAATATGATGAGTCTGTACTTGTGATCTATCACTCCATTCATATTTTTTGGATTTGCATATACAGGGTGACTCAAAAAAATTAATGAATGCGTAAATTTATTTTACTGATTTACTCAGAAACTACAAAACCGAATGCTTTGAAATCTTGCAGATGTTTTAAGGTTATAAAGAGCATAATAAATGTTTAGTCAAAATATATTTGCTTATCCCCTCCAAAAACTTGATGACGTCAGCTCGAAAGTTTGCCGAATAAATCATATCTAAAATGTACAAAATATGATGAGTCTGTACTTGTCATTTATCACTCCATTCATATTTTTTGGATTTGCATATACAGAGTGACTCAAAAAATTAATGAATGCGTAAATATATTTTATTGATTTAATCAGGAACTACAAAACGGAATGCTCTGACATCTTGCAGATGTTTTAAGGTTATAAAGAGCATAATAAATGTTTGGTCAAAATATATTTGCTTATCCCCTCCAAAAACTTGATGACGTCAGCTCGAAAATTTGCCGAATAAATCATATCTAAAATGTACAAAATATGATGAGTCTGTACTTGTGATCTATCACTCCAGTCATATTTTTTGGATTTGCATATACAGCGTGATTCAAAAAAATAAATGAAAGCGTAAATTTATTTTACTGATTTACTCAGGAACTACAAAACCGAATGCTTCGAAATCTTGAAGATATTTTAAAATTATCATAAGTATGGTACATTTTTGATCAAAATGTATTTGGTCGTCCCCCCTAAAAAATTTATGACGTCACCACAAAATTTTGCTGAATAAATCCTATCTAAAATGTACAAAATATGGTGAGTCTTTTCTTGTAATTTATCATTCCATTCAAATTTTTTCGATTTGCATATACAGGGTGACTCAAAAAAATTAATGAATGCGTAAATTTATTTTATTGATTTAATCAGGAACTACAAAACCGAATGCTTTGAAATCTTGCAGATGTTTTAAGGTTATAAAGAGCATAATAAATTTTTAGTCAAAATATATTTGGTTATCTTCTACAAAAAACTGATGACGTCAGCTCAAAAGTTTGCCGAATAAATCGTATCTAAAATGTACAAAATATGATGAGTCTGTACTTGTGATTTATCATTCCATTCATATTTTTGGATTTGCATATGCAGGGTGACTCAAAAAAATTAATGAATGCGTGAATTTATTTTATCGATTTAATCAGGAATTACAAAACCGAATGCTTTGAAATCTTGGGAATATTTTAAAGTTATTATAAGCATGGTAAACTTTTGTTCAAAATGTATTTGTTCATCCCTCCTAAAAAAATTGATGACGTCACCCTTAAATTTTGCTGAATAAATCCTATCTAAAATGCAAAAAATATGATGAGTTTGTACTTGTGATTTATCATTCAAATTCATATTTTTTAGATTTTCTTAAGAGGTGGTTCAAAAAAATTAATGAAGTCAATTTATTTTATTGATTAAATTAAAGGCAACACTTATTATTAGTATTACACCCCAACTAACCCAATTTGGTAGACACAAAATTTGTTAAAGGAAAAACTCGGTTGAAACATAAGGGTAGCACGCTTATTTACATCGACTTTAACATTACAGACCTGCATTTGTTTTATGCGCTCACTTGGTTCCGCGAATGTGGAATAGACATGTTTATAATCAACCAATTGTGAATTTCACCGTCAAGAATTAAAATAAAACCCAATGTTTTATACAGCCTGTTATTGAAAGGTACGTACAAAATAAAATCGGCAATTGGTTTCGAAGTATAGGTGCTAAAAGTTAAAAAAAGTTCAGGTAAAACTGTTCTCCTTTTAGAGATAAAAATTATTAAAATTTATGTCCAAATTCGTTGTACGCCTCTGATAAAAAGATCATCTTTCGTTTCTATAGTAACCTTTAATCTCGACAAAAGTTTTATTGTTACAGTTGCTAGGATTTACTAAAATAAATTAATTTTATCTATTTATCCTTCAGGACCGTCTAAAAAGGTTGGATAAGGGTTAATTTTCCCTTTATAATTTTGATAACACAAAATAAGTTTTTCCAACTTCTTAGACTTCGCAAAGAACTGTCCATTTTGTTGTACGTACCTTTCAATAACACCCTGTATAATAAGCGGAAGTCGAAGCAATAAAACCGATGGTCGTTGTGTTTACAGTTTCTCTGTTTGACTCTCACGTATGCTGTTACGCTTGTCATCTTAAATTAAGAATGTTTATACATAAACGATTTTCAGTTGCGCCTCATATTACTAGACAGCGGATTTCTGTCGGGCTACGTCACGATTATAGGGGGGGACGTGCTGGATCGCCGGGTGATAGATAATCACTGAATTTAATCGGTACCAATTCCATAAATATAATTAACGATTTATTAATCAAACGGCTAAGTAAATGAGAACGGGAATTAACAGCAGAGTGCAACGAAACAGCGTTATTCTAATCTCAAATAAACGAAGTGCAGTCCGCAACCGCAATGAATTCGCATCCCGTACGAGCCGTATCGAGTTTGGCCTTGCCTAGCCCGACAGAAATCCGCTCTCTAGATATTACACACCGGCGCCGTATACGTGAGTAAATTGTTTCGTTATTTTATTAATTATAAGAAATCAATATTCAAAACGACCCAATTCATTTTCCCGAAAATTTGGGAATACAATAATTTTATTCTTAGTATTACACTACATCTATCCCAACTGATATACGTGTCCTTGCAAAAATGTTGATGACGTCATCACATTTTTTTTTTAAATTCCCACTACAAAAATGTAATGAGAAAAAAAAACACAATAGGCATGCAGTCGTCAAGTTTCCGACAGCGAGGGAAGTACTGTCTAAACTCTTTAGACCAATTTTTTATTGATTAAATTAAGAACGAGTCATCCCATTTTCCCGAAAATGTAAAAATACAAACGTCTTTATTTAATAAGAATTATAATAATCATATTTAGAACATTTTGTTGATTGTAGCTTACTCTTAGAAGTAGTTTTGATCCCTGTTTTGAGGGGACGAACTCATTCAAATCAAACTAATTTCTACGTGACGTTCTTCCGATGTATAAACATTTCTGTTTTACTTTCACGTCTACAGGTTAATAAGTGTAATAGCTACTTGTCTTAAATTACGAGTCCCATAAATGATTTTCAGTTCAGTCTTCAGTGGCACCTCTGTTATTATATACGGCAGACGTAATCTTCGATCAATTTTTTAATGGTACGATGTGTTGGATAAATTATTTTTTAACAAAAAACATTCTAAAATAAAATAAGCTGCTAAAAACGTTGTTTCGTACATAATATAATTTATGAGTAAGTCACGGCATACAATTAAATCTAATAATTTGCTTCCTTGAGAAACAAGAATGCAGTGATTTAATATTCACTGGCTCTGAGGCCCAGAGATGGATTCACTAACAGAGTACCTCCTAAATAATTCAGAGATGACAAAATCCCAAACGGTGATTTTTGTAAAGTTTCATGCTTACCTCAAATTTACGAGGGTTTGAAAGACACGCCTTCAATACACCACGTGATCTGCGTCATGAGTTAATCCGAGTCTTCTTTTGGCATTACCAGACGACATGCCTGCTGGACAGACCCCCCACACGGTGGTCCTTTTTGCCCACAACGACCTCGTCGACACAGTCCAAGCCGGTGACCGAGTTACAGTAACCGGTATATACAGAGCGCAAGCCCTTCAAGTCAACCCTCGCCAACGCAACCTTCGAGCCGTGTATAAAACCCATATAGACGTTCTCCATTTCCGCAAAATCGATACCAAACGGCTATACGAAGAAGAGGACGGGTAAATCATAAAGCTATCAACTACACTACAAAACTACATTGTTTTTAATACAGAAAAGACCATCGGTTTCCTCCGGAGCGCGTGGAACTTCTACAGCTGCTCTCAGAAAAGGAAGATATTTACGACAGATTAGCGAGAGCCATAGCCCCCTCAATTTACGAAAACGAAGACGTAAAGAAAGGGATTCTTCTGCAGTTGTTCGGGGGGACGAAGAAGACTTTCGTCACGTCGGGCCGGACGAATTTCCGGTCGGAGATCAATATACTGTTGTGCGGAGATCCAGGTGGGTTGCGGCATCATTGGTCTTCCAATTCTTGACACTATTTTGGCTCGTGTAGGCACGTCGAAGTCGCAGCTGCTGCAGTACGTCTACAATTTGGTGCCTAGGAGTCAGTACACGTCTGGGAAAGGATCGTCAGCGGTGGGATTAACCGCTTACGTGACCAAAGACACCGAAACTAGGCAACTCGTGCTGCAAACCGGAGCGCTAGTTTTAGCTGACAACGGCATCTGCTGCATTGATGAGTTCGATAAAATGAACGATTCTACGAGGAGCGTTCTTCACGAGGTACTCTCTAAACACGAAATATGGGAGTTTGTATCTTCGTGGGTTTTAGGTGATGGAGCAACAGACCCTCAGCATAGCCAAAGCCGGCATCATCTGTCAACTGAACGCACGTACTTCGATCCTCGCTGCAGCCAATCCTTCGGAATCTCAGTGGAACAAAAATAAAACGATCATCGAAAACGTGCAACTGCCGCACACCCTCCTGTCGAGGTATGTTCAAATCAGGAGCCACTCCCTCAATAATAGTAATGTACATAATTACGAATTCTTCCAGATTTGATCTAATTTTTCTGGTCTTGGATCCACAAAGCGAGCTTTTTGACCGCCGCCTCGCCTCCCACTTGGTGTCCCTCTATTACAAAACCCCCCAGCAAGAAGATGACGAAATTTTGGTAACAACCAATCTATTTCCAGTCCCTTCCTTACTTAATTCTTCCAGGACATGTCAATCCTTCGCGACTACCTAGCCTACGCCAAAGAACACATCCAGCCGAAGCTGAGTGAAGAAGCTTCCCAACGGCTCATCCAAGCTTACGTTGACATGCGTAAGGTGGGGTCTGGTCGTGGCCAGATCTCCGCATATCCTCGACAGTTGGAATCGCTGATTCGGCTGTCGGAGGCGCACGCCAAGGTGCGCTTTTCGCAGACGGTGGAGATCGTGGACGTGGAGGAGGCTTGGAGGTTGCATCGGGAAGCTCTGAAACAATCGGCGACCGATCCGCTGTCTGGGAAAATCGACGTGGGGATTTTGACGACGGGGTTGAGTAGCGCGGCGAGGAAGAGGCGGCTGGAGTTGGCGCAGAGCGTGAGGAAGTTGATTGAGAGCAAGGGCGGTGTACCCACTATTAATTATCAAAAGCTGATGGCGGAGATCAAGGAGGGTTCGAATGTTATGGTGACGAGGGAGCAGTTTGAGGATGCGTTGAAGGATTTGCAGGATGAAGGGATTATCGTGGTTATGGGGAAGACTACGATACGGGTGTGCAAGAACAGAGATTGAGGAGTGGTGATTGGGGTTACGATGTTGTTTTAAGGAGTGTATTTGTACTGCATTTTATTGAATAAAGTAGTTTTTTTGACCATATACTATTGGTATAGATGATGTAAACTGTTAAGTGATCACTGCAACAAAAGGGGTGAAAAAAAAAAAAAATGAAAGCCTACGAAAAATTCAAACATTCAAAATTTAGCCTTGGTTGTGATCGTCTAATAAAATGGTACCTACGTGGGCCTCAAAGTTGGAAAAGTACCGCTAAATAAAACAATTATTTATTCCTCCACTGACAAAAAAAAAGAAAAAGAAAAAAAAGCTGCGACTAAGTTGCAGCACCGCTTAATAATCAGCTACAAAAAAAAAACTGAATGAAATCAAATTAAACGTTCTGAATCAATTTCATTCTAGAGCACAGCAAAATTACCCATAGGGGGCGTTGTAGCTCGAGCGGAGTTTGGGGTTCCTGGTCGTGGCTGTTCTACACACGACGGTGATTCTACTCTATCGCAAAGCACTACCGCCGAGCGCCCCTCTTTCACAAAGAAACGTGCCTAGACGAGCAGGCCGTTACGGTCGCAAACTCGTGGTTTGGTCCCGGCTATCACGAAGCCGACAGCGTCACGTCATCCCGACCGTCCCTGACTTCTATCTTAGGCCTGCATCCTTTGTGCAGATGGCGCGACTGCCAGCTCGACAAGGAACCGCGCACTCCGTTTCCACCACGTATTATTGTGTTATTTAACATCAATTCCATTTAAATGTTCAATTTCTATAACTCTGATATTAAAATATAACTGAACAAGTGTTAAAGTTTAAAAAAGAGCAATAAACAACATTTAAATTCGCCATACATTCTTGTGAAATTCGAAACAGCAAACGATTCTTATCTGAGATTGAACATCAGACAATTTATATGACAGAAGCACTAATCAACAAAATGTTCACATTGAAAAAAACTAGCAAAGATTTATAAAAACAAAAAAAGATCTGGTGTGAAGTAAAACTTGAGCAGACAAAAATTACGTGAAATTAGAAACTGCAGAGCATGAAAATTAACGTTCAATTTAAATTATACAACAAATAAAATTACTGAAGTTAAAATTGTGAGATAGAGAAAAATTGTATGAGGTGAAAAATTGCAAGCTAACAAAATTACATGAGTTTAATATTTTGTGTTCATTCGAGTTATTGGTTAATTTTTAAAAGTGAAGTTATTCAGCTGTATTGTGGGCTATTGTTTTACATTCCCCTAAACAAGCACAAAAATGGTAAATTATGCTTCACTTTATTAACGATTCAAACAAAGAATTTACGTGATGTAAAATTATGCCTTGATCCAAGTGCTTGGTTACTTAAAACAATTAACTTTGAGAGTTTATATCGTGGACTGGTTATCCCAAACAAAGCACATGATAAATAAACAACACAAAATGTATCCAACGTTGCGAGGTATGTGCGTCTCGGTGATGTGATGATGATAACGATGATAACTGCCTAAAGGGAAAAATTTATAATCCTCCATACCTCAGTCCACGATATTATGAATTCTACCGTACTTTCACGGTCTTTTTCCAGAGTGGGGCAACGTTAGATTGACTTAACTGCTGTAAATGAACTATTAACAATCTGGTGTGAGGAATTAAGAAGCGTTATAATGTAACACTTAAGTATAAGCATCCAGAAATTTATTCATAACTTTGTAAACAAAGGGCGGGTCCTGACTAAGTGAATCACATGAAATCCTCCTAGCAAGTACTTTATCTAAACAAATCTTAAGGCCGTTAAATTGTGTTGGACTTAGTTAACGATTAAAATCCTAACATGAACTGTGAATTTACAAACAATGAATGAAATTTACACCACATGTTAGCGTCAGTCGAAAATTCACTTATTTCCACTTGGAAAGCTGCAATAATTAGCTACGTATATTGGGGAAACTGTTGCGTCGTCGTCGTTACGACTAATTTCGTTAAACAAAGGGTTTCACCTTTTTATTAACTACCAAACCAACTAAACTAAACATAGCTAACTAAGCACGTGGTTTGTACTCACAACAACAAACCAAAAGTGGTCCTCTCCCCCCCTACCAAGCCGCCTTCTTCTACCAACTCTCTAACTAAAATTCCAAGCAGAACTACCAAATACCACAAAAAGAACTAAATGTGCACATAGTTGCTTAAGTTTAACGATTTTCGTGATTGTATTTTTTTCAAATTCAAATTATTCAAATGCGATTTCGCTCCACTGTTAATTTTTTTCAGCGTGAAATTTTAATTCAAATTCGGTCACCACAATATGTAGGTTTGTACAAGTTGTCTTCGTTGATTCGCTATTCAGCTTACAAAAATTATATTTATACATTTTTTTATTATCCTTCCTTATTGACCCTTTTCCTAAGAGCGTAAAACTTCCATAGTGACTTTCCGTGGGCACGGATTTTCAAAACCACGTTGGAAATAGCATTCGGTAGCAGAGCAAATACCTGTGACAACAATTAAAGTGCGATTGAAATGTGACTCGTGCATGAGGATTAGCTCACTAAACGACGTCGCCAAACGGCGTTGTTATGGTGATGGCAACATTATTATAGCGACGTCGTTTTGCGACGTCGCTAAATCAACTTGAAATTGGCCCCTCACAATCAAGAAAGTGTCGACTCTCGCAACCTTGGCAACTGTAAATATTGTTACATAATCTTAAACTCGAAAAAGCGAAAACGCAATTTTTGTTGACTGAATAAGAAAAGAAAAAAGGAATGCACGAGTTTCGAATAGTTCTTATTTTGGTGGTTGCTGGTTTCGTGACGACTCACGCGGCAGAGGGCGAGACAGAGTACTCTTCTACGATACCTAAATATGTAAACTTGCTTTTCCTGTCTACAACTGTTTTGGTTGCCAGCCTCATCCGCATAATCGTCCTTGTAAGTGCATTTAGGTTCAACACCAAAAATAAACAATTCTACCTCATTGATCGTTCCAGAAATTTAACATTCCGATTCCGTTTGCTGCCTTTGCGATCTTATTCGGCCTCCTGTGGGGCACCATCGCGTACCACAATCAATTCGCTCGACGGGTTTCTGCAGTCGTCTACATGGACCCCGACGACATTCTCTACGTATACACTCCGACTTTGATTTTCTATATCGCCTTTAGCGTAGACACTGGGATAATGGAAAAAATTTTACCACAGATCCTTGTGATAGGATTTCCTGGTTTTAGCTAACCTTCGGGAAACGATATAACCTAGAATATGACTGCTTTCAGTTACTTTGATTACGGGCGTCACCTATGGATATCTAATGAGGCTAATAATCAACATGGACTGGACGACAAGAGGTGGGATCCTCTTCGGGATATTGTGCAGTCCAGTTTATCCTATGGCTATAATAGATTTGCTCAAGAAACACCCGCAGACCAAACAATCGAGCGTTCTGTTGGGAGCAGAAGGTCTTTTCGGTTTGATCATGGCGGATATAGCATACACCATAATAGTAGGCAACCAAGGAGAATTCGTGGTGTACTGGTATCAATTCTTTTCGATAACCCTGCGGTTCTTATTGATTGGTAAGCTGTCTGTTTTGTATATTGTTTCATCATGTTGCCATTTTACCAGGTATTTTATTTGGCTATGTCATAGGGCTCTTCGGGCGCTATCTCTTCCGAACGATGTACACGAACCGACTAAGCGTCTTTATTATCAGCTTTGCATTACCATTTGTCACGTACTCGATTTCTAACCAATACTTTTCCTGTCGCGGAAGCGTTTCCGTGGCAGTGCTCGGATTTATGATGAGCACGGAACGTACGGCATTGTCTAGAGAAATTGACGCGTTCTTGAATGACTTCTGGACCATGACGAGTTTTATTTTGGAGATTATATTTACCGTTACTTGTTCCGTACATATGGCGATGAATGTTGCGTCATATTTCTCATGGTCCAGTTACATCCTCGTTGTAGTCTCTTACATACTATACTATATGGTACGGTTCGTGTGTTTCTTGTTGTTTTCTCCACTGACAAGTCGACTGGGGTACGGAATCGATTTGAAGAGCCTCATGATATGCGTCTGGTGCGGCATCAAATGCCCGTTCAGCGTAATTTTGACACAGGTGTTCATGAAGTATGATTTACAAGTGTATAGAAATAGGGAGCGGTACTTTTACATAATGGGGATTTACATCCTGTCGATCTTCGTTAACGGGACGTTTACTAGAACCTTAATGGATTTTTTTAATCTAAGAAAAATCTCCTTAGCCAGACAGATAAACATGAATAACTGCATAAAACATATCTTTACGAAAAGGGAAAGGACGATCGCTATTTTAAAAATGGACCGGTAAGAATGAAAGTTTCGAAATGCACTAAACAAAACAGATTCTTGGTCGATACCGATTGGCCGCTGGTTATCACAGCCACCAATGTGAAGCATCCGTACCATATAGATCTGAGTGAAGACGAAGACGCTTTCGCTTTCCGCAATGAGTATACTACATGCCCCGATTGTCATAAGGACATACAGCAAGAACCTAGTCCCAGAGAACTCAAGGAAATGACCAGGTTGTATCGTTCGTCGTGGTTCAACTTCTTCACATTGCTACTCGTGTTCCAGAGAAGCCAACCTGAGGGTCCTCAAAGCCAAAAAAATGTCCTATTCGCGTCAATTCGAAAATGGGATGATGTCCGGCGAAGCTATCCGAATTCTAACACAGGCGGTTGATTTGGCTGCCGATTCGGAGAAAGGGATTATCGAACTCGAGGGTTTAGTGAAACGCTTCACCACTCAAGTTGGTTCGTTACTTCTTCGATGTCGCTTTTAAACATCAGGCATTAAATTTCAGGGCCCCTTTACAAAACGTATACGTAGCCGCGTACAGGACCTGAACAAGAATAAGAAGGCGTCGGTAAGACAGCCCCGGAAATATTTGAGACGAGTTTGTCATAATATCGTCGTCAATAAAACGTGGGAAAAGGCCATGTGCTACGTGATCATGTGTGATGTGATCATGTTGGCAGTGGGCTTGATTTACGTCGAAGGGTTTCTACGAGGTCAGTGGCAGACCGAGACCGATCTTTTACGTCTTGTTATCGGATTTTTTTTCACTGCTATATATATCCTAGAGTTTGTCATGAAAATATTGGCTTACTCCTGGGTTTACATATGGAGACATGGCATTCGAACATACTTCAAGTAAGTATTGTGTAAATTGTAGCGAAAAACTATTATCCGGTCCAGGTCCTTTTGGAACATTCTAGATTTTATCGTAATAATTGTTTATATTATTCACCTGTGGTACTCCTTGCAAGTAATACAAATAGTTTCGTTAAGCCCACAACAAGAACAAATACGTTTTATAATCTCTTTGGCGCTATGGTTGCGAGCCATTAGACTTTTACGTCTCTTTGAAATATTTTATCCCGCTTTGATTAAATATTTAGACAGTCATTTTGATTCAAAAGTAGCCTTTACGTACGAGTTGGGTAAAAGTTACACCATTGGCGAAACGGAAGTTTTGGATTTGTTACCATACATGATCGACAACAAAAACATACGAGACGGAATAAAGAAAAAAATAGAGGCAGACAGAGTGGTTATTACGAAATTACTGGGTATAGTTCAGAAAGAAAAACCATGGGTGGCGATAACGGTGAAGACAAAGCAAGCTATCCGAACTATCCTCAAGAGCATGGTGGAAGCGAATAATCAACTGAAGATTTCAGGTGGGTAATAGCTATTTTATTTTTCAAATCATTATCGGTAAGGTAACTTTCTTAGGATGGGTTGACGATTACGAACAAGAAAAACTGGAAATCGAGATGACTCATTTATATAAGAAGGTGAACGCTCTCCAAACAGTCCAACCCAGCGCGCCCAAGGTGATTTTCAGGGAGGTCACATGGATGACGGGAGAGGAAGACGTCATCGATTTTTTGTTCGAGAACGTTACTGTGAAGACGTTCGAGCCAGGAGATGTTGCATTCGGAGAAGGAACTGTTGCCGACGGTATCTACATCGTCGTTACAGGTTAGTCAAAACTTCCCCGCGAGAGAAATCTGACTTGGTTCATTAGGCCTCTTCCTGATCAAATACGTGCCACAGAAGAGCACCATCGACAGTCTCCACGAATACGGAATACTTCCCATCGTAGACTACCTCAGCAGTACCAAGTATGAAGAAGCTTCCCTCGATTACATCGTCTCGGGAAACTGCATCGGAGAACTGAGTACGCTAACAAGAAGGTCCTACAACTGTACGATCACGGCGGACACGCACAGCCAGGTCTATGTTCTCAGTTACAACGTACTGACACGCGCGATGGAGCTGAGTCCCGACCTCGTCGCTGGATTGGAATGCAGAATATGGAAGGAAGTCAGTATACGGATCGCTGTGCCGCTTCTATTATCCGTTCCGACCTACCAGAACTATTCGCAAGACGAAATCAAGTATACACTCGAACGGGCGTTCGTTCCAAATTTGGCGGACTATAAAATTTTTACTGTTACCGAAATGATACAAGACATCATTTTGATCGAAGGAGTGGTCGCCGATTTTAATACGAGGGATTTTTTCGTAGCACCGTGCTGCATTCCAAGGAGAGTGCAAAAACTCATTTTGCCCACTAGCAGTCTCATGAATATTCCAATTTATTTGGAAACTAAGCTTCTCATTGTCCCCGAAAAAGATTTGGACGAGTACGACGTGATGGCAACCGCTGAAGAAACCGGTGAAATGGTAAGATCCGCAAGTGAAGGGAAGGGGGAGATGCGCTCATAGTGTGATTTCGGTCACAGGTCGCCATGGGGTCGGCTACTAAATGTTTGCACCATATGATTCAAGAGCGCGCCAAACAACGAAAACGGATGAAACTGATGCAAACTCCTGCAAAAAAAACGACACAACAAAAGAAGAGTGGGTTTGAGGAAATGGTTTGTTTTTGTTGTTCATTTTTAAATGCAAACTTAATTCAAAATTAACAGCCTGCTGAGGAGACCAGTACATTGCATTCCACAAGCACGTTGCCGGAATCTTCGATCACTCAAATGTTTGGAAAAGACAAGAAGAACACTAGTTCGGATCGCCGATCTTCAGAGACTAAGCTGTAGTCGGTGCGTTGTAGTTTTTCTATTTTATATGTTAATAAAATGTTGCTTGTTGATATAGTTTGCTTTATTCTGCTACAGTGAAACCTTCAAGCGACCACTTTTCTGCAATATTCAAGCCATACTGAAAAATTCTGATGGTATTTTGAAAATTTGTTTTAATTCTTCGAACTGAGTCTAATTGGCTTAAGTCCCCTTTGAGGTTTAGAGGTTTCCGCAACCTGCGAAATTCGTTGTTGAACTCTCTGCTCTGCTATATTTGTTTAGCAACAAGGTAAGTTGAACATCGGTTCACCTTATTAAGTGCGATCCAAATGTGACTCGTACCATGGTCGACCCCATTAGTCTCTAATCGTTAAGCCATAATCATGCGATCTACTCATTGTTCTTTTGTGAGTACGTACCTGTCACGTCAATGCCGCATTTGTGTTTACTGGATAGTACATTTGGCCTCGATCATGAATATGAAAACAGACACACCTGACTTATATGTCGCTAATGATTAAGAATGTGGTCACTCATAGGGGGATCTCCACCCCCTAGCCCACTCCTTGTCGATCAGCGATTCCAATCCATGGCGTGGTCTTCGGCGCGCGATCTCCTGGTGACGTTGTCGAGTTATCTGCAGTCGCCTTAGCTGTACAGTTTGGGATGTACTGCCCGCCCACAGCCCCCCTCAGAAGGAACACTGTCAATGCCAAAGTGGAGAGGACACTTCCACGTCTATACGTCTCTGTATTTCCTCCAGAAACCGGGTTAATCTCCCAACCTAACCAGTATTTTCTGTTGCATTCAGTTGGCATCACCGCCACCACCGGTCGGTCAACAGCCAGGACACCCCTTTCACGGCTTTCGCCAACCTGCTGTGTCATGAGCCAAAGGCGCCCCACCTGAGTACGTCCTCAGTGTCCATGTACATACCTGGTATCTGCCGGAGATTTTACGCGTCAACGCTACTCTCATGCCCAGGTTTATACCAACCTGCCACCTTCTCTTATCAACATCTTAACACCCAACTCTTTGCTCTTATGTTTCACTCATCTCGGCGCTGTCAGACCATCACATCACAGCTGGACCTTTACGCCCATCGGCTACTGTACACTCACTATGACTGACTCTGACTAATGGTCCTCAAAATGCACCCTGGGCATCTCAGGTGTCTTTTGTGGGGGTTAATAATTAAAACTGATTGGTTTTGTCGCCTTTGAGACCTACACTAAAAATTCCGCTTACACATGCCTGGATATATGTATGTACGTATGTACATATGTATGTATGATAACTCGGCGTATAAGAGGGGTGAAACACAGATTGACATATCAGCAACACAAATAGTGAGGTTGAGAAATTGCCATTTCTGTGATAGAGCGTAAGGTGTCATCCATAAATCACGTCACGCGTTAGGGGACGGGAGGGGCTACACAGTGTGACATGGTATGACAGCAGAAAGTGGGAGTCAAAACTTTTGCTGTCTCACATCTACATAGCCGGTGAAGTTATGCGTGGATATATATTATTGTATAACCGCTATAGATTTCACCCCTATAAGTGGACCGGCTGGGCGTCTGTACGTCTACTCCATGACATTCTCTTCCAGGGCCCTGATGGTGGTTTATAGCATATTTTTTTACGACCTAGAAAGATGATTTTTGAGTTTATTTTCGTAGTTATGAAGAATGAAAGACCTATTTTTATTACATTTATATTTAAATTTTCACAGATGAAATTTGATTGGATAACGAATAACCATTACATCTTTCAAATAATTACAAAAATGTAGGTATGTATAGTTGTGAACACTCGATTTAATAGGTATTTAAAGGTATATGTACAAGGCAAAAGTCTTATATACACTATATACAACATGTACAAATTATGATATAATTTCTTACACGATATAATATAAAAAGTCGTATTTAAGTAACAGACTTGGCATTTTATTCGAAAAAACCGATACAGTGACGTATCTCTCGATAGATAATTTATAATTATCACATTTATTTTCATTTACCTATCTTATGTACAAAATATACAAAAATAACCTCGTGTAAATAAACAGTACAAAAACGAGTCAGTAGGCGAAACCATGTATTGTAACAAAAAACTACCTATACAACAAGCTAGTAACTTCCACGAGTTCCAACACAGCGCGACACCCGCGACGACCCCCTCACAGCACGTAGACCCTCCAAGATATGTTGATTTCGACGGGCGTCATGTTGGCCGGAAGTCGCACTTCCGGCGCTTGTTCCCTCCGCGTCGGCCAGCTGGTGCGACTGCCGTCGAACGTCGAACGACGCAGTCTGGGACCCTGTCTGTGGCACTGCAGCTTACAGGGAAGTCACTTGTCAGACCGTGCTCTCCCTCTTGTTGAGCATGAGCGGCGTGTCCGGCGAGGGCTCCTCCTCGGTGGCGGCGAGCGGCTGCATGGGTATGGGCGGCTGGCGGGGCTGCGGACGCGGCCTCTGCTGGGGGTGCGGGCCGCGGTACGGCACGGGGTACACGCCGGGGGGCAGGTGGCTGACGGGACCGTACTGCCACTGCTGCGGCTGGCGGGGCAGTGTGCAGGGGGCGTAGGCCCCGATCATCTGAGGGGGCGCGGCGTGCTGCAACAGAAACCCAATTAAAAAGAAAGTCTGCGAAATCGGTGTTAAATCAAAAATGTTTAACCCCCGTCTAAAAAGTGTCTTTCTGTCTGTGGCACCCTAGCTCCCAAACGAATGAACCGATTTCAATGCGGCTTTTTTTGTTTGAAAGCTTGTACGATATGGATGGTTCTTAGCTATGTTTGATGATAAACACTTAAGCCACTTTTAACTTTGTAGCAAGTCACTTTTAACTTTGTAGCCTTTATCTATGTGTGGATTTGTCTGTGGCACAATAGCTCCCAAACGGACGAACCGATTTCGATGCGGTGTTTTTTCGATGGAAGCTGGTTTACTCGGGATGGTTCTTAGCTACCTATGTTTGATGATAGTCACTTTAACTATTTTAAGATCATCAGCTGATGTTTGTGTGTCTCTGTGTTGCACCGTAGCCCATAAACGGATGAACCGATTTCAATGTGGTTTCGGTTGTTTAAAAGCCGGTTCAATAGGGAAGGTTCTTACGAGAGTGGTTTGATAAATAACTCGGTTGGCATCGTCTTGGAGGACAAAAAAAGAAAAAACACTAACTTCATATGTAGACTTCAAGTAGGCTTCCCATAGATGACGTTCTTATAACGTTAAATCATTCTATCAGACAAGTAGACAATAAGGATAGAACCTTTTAATTATTTTGTTGTTTTCTTAGTAAGATTAGCATTTTTCTCACTTTTGTCATTCCATTCCACAGTTTAATGAGTTCTTGTTTATATTAATTTTCTCTAGCCTGTGGGCATTTGTTTATTATCCATCAGTCGACTATTTTCGTCACTTTTGCATAAACCACCAATTATGTGTGATAATAGTTGTTAGCGCAGCAACACAAATGTGCGCATTGTTTTCATTTGGAATTCGTTTGCAATTAAACTAGTGTCACTAGCGTGCGTAAAATTAATTAAAAAGATAGAGAAAATAATGATTGCAGTGTTATTTTTGCTAAATATGTCAATCAGCAACCGTGAAATTGCGGTTTTATAAATTACACATCAGTATTTTGTATTTTGCGGCGAGACAAACAAAGTTTTTTTAATTAATCCAACAGCGCTGTTTGTGTTTTATTATCGATCACAGATGAGTTTTAACACATTCGTTCGTTGCTCGTCGTTTTTTGACAAATTGTGATTTCGTAAATTTCTTAGCGAGTCCGCGAAATTTATCTCCACACTTGGCGCTTTTTTCTTGTTGGCTTTCGCACGACAAACATTTCACCTCGAAACCCTCTCCAGCAACAAAACAACTTTAATAAAGCGAGCGAGCGGCGTTTGTTAACAAAGCAACATAAATTTGTTTTTAATTCACGCAAAATAAAAGCCACGACTTGTGTTAAATGTCCCTATAAAACACGATGATAAAAAAATGGACGAATTTAGTGTGTGCAGCAGAACGCGACAGACTATTATTATAGTAATAAAATCTGGAATGTGCGAAGTCACATTTTGTCGTTTAATTCTCGCGATAGGCGATCGGTTCGCGAGTAGTTTATGGCAGGGATGGTTTATGGGCTCGCCGAGGAGTATTTTTATCAGAATAATTTATGCGAAATATAAAATCTTTGTTTTTTTTTATCTGGCTGCGCGAGGGCGGAAAGAAAAAATCCATCTTATTTTGATTACATTATCTGGGCATAAAATAAAGAGGCATTCAACATAAATCTTTTTTTTGGTATAGATGAAAAAAGAGGAATTTCAACATAAATCTTCGACATGGCAATATAATTCGTTGTATCAACAAAGATATTGTTTTCAGGAGAGCTCGCTTGTTTATGTTGCACGTATCCGTTATTGACTGTTCTGAGGTAGCATTCTCGGATAATGGGGATGATTGGAAAGAGAAAAAAACTTTTCTTTTAAAAATATCCGACCAAATGAAGGTGGAGGTGGACTAAATTCCACTAAAAAAATTCTCTGGGGAGGCATTTTTACGGGATTTTTCGCTTCGTTAGAGATCAATATAGCAAGCAGATGAGTAATGCGAGGGAAATAATTTCACACATGTAAAATAAAAATTTAAAACCTAAAATTCGTTTACTCCCTTTCCGAGATTAAAGCAAAAGCGAAAAAGCTTTATATAAATAACTTTAGAGTGACGTTTGTTATCTGCGCAATACACATCTCACAAATTTTATGCACATTAAACATTATCTTTAACATGAGGAATAAGGGTAAAAAATAAGATTAAATATTAAAGTCTCTGTCGGATCATGTACTCTGTGGGTTTCCAGCTAGGTTTTCGAAAATCCTCCCACTGGATAGACCTACTACCATGGTCATCTGTGTTATAAATCACAGAACTTGTGGTTGTGCTGGACGTACGGGTGACTCTGAAGTCCCGTATTTGGAATTAATCAGTCAAACAGCGTCGTGGTTATCGCAGGATTAAGTTCAAACCGCATCATTCGAACCCCCCAGGCGCCGAGTTGCTGTTAAAGCTGTTCCTATTTGACTTTTTGATGAACGTTGTACACGTATATATTTGCACTGTGTCAGGGCTAGTTTCATACACGTAAATAAAGTCTACACAGAGAGTTAGCAATATCATTTATATAAATAGTGAAGAACAACGGAGTTCTGGAGAATACCATAGAAAAATGCATAAAATTAAATACCTCTATACTGAATGACCTGAAATGTGTCGTGAATGTGATTTTATAGTGTTTTTCGTTGGATTTGCTTTGCTGTTTCATAATTATTGCATTTTTAGTAGTGGTATTCTAAAAGGCTGGATAGTTTTTCCTAAGTTGTTATTTACGTTTCGTAACTTTTGATTCGAAAGTTTAAGCTACTACATTGTTATTCCAGACTTACTTTGATAGCTTGTGCCTCTCTAGATAGGAACCATTGTTTAATTTAAGATTACTTTTCCAGTCTTGGGGGTTCACCACTTTGCATTCGAACGCATTTCGCCATTTCAAAACACAACTTGGGATTCTATTTTGTTGTTAGGTCGTGCCTAATTTTTTACTTTCGGCGGATTTTCAAATTTTTGTGCGCATATCTCAATTTTGGCAGAATGTTTGGGTCATCACAACATATTTAAATCACAGACATTTTTTGCTATAATAGAATTCATCCAAATATCGGTGAGCTACACAAAAGCGAATTCCGGCGATCTCGTTTTATCTGTGTTACCATCGCACCGCTTCCCCCAGGAGGAACCTCACAGGATTTTTTCTTTTGATGTCTTTCTCCAAGTCGCTGCTGTCGTCTGCACTGCGTTTTTGTTTTTATAAAAATTTCCGAACCCTTCCGCTGATTCCGTGTCACCTCCACGGTCCCCTTTTCCATCGTTTTCCGGTCGCCGCGTCAGCCTTCGCAAACCTATCACATGCACATTGCAATCAGTGCATCCATTTGTTATCCGTTCTCCAAACAAGGTTGTTTAGCTTGGCTCGATGCAGATCCGGAATAAACGCCGGGAGCGTCTGCGGGCCGACCCCACGTGACCTCACGTATACGCATCGACTTTGATCCTGCAGCAGCAGGAGCGACCCTGCCACTATATTATCATCGTTCTCGTAATAAGTGATTCGCAGGAAAGCAGATTTCGGAGGCCGTTAGGCCAATTTCGGGACGGATAACTGTCACTCCCTATAAATTGTTATTAGATAAAGTTTGGATCACGGCGTCAGATTTATCTTCTTGTTTTGTTAAGGCGACGGATGAGCTAGAGGCGGACGAAGCTCTTTATAAAAATGACTTTTGGACACAGCCGCCGAACTTTCGACTCGGGGAAATAACATATCAATTGCGAAGTTTGCCGGAGATGTTGTTTTTAGGGAGGGCTGTCATAAGTTGGACTTGCTCCGAAAATGTACAGGTGATGGGTGGGCGAAGTGGGGTATATTTAGTTTAGCGATTTCTTGGGTTTTCGTAAAGTTGCACTTTCCTATTGGTGGCTATAGAAAAATTAACGCGATAGCAATATATCGGGTGTTGATTTTTGGTCAACATTGTGAACGTGGAAATGTCAATTATACAAAAGAGTATGGATTGTGGATGCGTTTTTCACTACGTTTTCTTCTACCAAAAAAGTAACACCAACTTTGCGATTTTTTCAACTGAACACTCGTTATCAGTAATAATAGCAATACTAACACCTGCTTGTTTTGTTGTTGGTGAATTAAGCACTTTGCCAAAATTTTATAGATTGTTAGTTTTCGTAGTATATGGTATTGATGAGTAATTAATTATTATAGTGTATTATTTATTAGTTTCTGCTTCTGTTTATCTAAGTCAGCGGCGGCTGGTGCCAGGGGGTACAAGGGCACGTCCCCTCCCACCCCTCCTAAAATTACAACGTCTACATTGGACATAGCAAAACAGTAATTTTCAATGTTTAAAAAATTATCCGGAAATTTGTGTCATAATTATCAAAACTAATTTTTTATCTCGCTCCACTTGTATAAAATGTATCAAAACTCACATCTAAAGATGTTGTGTCTTGGATATATGATATGTTATTGTTGATGAAGTGCTGATAAAAGCGGAGACGGAGACCAAATTATGGCTCATTTAGGAGTTTTGTTTACACCGTTGTCATGGAAACCGTGCATCTAGTCGCGGTATTGGGCTGGAATAGGCTCCTGTTCGACGGTGCCCACCAGCACTCAATTGCGGGTTGTAATTTTCATTCTGCGTGATTGAAATAGTTTGATTTTAAACAAAAATCTTGAATTCGGTTGAATATTTAATAAAAAATCGTCCTCTGTGTCACGATGGTAAAATTTTAGTGAAAAATTTTATATTTGTGTGTGGACAAATACTTTTTTACTTTTGTTGAATGTATGTTTGTATTTATTTCCGTCACACAATTTCGTCTATTGGTTTTACATCTTCATATTTAACTCTCATCAATCAAATTGTGCCCCCCCCCCATTTCAAAAGGTCACGAGTCGCCACTGCTGTAAGTTATAAAATAACGTAAACAATAAAAATAAAGTCCGTTTTTTAAATATCGCACCTGTCCGGTCCCCAGAAGCAGCCTTAATCCTCCCGATCCCCACATCCGACACAGTCGGCGTTGCACAACCCCCAAAGAAGCCATCCGTGCCATATTAACTTGAGCTTGAATTTAGCTTCCGCGCCATGATCGATAAGAGAGCCCTCACGTGGCCATTCTCCATGAAAATCGGGCCGTGACACCCCCGATGATAAAGGCTAAAGAGGAACTGTTGCTCCAGAACCACCGACGCTCTTACAATATATCACCACCGGAGCCTCCAAGGTACAAAACCAATACTAACTGCCCTACTTTCCTATCGGAGCTCGATGCTTACACAAGAACCCTTTTACACGCCGACTGGATGTTATATTATTGACAATTGTGCTAATCGCGTTATTGATGTCGGAATTGCTTTTATACGGAGCCGCTTTAATGGTAACTTTCTACACAATAAGTGCATTTATGCAACGACACTTGCGAGAGGTCGCACATCTGGGGATACTAACGAGGTGATGAGCTTTTAAAATTATCCTTGAAGTTGATGGTATGATCGACATAAAAAATATTTTTCATGTAGGGGAAGGTCGTCTAGCGGCGGATACTTAAGCATTTTTTAAAACTGTACACTTTAATAATAAGTGTGTTCACACAAATATAATTGTAATGGTTATACTTTCCGAGAGTAAGCTAAGGAACTATTGAAATTGTTTCTCGTTTCCGTCTGCCTGTTGTCTGTATGGATTTTTATACATAATAGATAATTTCCGAAACTATCATGCGATTGGTGATAAATCATCAACATTTTGATGGGGTTACCTCAACATTTTCCATGGTAAATGCTATTTCAAATTTTTAAAATATTTAACTTGCTCGTGTACTTGTGGTTTATGAATCCTCTTTGAAGTTTTACCCTAGGTATTCAGATTTTCGCAAAAGGCTTGTAGATATTGGTTAATTCTTCCACCAAATCAAAACTCTCGTCAATTTTATCAGTTTATTTTCGTAATTATCTGAAAACGTTGCTTTAAATATTCCCAGTTTTACTTTATCACCACATGTTGACATAGATATTTTGTCTTGAAAGGTACTTTTGGAACATTAAACCAAATTGCGACTTTCCTAACGATCAGATTTGGTCTAGAAAAGTTTTGGCGGTGTCTTTCATATGCAGTTTCTTTGGTAAATTTTTAGTTTTGTGTTTTGACATATAATAATAATGAAAATAAAATAAGTAAATTGCCATTTGATTTTTAAAAGGTATACAACGATTACGTACAGAATAATTTCGAGTCGAATGCAATTGATTTGACTAGAACCGAATTCTCTTAACATTGACTGGATTCCACTCGTTGACTAAATTCCCGAAGGTGGCCTCTATTTAAGCCCACATTTCTTTTCTAGATATTCCGCGATCGAGATTTTTCTGGAGTACCCATCGCGACTTCCGCTTCCAGGCTTTTCTTAGCGAACGCCGCCCGGCCGCCATTACCGATGATGAGTTATCCATCGTCCCCATGCATACTAGAAATCCCTCGAGAAAACCCATAGGTGTTGTACTGGTGCGGCGTATGGGTTTATTTCGTGACAATACTTACCTTTTTATAACACTAAGCATCTAAAGATATTACAGGAAATCAAGGTACGTAAAATGTTTTTAACAACGTACATATTTGGAACGTTATTTCTTCACTGTGAGAATTTTCAGACGAATGGTGTTTTTTTTACGATATTTCTTTGTCACTTTTTTTTTTTGGTTTTCAAGGGCTTAGAAGGTGAAAAAAGCTGCAGTTTGATGTGTTTATACTAAGTCATTTTATCATAGCAAAAAGGAAAAAAAAATCTTCTCTGGCAAGTCCCCTTAAACCGATTTTCCGTTCGACAAGTTTAAGACTTACACCACTACATGACCTTCAGGGGCCATCACCTGCACTCACCATTTTAGATTGCGCCGCCAGTTCGTGCAGCGGCATGCCGTTCCTCAGCGTGCAGTAGCCGATGTACCCGCCGCCGCCGCCGCCGCCGCCACCCGAGTTTCCCGCCTGGTGCAGCAAGCTGCGGCTCGGCGACGTCTCGATGGTGCTGATGTGCTGTCTTTTCCTTACGTAATCTGCGGTTTCGTCCGCGTCGACTGGTTGCGGGATGATGTCGGGGTTCTTTTCGTCGCTGTCGCACTCGCCGGCACTCGAGTCGTGCTTCGATATCGGACTGCCACCTAGGATACCCCACAACGTCAGCCTGACGATGTTTCATTTATGAGGGAAATAACGAGCGGGGTGGAAAGAAGCGAACGTGTTGCGTGAGGGTGGTGCTAATGACCTTGAGGTGGGGGTGCGATGGAGTGTTTTTTCATAACGAAGTCAATGGGGAGGAAACGGGCAGGTTCAGGAGCGCGAGGCGTGGGGTTAATGGCGGTGGAGGTGACCTTGAGTGACTTAAACGATTGGAGATGTCGGTATGTAGGAGCTGTTTGCGGGGAAAGTTTTTTTTTTGTTCCAAGTGGGGAATGTTTTTGCTGCGGTTTTTGCTTATTTGTTTGGAGAGTTCGCATCGAATGAGTTCCGACTCGAGTAAAAAGACTCTTGAGTTCTGTGGAATTTAATGCAAGATGTTTTACATTCGATGTGGTTTATTTATTTCCATCTCTCTAAATCAGCATGGGAAAGTTTGACTTAAGTTCTAAACATGTTGATTTATATTCTTTTATCCGTGTGTTTTGTCGCTGCTTGATATATGAAACAAGTTTGTGACTTACAAAGAGCATGTCTCCGGAATGTTTCAGCACTGAGCGTTATCCAGATTTTTCATTTTTCAATTTTTACCTCCGAGGGTAAGTTAACGTGGTTCTGTATTTCTGGATGGTTAATCTATTTTTATTTTGACGTCTAGATTAAAAAAAAATCAAAATTGTAAAAGAACCCTTTAAAACAAGTGATTGCTCTGAAATCTTGCACATATTTTAAGGTTGTCGTAAATACCGACAAACATTTTTTTATTTATCTTTTCTAAAATTTGATGACTTTATGTTATAATTTTGCAAATTATGACGATTACATATTTGTGATTTGTCGGTCCATTTATAGTTTTTTAGAATTGTTTATAAAGGTTGTCTTGAAGAAATTAATGAATGGAGAAGTTTATTTATATTTTATCAAATAGAAAACTCCAGTTTCCTGAAATTCCGAGAATACAGTGCTGTTTGTTATTAGTATTACATTATACTTATCCAAATGGCTATGTTTGTCCTTATTAAAAAGTTAATAACCTATTTGCAGATAAGTTTGACCAATTTTCTTATCTTTTAAGTAATGAGCAAAATTGGTGGAGGCGCCGGGATAATAATACTTGCACTAATAAATATTTTCTATGAAAGTATCTTGGGGACTTCTAGTGTCATATTCTTTGGAGATGTTTGACAGAATTTTTGAAAGAAATTTCGAGATAATATGAAATCATTTTCAGGGCCCCTTGTGTTTTATTTTTGAAAAAAATTGAAAGAACCTTTAGGAACCCTGTTGTTTTGTTTTGAGAGAGTTTGAAAGAATCTTTGGGGCGCCAAGTGTCTTTTTTAAGTATGCAAAAGAATCTTTTTAGTATATTGTCTTTGAACTGTTTTTGAAAGAATTTGAGAAGATCTGGGACCGTTTGAGTGATCATGGAGACACTTATTTTTCTTTTTATGAGAATATGAAAGAATTTTGGAGGTTGTAAGTACAGGGCTTTTATAAATGATTCTAAAGGCATCCATAGCCCACTGGATTTCAAAAATCTCTTTCACTGAAATTATGCCTCATTATGACAGTTCTCATTTGTCATTACTGTCATTTGTAACCTGTTATTCAAAGTCATCATTTTTATTGTTTTAACGTTTTTCACTTTCGGTAGTCTTGGTGCTTGCGTACAAAAAATTTGTTTTTGTGCTAGACACTTTCATTGTTATATCTTGTTATCGCAATGGGACGAAGAGTGCGTCTATTCTGTAACTGCTTGTAAGTAAGAATATCTGCCAGTGTCAACAAAGGGCAATCTCCTGGAAAACCTTCAGTATCTGAGAAAGTTGTTGATGATTCGTGACGACTTGAGCAGAATCCGCAAACATCTTTCACATTTTTCATTTTAAATCTAGTGGTAGTTCGGTTTTTGGCGTTTCGGTTGGATTGTGGTGGGACGGGGTTTTATTCAGATCATTGCAAAAAATTAGCAAAACCAGAATTCGAAATCTATTGTAGAAATAGTAAGAGGAAGACGACTATTAGGGTAACATGGCGGAAAAAAATCATAGGAATGCTGCATACAAAAAATCGTCATTTATGCAGCACTTTTGTTTTAATAAAAAAAAAAAAATCACTATGCAAATATTTATTTCACTAGTCTCTCTAAACAGTACATATCTCCAGCTCGCACATACCTCCTTTGTCGCTTAGCGTAGGTCCGCTCGTGGATCCCCGGTGCTCCGTGCTGCCGGCCGTAACCGCCGCATTCTTGTGCCTCTTCCTCCTGTCGTCGTTCTGCGTGCACTGCAGCCGCACCACGATGATCACCACCAGCCCCACGATCAGCAGCGCCGAAACAATGCCAATTAAGACGCTCATCATGGGAGTGAAGCGCAGCCCCGACCGGTGGTTATCTGCAAAGATGACAAACAATTTCCGACAAAGTCCACTATTATTAAAAAAGACGGTTTCGCGGAAGCGCATTTTCTCTTCTATTAAATGAAAATTTTCCACTGTGTCGTCTAAATGCAACGCTTATTTTTCCGAGAGGGGAGATATCTTGGTAAATGGACGCATCATTAGTGTTGCCGACGAATATATTGCAGCAGAGTGGCTGCAATTTAAAAGCTTCCATTGCAGATATTAAAAATACACAATTGATTTTTTTGTTGTAGACGAGATTGTTTGCGGGTGATGAATAATTTACGAGTGGATGGGGCGGAAAAACTGCTCGCGGATAATTGCTGGGGGAGGAGTAAGTTCTACGAAGAAGTGGTGCAACTATTAAAAATTAGGCGGAATGGCAACAGGTGTCAATTCTAATAATTACTAGAGGAAAGTCGTATTCTGCATAAAAATTACCACAAGAAAGTGTTATATTAGTATTATCAGAAGGGCGTGATGTTGTGTTAAAGCTTTTGACATATTTCGCTAGATGGCGCAACATTAAACCCATTTTCAGTTCAAGCAGTCAGCAAGGTGGTTAACTTTAATAAATAATAATTTAAGGTAGCCAGCAAAGAATACAAATTATACAGAATTGAGTGACAGTACCATAAATAATAGAAATAAAATAGGAGCAATATGACTACCTTGTGGAACTCCAGAAGGAATAGAAATAGGATCAGATAGGACACCTTTAACTGAGATTCTTTGGGTATGATTTAATAAGTACGAGGCTAACCAGCTGTGAAGAGGACCACATGTACCATAAATATGTAATTTTTTAAAAGAAGGGCATGGTTGATTATGTCGAAAACTTTACAGAAGTCAAGATATATCATCGACTTGACACCCTTTTTCTAATGCGTCTATAATGAATTCATTGTAGATGGTTTTAATTTGTTGTTGTGCTTTTTCTTGGCAAGAATCCATTGCTGATGGAATGTCAAAATCGTGGCATAAGTTTGAATTAATGTATCATTGATGATTGCTTCGAGCCCCTTGAATAAAGCTGCTATAATTACAAGCGTCGGAGGGTAGTCCTCTGTCTGCGATTTTTGTTCAAACAAGTAATCCGCACGATCAGAAATGACTGGGGGTCTTTTGGCAATTCCGAATTTTTAGTTGAAATTGGTACCGTCATTTCCAAAAAATTTCGGGCAATTGACATGGAAGTCATATTCCCGTTGCTTTTCATTGATCTATGAGAACCTGATTTGCTCATCTCGCCCGAAATTTTTTGGAAACGATTGTATCATGATGTTTTCTATAATTTCCGGTTGTCAGCTGTCAAGATTGACAGGTTGTTGGCATTTTAAAATTTGCAAATGTATCCAAAATATAATCTAAATTCATCACATGTCATGATTGACATAAATGCCCTTACTTCCGTTATACTAACACATTTTTATTTAAAAAGTACTGACAACACCCTCAGTCATTTCTGATCACGCAGTATTATTTTCTTGTAATTAGTGCAGTATATTCAATAAATAATCTTAAAAACAAGTATTTAAAGAATCATTTTGTAACTGTACAATTTTCCCCAAATCCAAACAATTTTTTCCTCCAACACATGTGTACTTTCCTTCCCATCTCCATTTTGATGAGGCCAAACTCCTTTAATTTTTTTCCGTCTCCGTCGATCCGTAAAGCAACTCAACCCGATAACTCTCTATACTCCCTCGTGCGGAAAAACGTCCAAAGTTTTTAATTATACGTACCTTTCTCGGCAGTTAGTTGCTTTTCTGGAAGTCGCAGAGTGGCAGCTTGCAGGATGACCGGCTCGCTGCGGCCCTTCGTGTTGAAGGAGAAAAGGGCCGCCTGGTACTGGGCGCCCGCCTCCAGGTTCGTCACCGAGAAGCGTGGGATGGGGGCAGAGAGGTTGCTCTTTATCTCCTGGCTGTGACTCTCTCGAACCTGGGGAATGTCGGCCCCGATAAAAAAATAAACATGCTGCTGGGACGGGGGTGATCGATAACACTTTTGCTTTTTCAGAAGGGAGGTAGGTGGGGGTCGTAGCTCGACAAGTGGGGTCTTTACGCACTTATTGCAATAATTTTAATGTACGCGTGTGCGACGTATTCACGGAACGAGAGCACCCGACACCCTATTAAAGAACAGCTGATGTTTTCCGCTGAAAAAGCCGATTCTTCCTCCGCATTCCCCAATATCACGTCAAATATTTCTGTTTCGCCGTTGCCAATTTTCCCTAATTGGGAAATTCAGTAGCTTTATGGTTTTAATTACGTTTTTATAATTTCGTAAAGCTTTTATTGTTCATAAAATTAAATCCGCCCCTATTTAGGCGGACTCGCATCGATTTTATTTAATTGAAATTGTTGTTGCGAGACTTAAACGTCGTGATTGTCCTGTTAGCGTCTAGATTCTGGGCTTTACTCACCTCCAACAAAAAGGACTGCGGTAAGCCACCATTAAAACCCTCCGAACACCTAATGGAAAACGACGTCATGGAAATGTTGGATAATGTGCAGTTGTGCACTTGGTCCGGGCGCCCTGAAACAAAATAAATCGTGTTGATTTTAGCAGAAATATCGATTGAGGGCGGAAATTGTAGCTATTGTTGACAAGGTTGGTTAAACAAACACGACAATGGAATTTTTTAAAAACCACCACAACACTCCCCGCCGAAAAGTAAAAATTTCACCCACATCGCTAAACTTAAAGTAACAAAATCTTTCTGTCTTTCAGGAATCTATCAGAATTAGGAAAAAAATTATCAGTAGTTATCAATAATATATTGCAATATTACAAAACTACATTTATACACTCAAGTCGAGGTTTTGTTTAGTTGTTAAAATGCTAATGACTTATTTAGTATTATTCTCTCACGGATCGGTTAAAAAGGTGAAGAGAAATGTAAAAAATGAGCTACTTTTTATGTTATTAAATTATAATGCATATTTTGCGTCAGACCTAGGATATTAATATTTTGTAGGGAAGATGTGTAAAATGTTTTATGAGGTAAAATTTAAGGCCAGTGAGTGAAAATGTATATTTGAATCAGAAGAAGTATATGGAAAGACTCTCAGAGAAAATCTATTTAAATTTCTTATCACATAAGTTTGGCCAAAGGCAAAATATGGGGGACATAACATATGCTACTGATGTTGAAAGATTATTCGAAATATTTTTAAATGGAGTAAGACCGTATTAGTTCTCCCAAATACATTTCCTATTACTAAATGGGCTAGTTTCTGTGATTATAACTTTAGCACATGTGGTTAGAGTGTGAGAAAAATATTATACATAGTTCATTTATATCTCAGTTTTTTTGTTAAATTTTGGCCTGAACGTCCCGAGGTAAATAGAATGAATCTTGTCACTTTTAACACGACTATCGATTTGAGGAGAAAGTTGTTGCTAAATTGCTTGCCGATATTAGTTAATTGTTGCTGGAAATGTCATCAATCACGAGCTTAAGACCGTGAAGAATTTAGGGAAATCGAAAAAGATTGCTGGGGATTGAGAAATCGGATCGGAACAAGCTGGTTTGGTGCACATTTTTATTGCCTTCTCTGATACCCGATTGATAGATTAATCCTTAAATAATAAAACAATTATAAATGTAGAAATATACCTTTCCAGAACATATTTATTCATAATTTAATTCTCTGATGCCACAACCTCGCTTAGTTATAATCATGTCGCCAACTACTTTTCTTAGCCGACTCATCCAGATGCGAACCGTCTCTAAAAATTAATGCTTGATATTCCCATCGTCTTCCACTCGAGCCTGTCTGTGGGCCCCCGCCCGGTGCGAATCCTTGTGTAAATTTTCCCAGTTGGTAGTCCGGGAAGCATAAAACCTCCCGACTTCCGTAATAAAATTTTCGTCGTCGAGTTTAGCAATCCTAATGCACATCCTTTAAGATCGTTTATTCTGGTTCACGGTCGGTTTACTTGGCGATGCCTGTCCGATAGATACATCAGGATCGGACAGATTCTTATTCTCGTCGACGGCTTTTCCACAGGAGTTAAAATATTTGCCCGACTCAGCAGTCTTATGCATGCATTTATCCCTTCTGTCCACCGCTTGTCCTCACCCTGTTTTTATACCTCGCGTCGAATTACTTTCCAGTTGCTTACTTTCCTTTTTATGCGACACCCTTCGTCACAAAAATACGACGACGCAAACCCGAAATATCCTGGATTCCTTTGACCCTGGACCGGATTTACATATCCTTTGCGAAAAGGACGGCCGAAGGTAAATATCCGACGGAGGAGGGTCTGCCACTGTTTCGGACTCAGAGGCAACGTGCCTCAAGTTGACATTGTTTTCATACAGGGAAAATTCTGTGGCGTTATTATAAGACAATTTTTTCCAACGACCGTCACAACACTCCCCAACAAAAAGCAAAAATTTTAGTTACATGGATTTTGTGTATAATTTAACTGTTAGAAGTTTTTGAAACTTGTCATAAAAATGTCGAGCGCTGCTCGCGTATAATTATTAATTTAAACTAAAGTTTGTTGTAAAGTACACAGGTTACTCTGCGAGTGTTTGAGTTGAAGTGAAATCAAGTTACAGCCGCGAGTAGATACGTTTCAGTGTTGACGTTACTCTTGATTTCTGATTGGCCCTTTTAAATGGGCGGTAATTTTGAAATTCCGTAAAGTAAATCGAAAGTTCAAAAAAGATAAAACTTTTCCAGAGACGAAAAACATTGCCTATTCATCTCGCGTCGCAATATTTTATAAACCGGGGAGCTAATTCTTTCTTTGGCGCTCCTAAACCCGACGACGAATTTGTTCGAAATCAGTATTTCGATTACCATTCCGAGCAAAATCAACGATTAAAATCTCCATTGCATGCAAGATTTTTATCCAGAGTTTTCATCCTGATTTATCCCGCAATGCTTGTTTTATGCTCCGCATGCTGTATTTATGCAAGTTTTTCATAGAACATAAAGCACGTGTATGTTGCAAACAAAACAAGAATTCTCATCAAGTAAAGCTCGGATTCACGAATTTTATTCGAGTCGTAAATTGAAAGGAGGACGTAAATGAAATTTTATGACGTTTTCAATGGGAATTATGGACGATTGCTTGAGTTGCTTTGACTATTCGACAAAGAAGTGGAGTACAAAGTCGCTGATATTAAAATTCTGAGGGCGTAATTGAGATTTTGGGATAGTCGAATGTTTATAGAGTGGGAGGGTTGCAGTGTGATGCGTTGTTGTCGGTTGATTAATAAATGATGAAGGAAAACACGTTTCGAAAAGAGTAATTAATTTAGCAAATGCTAAACCCATTGGGTTAATTATTGATAAATATTTTTTTAATTAAAAACCAAAATACATGTTTGAAGGGAGAAAGTAATTAAAGTAACGAACTTTATTTGAACAATACATTGAGTTTGGGATTTCATGGTAGCAACTCTCGTAAATTTCAGATTGGCCATCACGACACTCTCCACCAAAAAGTAAAAATCTGTACAATATTCTTGTTTGCTTTACTCGGGGAATGTAATTTTTAATTAGTTTGTAAAACAACAGACTGGGTTAAGCGCTAAACGAAAATGCTAATAAAATAAAAGATTTTACTTTTTAGGTAGAGACTTTTTTCACGGCGCTGATTGTCTGTTATTGATTACGAGTGTGTTTGGTTTGTTAGATAACACATTATATGAAAAAAGATTAACAGTAAAAGAATTAAGCTGAAAAAATTAATCTTTAACTTTGAAACGTCGTTTTTTAAATTAGGCAAATCGGATTTCCTCTATAAGCGTAAGCGCTGTAGCCCACACAGACATGGATTTAGCTAAAAAAGCTCTTTTATTTGATCGAGAGTCATAAACAATACCAACTTCGCATGTAACTTTCTCTCTACACTTCCCACTTTCTCGTATTTTTTATCCGCGTCAGTTTTTTCTTCTTTATGTAGGAAAACACGTAAATTCAAGATTGCGAATGTTCGTGTTCGCCACAATAGCCATAATTATTTATTTTTGTTCGGGCCCGTTCTAGCGCCGCACAAAATAAACGTTGACGGTGTTTATGAAATTTGTTTACGAATTTCTTAAGGAGAGATACGACGTAAACGAAATTACGAAATCAGCTAGGTATAAATTACGAAGATAACGAAGCGGATCTGCATTTGTTGCGTAAATATAACTCCATCTTGAAATAACAATTTCGTTTTCGGTTTATACAAAGGAGGGAAACACAAAGCGTATCACTCTGCGGAACGAGTCCTTTCGTATTTATTTTTGATTTTGGAATTTGTAGATAAATTAATCTTGTTTGCGGGAATCGGAGACGATGTGGAATATTGTTTTGGTTTTTTGATATATCGCCATGACGACGCGCTGCGCGACACACTCCGGAACGAGAAAGAGACATCTCCGGAAGAAATTAACGCGAAAGAGTCATCCCCGAACTTTGTTTAGCTGTCACTCGAGGAATTTCATATCGGCAAAGCGTAATAATTATTCTCGAAGACAAAAGCAAACTAATATCCTCCACCTTTCCTCGGTATTTCCAGTCATAATCCCGGCGACAATTAATTAAAGGATTAAGTCATCTAGGGGCGGCTCCTAATTCGTCCGGTCGACTGCAGTACAAATATCGGCGGCGTAAAAGCGACAGACACAAATTCTTTTACGAGATTTGTCTTAAACCGAATCATTTCTATTCATACCTAACCCTATTTCACCTCGCGCATCACTTCCAAAGTGAAATAAACTTCTTTGTTTCAAGTCTGCTCATAAAAAAGTAATATCAGGAGACCTATACATTTAGAACCACTCAGAGAAGCTGAAGTGGCTTGAAGGATTTAGAAATATTGTCGCAAAAGGACGGAGGAGCTAGGACCTGGAAAAATACGAAGGAAATCGAAATTGGGCTCGATGGCGGCAATTAAGCGGAGAACAAATAGGTGGCGGTTTGTGAGAGGCGGCTCAGCTTTTTCTGAAAACACCGCAGCAGCGAGTCAATCGTTAGTTATTCATTTCCGTGGAAATGTAGCGATTTTTGTGATAATTCGAAGCAAGCCACCACAACACTCCCCGCTAAAGAGTAAAAATGCTCCAAGAAAACACAGGCACTTTTAACGCTTGTGTTAACATTTTTAGCTTTTACCCCTCCGTCGGCTTTGCGGCGGCCCCGCGAAGAAACTTTATTGCTCCGCATCCATGTACGGGCGTCCTTTATGCATGATTTAAAGGATGTTCGAACGCTTTATGCCGGCTTTAGCCCAGTTCATATATAATGCCTATATGAATAATTTGCGACCTTAAGCAGGGACTTTATGTGGTTGCATGTACCGCATGATTAAACACGCACGCGGGGTCGCCGTCACATGCCATTTACCAGGTCCTTATCGGGCCGGCTCTACCCCAGGACCTGCTTAAAACTCCACCAAGCAGGAACACCTGATTGACAACACTTCCAGCGCATTGTGTGCCTAATCGCAGATACAATATGAAATATGGCGGTTCGGTTGCGCTTAAACTGTTTCGAACGGAGATGGATGGAAATTTGGAATTCGGCGCGATCTTACCGATACGCTAGAGATATGCAAATTATGCAGGGGAGGTGGTGCATATGTCGGAGTTCTGTGGGGAAGTGGTGGCAAACGGTGAAACGATAAACGCAAAGGGGAGCTTATGGAGAAGGGCTGCCAAGGGCGCTCTAATTCGGACACTTCAACTACTGAATAGTGACTTGTTGATTCTTTTTTTTTGGAGGATCAAAGTTAAATCGCCTCCCCTCACTACAAGTATATTCAAGTTCAGTGGCACACCGCACTTAATAATGCACGTGGGGGAGAACTGGAGTTAAATCAGTTATAGTAATAATGAATTGTGAATTAAAAGAAAAAACTGCGACTTATTTTTTCTCGGAATTAACAATACAATGTGTTAACAATTAAAAAAAAATGCACGTGTAACAATCAACAAAATAAAATAGAAGTGAAGTGATAGGCCTCTACAAATCCGTTCGTGGTAATAACAAGAGCAGAAATGTAATTAAGACAACAGAGATCGATTACAACTGACATAACGGGACACTCAACCCACACTAAACTGGTGCCTGCATCACGTTTGGTGGTGGGGAGAAATAAATCCCAAACAGCTAACAGTGATTATGAGTAACTAAAATGTTGTAAAAGATCCAAATGAGAAGAGTGTCGTGAGAGAAATTATGAGCACTCAAGTCGACATTATTTAATAAGGCACGATTACAATACGACGAACATATCCTGGAGAGAAGTGCTGCTCACAACGCAAAATCCCAAGTAACGATTTGTATTCATAACAACTAATAAGTAACAGCAAGTCGTCAGGATTGTGCCAGAGAGAGCAATTTTGCTCATATTAAATAATTCCCGTAACTACGTCGACTTCATAACGACAAGCTCTCACAAAAGAACAGATCTAATGTCAAGGTCGCATTTGTATTCACGTCTACAACTAATATCTTTATCCAATTACGTGGAGTTGTTTGTCGTTTGTTGGTTGAAAATCTAACATCGTTTCCCGACACAAAGACAAGACAAGCTTAAACAATAAAATAAAAGAATCACAAGAACGAACTGAGCTTGGTAAAAAATGACAACGTTCATACCAGTTAGGTTCTGCGTGAATTAAGAAGCGACAAGCGTCCACGACACATTTACTATTCGCGGTTGATTAAATCACTTTTTTATCGTATTTTCCTTCCAACGAACAACGATGAACACAATTTCGCTTTCCAGCGCAGCCGAATCGATAGCCTCACATTTCCTCATGTTCATTAGAAAGGATTTAACAGCGAATTTCCGATATCACAGCAACTAAATGGTTTATAGAACGTAATGGCCAACAATATTGAATCCTTAGCACGCATTCCGAGCTTTTTGGTGGCTTTTATTCAACCGTAAAGGAAGGAAGCTTGTGTTTTTTACTTAAAATTCACGTCATGAGTATCGTCAGCTTCCCTATATTCTAGGAAATATGTATGAAGCAAGCTTAAGTATATTTCGCGTATATGAGAGGGATGAGGAGAGGTCTGTCGGGAATAATGTTATGGAAATATTACCACTTTCATCAGCGGTAATATTTTAGGAAAAAGGAATCATTTTTGGTACTAAAATTTTAGCGAACCTTTCGAAAATGTAGCCAAATTCAGCCAAATTCAAGATTTAAGTAACAATATAGTTATATAAATATATAAAATAAGATATTTCTCATTATTTACAAACCTTTAAACAGTACTATATTTAGGAGAAATAATTTCAGTTTAGAGACGCGTGCCATCAATTTGATAAAAAATATTGCTGATTATTTATTCATTTTTAAAAATTTCCGGAGTGCGTCACCACAACACTCCCCACAAAATAGTAAAAAGTCTATAATCGTTTTCAAGTGTTTCAAATATCTTCTTATTCAAAGAATACATTAAGAACAAAGAAGAGTAATAGAAACATTTTTGGAAACAACCAAAAGAACAAGTCAACAAACAGATAAAGAATTCAAAGCTTTCGAGCAGATTATTTTTTCGTTTGAATTTTAGTGTATGTTTTAAAAATTAGAAAAATGCGGTTGAGTTCAATATTTGGAAGAAACAATTTCATTTCAGAAGGCGGGTTATCATTTTGATAAAGAATATCGCTTATTATTTGCTACTTTTTAAAATTTTCAAGAGCAAACCATTACAATATCCCCAACAAAAAGGAAAAAGTGGGCGTCTTTAATTTTTCAATATTTCGTGAAACCTTTGACGCAAGAATACGGCAAGAATAACAGAAAAGGAAACACGCTAATAAAAAAGAACTTGTTAAAGCAGAAGGAAGAAAATATAATTCGAGAACAAATATTTATATTTAATGTAACCCACACGCCGCTCCAGTACGTTTGCCCCACTCACCCGCCAGTCCTCCATAAACCCTGTAATTCCCCTATCACCCCGATTATCGAAAATCGCGTGATACCACGTGAATAACGCAAATAATCCCTTTCTCGCGCCGTATTTATTTTATCAAATCCCGTAAAATTACAGTTATTATCACATGTCGTGCACTTACCGGCAGCGATGATATGAAAAACACAGGGTACTCGTTGCGTTCCAATTCTGTTGCTCGCGTAGCACAGCAGCGTCCCGTAGTCGAGCTCGGTCATGGGCGTGTACGAAACTACGCTGGACGTGCCGCTGCGGCTGATGTGGGCCTGAGCCACGTCCACGGAGTCGGCCGAGTTGTTGAAGCTCCAGCGGAATTGTATGTCGGAGGGGTTAGCGTCCACCTGGCAGGTGATCTGGGCTTGCTCTTGCTTGGCCACCCCGTAGATGCGGGTCTGGTTGGGTTTGCAGGTCGGAGTGTCTGCGAAAAAAAATTCGAAAGGGTGCGTTTTGGAAGGGTTGAGGTACGTACACATGACGTTAAGGTAGAAGGCGTTGCTCTCGCCGTCCCCTTCGGTGTTGTAGCCCACGCAGGTGTAGTTCCCGGCTGTGGATCGCGACACCCCTTGCAGGACCAAACTTTGATTGGCTATTATGATCCCCGCTTGGATGTTGATGTTGAGGACCTTACCCTTCAAAGAGAAACACTTATTGAAAAACTTTGTGACGGGTCGGCACTTAATGGGCACTTAACATCCGCCAACTTAGAGAAAATACCAACTATGTGTACGGCGTAATTCGAAATTGGAGTTTGGTTGTCCGAGTTGCTAACTTGGCGAAGAAAAAAATTGTTGTTTATGCTGCGGGAGGGGGGTAAGTGCGACTTAACGTGCTTCGATTTGACTTTGTCGAATGGTATAAAGTTTTCAAGAGTGAACAGCCACAATACTCCCCAGAAAAGAATAAAAAATGTATGTATATCGTTGTCAATTGTCTTTGAATTCTAAATATTTTTGTAAATTCTTTGTGAAAAATGTTAAGAACTACAGGAAAAAGTATAATAATGAAAAAAAAAATTACTTAAATGTTCACATGGCTATGTCATGTTAGTAGATTAGTAGTAGTTAGTAGAATTTATATACAGATTTTTTAAAATAAAAATCATTAACACCCTTGTCTTCATAACTTTTAATTGATTGCCCAGAACTAGTCTTGGGTATTGAGATAAGACATTTCCAGATTTGTGTTTGATGTTTGCAGTGTTCAATATTCGTAGCAGCTACATAAAGTACAGTGCAAGCGTCCGGAATAGAATTATGGAAGTCATTCATGTAAATCAAACACAACATCAAACACAATATAGATCCTCATAAGATGAACTACTTTGGTATCCGAAAATGCATGTTTTAATATCTTTTGCAAATGAATAACTAACACAGAATTCAAACTTTCCGAGACAAATTAGAAAAATATAACCGAATTCAATACATGTAAGAAATAATTTTACTTTAGAAACGTGGGTTATCAATCTGGTAAAAAATGTCACTTATTAGTTGCTAACTGTTAAAGTTTTCACGATTAAGCCACCACAATACTCCCTACAAAAATGTAAAAAGTGTGCATAATATCGTTTATAGGTATCTTTAACTTCTTAATATTTTGCAAACAGAAGAGCAAACTACAAAATGTAAGTTAAACCTTCCAAGAAAATTACTTTTTCATTTTAATTTTAGCGCATTTTCAAAAATTAGAAAAATGTGATCGAATTTAACATTTGGAAGAAGGAGTTATACTTCAGGGACCCAGTTATCGTTTTGATGAAAATTGCGTCTTATGCTACAGGAGGGGAGTAGGCGCGACTTACGTTGTGCTTCCACTCGACTTTGTACACCGGCGGATGTGCGTTAATGACGCAGTCGAAGTAGACGTCTGTGCCTTCTCTTATGGAATCCGGATTGAGCGAAGTGCCCAGAATTATCTTCGCCTCCGGGGTATCTGTAACACCAGCCCTAATTACCCTCGGATAATGTCCGGAAATTGTCATTTAGCCAACAGTTATCCCCCCGAACGCCACAGTTCAAATTTAGCTAATTCTCGAATATGGATCTCGAGGAGGATCCGCGTCCTCTTCAATTTTGCGCGCGGAGCAAATTAAATTGTTTACGGAACAAATAAGGTCTTGTCTTTGTTTGTTTTGTTTAATTTCGCGATGGGATAAATTCGCCGGTCGGTGTTTAATTTACCGCTCGAAATTAATCTTCAATTACGGAAGTGGGCGGAGGGTTAAAAACCAAAAGGCTGAGGAAAAAGTGGAGCGGGAGATTAATGTCGAGGCGAGTTTTGATTCGGTTGCACGCACCGGTTCACAGGAGACAAAGAGGACGCGACTTCAGGTAAACAAGAACTCGCTTTGATTGCTCGGTTGGATTTAGCCTTTGGGCAACCGAACTAACGCCGAAATTCTAACCATTAATTCCACATTCTAGACAAACTAGTTTCTTTGAAACCATCAAAATTTCGAAAACCTCACCGTTTCGCTTTTTCTTACACTCCCACTCGGATTTATAATCCATACTCGTTAATTCGAGCAGTCACTGCCGCCTGAATAATCGCTTTTTCGCGTTTCGCGCTAGGAACGGTGGAAGAAAAAAATCTCACAGTGTATTTCCAATTTCCACTTGTCTTCGAGCCTATCAGCAGACATCATCTTATTTTCTGCACGACACGATAGATATTTTCCGTCGTCCTCCTTCCTGGGTACGAATGATAGAGTGCTGGTGGTTGTGTTGCCGTCGTTGGACGTCTGAAACAAATATGCATCTTGTTAGCATTTACGTGTTGAGGTGTCACTCGCTTTTATAAATTATACACGATGTTAACATGATATATTACACGACGCGGGGAGTTTTTGAGCCGAAATGGAAGTTTGGGGTTAAGTATGTTGTTGTGTCGAAGTTTGACGCGGGATCATTTGTTCGAGGTGGTGGGACGATAGCGGTTCTTGGAGGACGTTTAAGTAAGTCTTTTTTAGAACAATAGTGACAGTAAGTGGGCTTCGGGAAAAACGGACACGGAGTTTCGATATTAGATTATGTGTAAAATTAGTTATTATTATCCCGGCGCATCCACCATTTGTATATAATGGAAAATTAATGTTATTCCAAATGGTGTGAAAAAACACTGATCCTATCGTAAATCCTTTCAGTATCACGAATTTGTGCTTCTTTGCTCTGTTTCACCACAAATAATGGAGAAAAATACGTATTTACCCAAAAAATTAAAATTGATTAGGTCGGTCCGAAAAAAGGTTTAGTTGTCGTGATTTCAATCTTTGTTTATTAATTTTTTTGATATATCAATTAAATGCTAAAATTCTTGAAATAAATATGTATGTAGTGACTTCAAAACTTGAATTGCTTATAATAGCACTTTTCATTTACGAGAAAAGTAGCATTAAAAATTGAAGACACTCAGTAAACTGCTTATTGAATTTCGCATTAAAAAAGGAAAATTCAATTCGACTCCAACGTTAACGCAACCAGTAAACATCTTAGCTCGAACTTCGCTCCCGGCCTCATCTTCCGCTCCCTCGGGTCAATGCCGCCGCCGTTTAACTTCTAGTGTCATAACCTCCCAAACGAGAAAATAATTCGGAAAGCTATTTTGTATATGACGCAATAACAATAAAAGCCGGCTTTCACTCAAATCTGTTGCGAATATCAATCAATAGACCTCATAACAAAACCCACGCCGCTCCGGAATATTAATACCATAAAAGGTTCCACCATTAAAGTAGTCAGAGAATCCAGTTAGAGAAAATATCCAATGCATATAAATGAGACTCTCTGCATCATATTCCGTATAATGAGAGATTCTAAACACCCGGGAGACTTTAGGATGAATTAATGTCAGGGCTTGCATAAATGCAACAAACACAGAAAATAACTCGAACGGCGGAGATGTGAGGAGGAATTTTTATGCGGCTGATGGGAATCCCATTCTCTGCATTTCTGCTGTCCAATTTGAATGCGTTCGCATGAATGCTGCAGCGGAAGAGTTTGCAGGGAGATCGGCGGATGTGGCATCAATAGTGCGAGTTGAGTTATTGCAAATTTTTTGCAGCGTTGTTGTTGCAGTGTTCGGTGGGCGCTGGGAGTAATCGGGATTTCGATGTCTGACTGGATTTTACAGTTTGGCGGTGTGTGTGGTGGCAGATACTTTTGTAAGCCACTGGGAAAGAAAATACCGCAATGAGTTCTAATAGATTTTTAGGACTTTGTCGTGCATCTCGTTTGAAACTCTTATCGGGAAAGACTCTACTGATAACATATCTACATTATTAGATTTGAAAAAAATATAAATTTTACTAATTAATAGTGAGAAAAATGTTCAGATTTTAGATAAAAAATAGGAGTATTCTGTTTTCTGATCAATTTAAAAAAGATTTTCTGGAATAAAAATGGTGGATGCGCCGGGATAGCAATTAAATTGAGGTAAATATTTTCTTTGCGAATTTTTAAGAAATATTTCTTTAAATATTTTAATACCTTGGACAAAATAACCAACTAAGCTAACTAAAAAAGACTTTCGTATACGTTTTCCAAGACGCGGCATCGTCCCACCGTCTCAATGATCTAGTTTTTGAAATGACCTGATAAGATAGGTCCGGATTCGAGCCGACATGACCTGCTTGGTTTGACTTATAACCCGAAATGCACTGATCTGATCTGACTTGGTCTGATTGTATCTGACCTAACTTCTTAGTAGACATTTTTTTTTTACAAAATTTGATCTGACTGGATTGAGATCACCTAAACATGACTTGAACTGATTTAACCTGATCTGATCTTATCTAAACCGATTATATTAATTAATTAACATGTCCAAGTTATAATTTATGATGCAAAAATGTGTGCACGCTATTTAGTACTAAGGAGTGAATAAAAACAAGAAATATTAACGCGTAGCGGTACAAATATGAAAAAAACCCTTGGTATAGGTTTAATTAGACACGAAAATCTCCATAATTATTATTAGACCGATTTTTGAAGTCTTGTCACTTGAATATGAACAACGTTAGTTATGTTGCGCCTCTCCCAAACCCTCATCCACGTCTTTTCCACCTAATTTCACATTACTGTTCGAATTTTCATACTTTGTGAATGTTGAAATTACCTACATCAGGAGCAGATGTGCCTTTGGCTATCATTTTAGCATAATATTTCGCTTTGTTGATTGCCCTTTAATTAATTTTAAGTTTATGTTCAGTGCTATCGTTAATTCTGGTTCTCTTCATAGCATCGTTTTACATAATATTCACTAGATGGGTTATGAAATAATCATAACAATACAATAACCACAAAATACGGTACGGAGGGAATTGGACCGAAATGGAAACAGTAAGCAGATGGAAAATAAGTAGGTATAAATAACACTTAATGAGTTCCAGCATTACACAGCTGAAAACAGAAATCCACGATGCGTTCTGCACCGCGACTCGACCATTTTGTTTCGAAAATGTTGGCAATACTGAATATGGGTTTAACGTTTATACCTCGACATTTTAGAACAGTGGCGTCTCCTGACAAGAAACGCGTTATCACCTCGAACTGCACTACAATAACACAAAATTACAAATTCCCCACTGCCGCTTCCGAGTCAGCTACAATTACGCCTGCGGAAAAATCAAATCGATACCGAATAATTGCCGAAATCAATCTACACGAGCGTCTAATAAAAGAACACCGAAACAATAAAACTGTATTCAACTTCAATAACAAAACACAAACGCTAGCGTGATTAAATCAAACGATTCGGATTCACCTCTGCACAATAAAAGCTGCGTGCAAATTTGCGCGAGCTTCCCAAATGAACACGGCCAAACGGGCTTTCATTGTTCTAGTCGTCACGAAATTGCGAAACAAAAAAGTTGCGTTTTCAATAAATGATGGCAACCGGGCAGAAATGAGCGAATGCAAATCGGGGGCGGCAAGTTGGGGCTCGAGGTCTGGGCCGGCGAGCGAAGTGCCGGACTGGGACGACCGGAGGTTTGTTTTAGTTTTTGATAAGGGGGGAAGCTTCGCTGGGGAATACGGCTGGGGAAATTCTTATACTGAGGGTTCGTGTCTTTGAAAAGTGCAAAGGTATAAAGTTTTTTTTTGTAGCGAGGTTTCAGTTATGGACAGTGTTTCTTAAGTTATTAGTGGTTTCTTACCGTTTTCTTGGCTCCTTCCAATCTTTGTCCGTTCCGCCACCAGGTGATGCTCGCTGGCGGCCTCGATCCGGAACTCTGACACAGCAGATCGTATCTCCTCCCCGCCGACAAGGGCTGGTTGGCTCCCAGGATCTTCACGTCGAGTGGTCCAACTGCAATAAGACCACTACATCACTACCAGCCTTTGTACTAGAAGAGTCTCAATTTTCATCAACCAGGGATTGTTTGTTGCCTGGTCTTATTTCTCGAGAGCGGATTTTGATCAATCTCTCCAGCAACATGCGTCGTGGAAAAATTGCGAATTAAGTGACTCGTTAAAAACAGACAACTAAACCACCTGCGCCTGAGAGTTACATCAAGTTTTTATTTCATTTGTTCATTCAAACGGAAATCTCCTATATTAATTTACAGATAAACAATAGCAGAAACTAAACAACACATTCAGAACTAACTAAATATTATTACACGTAATACCATATTGTACTAAATCTAACAGTCTAAACATTTGTGAGAAAGTACCCAACCGAATACGCCCATCAACAATTATTTACAATTACTGAAAGTTCTATTATAAACAAAATTATTGAATTTAATAAAAGGTAAAATGTATCTCTTGAAACATACTTATTTCCAAGTTCGTCAAAGCGAAAATTAAAAACAGATTTAGAGAAAACTCGAAACAATGATAATACAATAAAATGACAGATATAAGAGTACGCATCTCTGTTACTATACTATTTTAGATAAAAATGTCAAATGTATACCAATAGGTAGGACCTTCAGCCGAGACATCGCTATGTCCTGCCAAGGGAATTATCAATGAATCGACGATTAAAAGCGACCATTAAAAATGGTCGAATTTCGCGAATGAAGCCATCCATGCGATCCGGAAATTACGCGAAGACAAACAGCAAAAACGCATCGAGTGTTGTGTTTGCTCGAGTTTATTTAACCGGCGAAAAATTACGTTATAAGGTGACACTTTGTCATGGGCAAACATAAGAGGCATAAAAAGGCCTGTGTACACAAATAAAGAGACCGCACACCTTCCGCCAACTCGTTTAACTTTGTTTGTGCAAGTGAAACTTATTTTCGCCGCCCCTCGTAAAACGGCGTAATAGCGGGGGCAGAAATTGCTTCTGATAACGCTTTACATAGTTCTTGTAAATTAATTTGCTTGTTAATAGCTGGAGGAGAAAAGGAGTGCAATAATGTGTTTTTTTTTTGACGAAGTTTGCACGGCTTAATGCAGCGCTGTAATGAGATGTCAAGATAGGGAACGTTGTTAGGGCATAATGAGAAATAAAATTCTCTTAAAATATTTTATGATGAGACGTTATTATTTCTCGAGTGGCTTCATTTTGGGGATTAGAGGGTTTGCGGGAGCTTATTAAGTACAAATAAGGCTAGAGCTGTCTAAGAATTGTACGGCTTCCAGGTTTGATGGGTTGTTGCTGTTTACGAGACTTTGTCTCGAAGATAGTTTGCAGCACTTCAATTATTTCGAAAAAAATTATCGTTAACGGCAACAATGGAAGACCGGGTTTGAAAATGGTTGTTTCAACAACTGAGAGATATTTTTGAAGTAGCTACTCAAAATTTTGTATTCAAATATTTAGATATTCTAAAGTTTTTTAAAAAACATGTCTTTCCTTTTTTCTGGGACAGCATTGCTCTTCCGGTGTTTGTGCACGATTGGTAAAAACGACGTAAGCTTTTCTCCACGAGCTACCATTGTTGCAACAAGTTTCCCCAACTAAAACCTTCTTACAGCTTGAACAATACCACTGGGTTCAATAGGCATCCAGACTCGATCTTTTGTGAGTCGGTACGTTGATAAATATCACAGATTTAAAATCCACAGTGTAACGTAAGTTCTTTTTTACTTTCCTACACTCCGAACATGTGCTCGTTCTTTATTTTTCGCGTCCCTGTAAAAAATGATATAATGGAAAATTTATTGCGGCGTTATTGTGGAGGCAGACGTTTCCATAATTTCTTACGTACGCAAAGAAATTGCAACAACAAGAAAAAAACTAAGATTGAGTTTTGTGAGTTTAATTTGTCTTCAGGTTTCAAATACGCGCTTCTCGTTTTCGTTACGTTGTAATTATCTCTGATTAAACGAAGAAAAAAAAATACCCCTGATATACTGAACAAACGCTCGATAATGTTGACCTATGGTATTTTCTGTGTCTTCTGAAATAATTTGCTATAATACGTAAATGTCAGAATTGTTCCTAAGTGTCAAATTCATCGGAAATGTTTCATCGCTTTGGTTGAAGGTAGTTTTTGATTTTCAACAAATGATATAGTACTCGGTAAAAAGTTTTTGAAGAACATTTTGCACTGTATAATACCTTATTACGAGCATCGATAGGAAAAGTAACTGTTTTCCGTACTAGACGTGATATTTTTCATCGAGACGAAGTCGACCTAAAAAAAGTCGTGTGTGGAAAAAAACTTTTCCTATCATGTTACACACATGACTTTTTCTGCGACAGTTTGAGTAGCTTCTCAAATTCAAAAACCTTATTTGACAAGAAGTTGGATCAGGTCAGCATAGCTGGCCGTTACTATGGAGAGATTAAAAACACTTTGTGAGAGAAACAAATATTGTAGGAGTACGTGTACAATGTTTTCTCGAACAAATATCTGATATAAGATCATAGTTTGCTTTTATTTTTTAAGAGAAAATTAATGACTTCGCCGCGTATACGTTTTTCATTTATATAAATTGACAACGCAAAACTCTATCCGTAATATAATCCAATAAGAAAAACGGGCCTTCGCTTTTTCTTCTAATCGCAGTAGAACATGGCATTTTAATGAGATTTTAGTAATATTTTGTGCAGTTTGTGCATGTTTTTCCGTTTAAATTGACCTACAATAATCATCATATTGGATAAAATAATTCAATTTGTGTCGTTCAGTGATTACTGAGTGCGGCAGCGCGAGTACATTCCTAGCTTGACGGGCTCCCAGGACATGTCACAATGCTGACGATGGGGTTTTGAGGAAGACCAGCTGATCGAAGTCTTTATCTCGGGCTTTTTGTATACTGCCTGAGTATAGTTCGAGATGGCTCGTTTCACGGGGTCGCGCACTTTGACAAATGAATGGATCAATTTGTGTATTTATTCCGTTTAATTTGTCCTACAATAATCATCACACTGGATAAAATAATTCAGTTTGAGTTGGTCGTTGATTTCTGAAAATAATTTCTAATTTCACTTTGACATTTGGATTTTGCACGCTTAATCCAAAGACGCGATCGCCGAACTTCGACAGTGCGACGGAACATTTCGCGACAAATCGGATCGGGCGCGAATTTCAAAATACGATTTTTAAAATCTTTTTACAGTAAATGAGCGCGATGCAACGATTTGAAAAAAATACTGACCGATTGCCCTCTTCGACCTCCACAAAGGCATCACTCAATAATAGCTTTAAAGTGATCTGTGGAGATATTATAAAATAAAAACCAAAATCTACTAGACCAATCATTGGTATCAGTACCATTTGAGCATACCACGAAAGATAGTTGATTATTTTGCAACCGGGTTTTTGGTATGGTGCAGGAGTAGCTGGTGGAAGACGGTTAAACCAGAATGCCGAAGAAAATACCAGTGATATAAGACTAATTTATTAACTACACTTCTCATACAGCATTATATTTCGGGACATACGTGTACATACACTATAGCTAAGCTTTGGGTAATGGGCGAAACGCTTAGCTTAATGCTGAGCGGCGGTGGTGGAATGGAACGCTGTCATCAAGCCTGAGCGACTATGGTGGAAGCGGAAGGGTGGATCGGAATATCCTCTGGTTGATGCTTGGAGGTGGAAAGATGGAGTGGAATCTCCTTAGGTTATTGCCTAGAGGTGGGAGAAGACACAGAGAACCGGTTGATGCCATCGTTCTCTTTGATTTTTACGCGAGAACCGTCCTGGCTTTATAGGCGGCCATTATTTGACGTCAGTGTTTAACTCTTGGGTGGGTTAGAAGACAGTATGGGGTGGGTTGTAGATTCTAATATGGGGGCTGACCGTTACCAGACGGCACTTAGGCCTCGCATTTGGGTCCATTGTGTCTTCCCCGGCCCATATCAGCGTATCCTCCCGCTCCTCTACTTGTTGAATATACCTAAGTAATACAGACGGTGGGAACTCCTTGATTTTTGCCATACTAGGCCAGATGTCCCCTAGTATGGATTTCTTGTAGGAGGCTAGTGTTGAATACTTACGAAGAATATGCTTAGGTGTTTCCTCTTCCCCACTGTATCCACCATAGATTGGGTTTGTTACTACCGCTATCGTATGTAGATGTGTGTTAAATTGGTAACGTCCCGTAAGGAATCCTACCAGTTGACTCAGTTTGTCTCTTGAAAGTGGGAGATAAAATTTCGCCAACTTACGGTCTGGTATCGTTATGCAAGTTCTGCTGTTCATGGCGTCTATGGGTATAATGCGTTACGAGTTCGTCCGAGAGGGCGACCGAAGACGTGATTGCCCGTTTGGATTCCCAAAAGGGCCATCTTATCTGCCCTCTCGTTTCCTACGTTGCCACTGTGTCTCTTGATCCAACAAAGTACTACCCTAATACTCTGCACCACATACTTTGGCACTTCCATACGAGCCCAGATCAAAAAACGCATTTGTCGAGGGTTAGTAGTGCAGACTTGCGACTATTCTAGCTCCCAACATTATTTCCATCAGTCGTGTTTGCAAGACAAACTAATGGGTGCCGAGAGGTATACTGCACCACTATCTGGTTTGTCTGCTCTTCGTTCATTGATATATTATATATAATTTTGAGCCCATTTATCAATCCATCCTTAACAGAGATATTCTCTTGAACGTCTCCACCAAAACCAAAACCTTAGAGACGTTCTCATTGCCAAAACAAGTCATTCTCTGAATGTGATTAAGTCGAAGGGTTGTTGTTTTTGTTTGGCTCTGGACCACCACATTTAAAGCTCCATTGCACAACATCGGTTTAACTATTGCCGTGCAGATACAGAGGGCAATCCTGGAGTTTAAACAGCAGTACCTTCCCCCCTTACGACATTGCCAAAGAGCCGAGCGTACTTTTTCCACTGCCAGCAAAGGGTGCTTCTTCAGGTGGAATTTGAGGCAACAAAGAAGACCTCGTACTCCATGCTGTTGGGATTGTAACTGAAAAGAGGGGTTAGTACGTAGGTTTTGTATGCTTAAAGTGGACGTTCTTATGCATATGACCAGTTGCTTTGTGCTTGAGACTAAAAACCACCGGCGAAACGACCTTAGTTACTCAGAAGGGACCAAAAGATTTCAGGGCTAACTTGGCGGCAAAACCCTTGGCGACGCATGACAAGGAATGTCCTTTCTTCACCACGCGGTCCCCCACATGACACGTCCAGTCTCTACGTGATGGACGGATTTTCATGTGTGGTGAGATCGGTTTCGCAAAAATTTTGAAATGCCGAAGAAAATATGGTGGACTTGGGTTCTGACGAGTTGATAACGAGCATGAAGTTGTTCAGGGCTTAACACCATGTAAGTTGACCTTTGTCGCAGTATTGGGCGCTCATGATATTGATAACAAATAGCTCTAGCTCTAGTTTTTCTCAGGGAGTGACGGTCGTGGATCTAGTGTAGCTATATCAAACCTGGAGTAGGTCGCTGACTGATCCTGAATTGCTGATAGAAATCGCACTTGCCGCTAGTAATACTTATTAAACGCTGATTGGGATATGGTTTTGAGGTAGGAGCGTCGTGATTTCCAGCTTCCAAGGGTCTCTAAATTCATTTACTCGCAACTCGGTTCGATCATAGAAGAGGCGGTATAATCTTTCAACTTCGATTTTAAAGTCGGGAAACATATCGGGGCAGATAGAGACTTAAATTTCGTATCATACCATTTGCAGTCGGTAATGGAGTTAACGATGGCAACTTCGGCCGTATCTACGTCTTCTGCTAACGGTATAGGATGTCGGGAAAAGACGTTGGCTACCTGGTTTAGCAGCCCTCTTAGATACACGACCGCAATGTCGTATTCTTGCAACGACATTATCCCGCGTGTGAGGTGACCAGAGGCTTCGGTTGCCTCAGTAAGCAGTTCAAGGACTGATGGTCGGTTCCGACAATAAAATGATCACCCTTTAGATATAGACGCGTTTTCTGGATTTCTTCTCGGATTTGTCCGTTGATGCTTCAATCCAGTGAATGCGGCTTCTTGTACGCTTGCCATTTCTACTGATGATTCTTCTTAAGGATCAGAGTCAGCGGCGGTGCGATTTATAAAAACGCGGGTACAAATTTTCGGTATCAGGACGCCACTCTTAGAAAACGACGTAATTAAAGAATGGACGTCGGCGGCGACATGAGTTGGATAGCTCTCATTTTGTCGGGGTTGGTGGCAATTCCATGTTCGTAAACAATATGTCCGAGATGCTTCAAGGATTTCTGGAAAAATCTTGTCCAAAACAATGGTGTCGTCAAGGCAGGCGGATGCTTTGCGGTCCATTTCCTGACCCAGTACTACATCTAGGAAAGTCGCACAAGACGAATGGAGACCGAAGGGAATCACTTGCCTCTGAAATAGCTCGGTAGACTCTTGTACCCTTTCAAACTTTGTCATTTCTTCATGGATGAAGATCTCTCTTGGCAGCTTAGTCGGTGCTTTGCCTCATGATACTTGGCTTGTCAATCCTGGGAAACTAGAAAAGTGACTGGCCGGGGTTCTATGTTGTACAGTCCCCTGGGAGTTTGTTGGCTTCGGTTTGTACATGCATTTCACGGACTTCACTTCTCTTCGGCTACATTGAGGACATAATTGCTGTGGAGGTTGATTACAGGCGAATCTTAAGTGATCGGTCTTCCCGCATCTCTAACACATCTATTAATTCTGGGCGGTGTGCCTTATTGGGGTATTCAATCCCAAAGGTGACGTTATTTGACAGAGGGTGGTGACGAGCGCCGATCTTTCCGACTCGGATCCACGGGAGGACTAAAGTATCTCTCGGTACGGTTTTTCAACTCCGGTTTTACCTTGAAACTTGCTCTGAGTTCTTGAGCTGGCTTCTCATACTCTTGTATTTACAGCAATAACTCATTGACGGATTTTACATCGCGGAGACAGATATACTGGTGCTATCTGTTTATAACTACAGCTTATCTCTCGGTCGGCATTCCAAGCTCTTAGAAGTCGGATTAAAGTGTACATATAAACAAAAAAATCTCGGCTCTTCTCTTGAGGTATCTGTATCCTTCGACAGATTTCCTCTTCTAGATCTTCCTGATTCTCACTCGGGACGAAATATATTCTAAACATGCGCACAAAATTGGTCCAAGTACGCAATTAGTGACCTTTATTACGGTATATCAGAACTCCTTGACTGTCTCTGCTCCGACGCAAAATTTCTTGCAATCCGGTTTTCGGTGACGTGTGGTAACTGGTTCGAGATGGTTAAACTAGGACGCCAAAGAAAACCACCAGTGATATAAGATTAATTTATTAAACACATTCCTCATACACTTCATATTCCGGGACACACATATACATTATAACTAGGCTGTGGGTCGACTGGACTTAATTTTTCCCACAAATATTTCCGTAATGTTGAATCTTTATCAAAACAGAAATAAAGCGATATGCCTTTACAAAATCGTTTCCTTTAACAGCAAAAGTAGAAATGCAATTAAAGCAACAGAGGTCGATTTTAACTGAAAAAGTAAAAAAAAACAAACAAACAAATCACGCTTGGTGGTGGGTAGAAATAAATCACGACCACTCAACACTAGTGGTAACAATTGTAAATTCGGGTGTTAAAATCTATGAATTTTGATTTCGTGTAAAACGTGATCCCTCTTTACTAGTTACAGTTTAATACCTAAAATAGAATCTGGCTTTCGCAAAATACATAAATTGCTAATTCGCAGAATAATTCAATTTCAAAATATCTCTTCAACGAAACTCTCAAATTACATATAATAGCGTCGTCCGACATACAATTCCACTCCAGGTGTATCAATAAATCAAGCTAATCCCGATCAGGATGCAAATTATATGCATGCATCGACATAGCCGCATACACCTACCTATCTACCGCCTGTCAATAGCAGCCTACTTACAATTCATGTCTACGTGGAGGGTGGAGGCGAGGGGCGCCGTTTTTGGGTTATTGGTCGCCTGACAGGTGAGCTCCGAGTGGACGTCGCGACGTCCCAGACCTGTTATCCTCAGCTCGCTGCGGACGTGCGTCGTCCCGGCGCTCGGTAATGCCACGCTGACGTTACTCACCACGACGTCGTTACGAAACCATGTTACTGTCGGCAGAGGCTTAGCTGGAAGAGCAAAAATAAAACATTTAGGGCTGGTGGAACGGAGCGAGGGCTGATTGCGCTCGAATAGTCGCCGGGGACGAAGGCGATTTGGGGGTGTTGAGACGGTTGGTGTACGATTTTGTGGCGAATGGGTCGCTGGTTTGCGAATTTTAATGTTTATTGTTCTTGGCAAATATTGCAAATTGCAGTGGAAGTGGAACATCGTAACTTTTAACACAGGGGAAGCAATCATTAACAATCATTTTGGTTATAACAGCGGATGATTAGCTATTTATTCTGAACCATTACAAAAATTATTTGACGGGGTCTAATAGAACTCAGTTAGGGCTAGACTTTCTAAGTTTTTTTTATTTGTTGTTTGTAGAATAGGAAAAATTCTGAAAATAGGCCTTATAAACATATTTTTAGAGTTTATGAAAGAGGTATCCCATCGTGCCAGTTAAATTTAGAATTTTCTTTTTTACCTAGTTACCAGTGCATTTAAAAACACATTTTATCATTCTGATTCACAACCACATCATTGGCATTGGCCAATACTTGTAATTTTGAGAACTGACGTAACTTGTTTACCAGAATTTAGTTCGTTTTACACATATTGTGATGGTAGGAGATCAAAAACTCTATATTTATACCCTCATATGTCAATCAAAGTTACAAAATAAAGAGAGTTCAATCAAGATAGTGACAAAACTAACAGGAAACTTAATTGAAATTGATCTATTGCTTCTTAGGAGCTATACAATAAGCTAAACAAATAGTTTTGATAGAATCATCGGTGTACAAATATATAAAAGCGTAAAAACTCAGGTCATAGTAACCGTCTCCGAAAACGACAACACAATGCAATTAATCGTGTTGCTTTTAACACCAGTAATTTTGACAAATGCTGCAGACCTCAACAGCTTAGTACCAGGAAATGTTGCTTTTTCCGGAAATATGTACTATGTAAGTAATTTATTCTAAAGTTTACTAATTTTACTACTTTTATTACTTCGTAGTATGTTAAGCATCGGCAACAACAGGGACCTTATCTTTTGGCTCCATTTTCTGTTCAAGCCGTTATGGGTCTAACGGAATCGGGGGCTAAATATGTGACTGCCCTAGAAATCAGAGACATAGTGTTTTATATACACAACACTGACGACATAGAAGAGGCAATGGAAGATGCTTTGTCCACAATTCCAGCAACCATAACAACGACAATGTTTTCGGATCCTGCTGTCGCAATAACAGATCAATTTAAAGAAATCGAATGTACCAGCTACCTAGGTACTTTAAAGAATATGGAATTCGTCGATGCTGAAGTCGCCGCCTCAAACTTGAACGACTGGGTTGACGAGCAAAGTAACAATCACCTCCACTCTAGTTTTTCTAGTACTGATTTTAATGATACTACAGCAAGTGTTATAGTGAACACTTTACTCATGAAGAGCACCTGGGCGAATCCTTTTCCCGCAGATCGAACCGTGCTTTCAAATTATACTTACTACTCCGATTCTACCTCGAAACCTGTAACCGGAAGTGTATACATGATGACCCAAGAACCTCTTTTGTATAACTATTTCGAAAGCACGGAGTTTGATGCAACATTTTTGGAAGTACCTTTCGATGATCCAGATACCACTTTGACTATTGTACTTCCTAATGCTTGGAACGGCCTTCCCAATCTCGAGTCCTCTATCAGCAAAGTCATAACAGCTCCAAAGTACATACAAAGGCCTGTACAATTCTCATTTCCTCGTATTGAGACATTGGATGGCCCCTGGTCGCTTAAGCAGACCTTGCAAGACAACGTAAGTTGTTGTTTTCTTTTTTTTTTTTTGGAAAAATAAAACTGACACTCATTTCAGTTTGCTATTAGATTGGCTTTTTCTAACACGGCCGATTTTAGTGGTATCGCGGGTTATCCAGGAGATCTTGTAGTTAATGATGTATTGCAGAGTGCTTTCATTGGCTTTAACGAAGACGGATTCGAAGCAGCTTCTGGTACGTAGCTTGTCTTCAATTTAAGATCGAAGGATTTTGTTCATGTTTAATATTAAGTACATAATTTATACTTTTCAGAGGCTGCTACAACGATCCAGTCGTTCCCCGCCCGCACTTTCGAAGTGAACCATCCATTTTTGTTTTATATCAAATATAAAGGAATGGTTCTTTTCGTAGGCAGATTTATTTATTAAGCTTTTGTAAGAGAAGGTGTTGATTTTTCACTAGCTACATTATTGTTTAAATTTGAAACTGAATAAATGTTTCTATGTATACTATACAGTGTGATTATTTAAAATAACCTAAATATCTTATAGATTATAGATTTTTGATGAAATATATGGTCAGTGTATTCTCAAAATACGTCCAAAACGTTTCAAAGAGTATCCGTTCAGTAAAAATGGATACATAAGGTACATATAAGCGGAAATAGAAGAGTTACATCTTCATAATCTAGAAACGTCGAGAAAACATATTTGTGCAAAAAATATCAAATGGAGTAAACTAAGTATAAAATTTCCAACAATATTATGTCGCACATTTTCAAAAGGATTTATTTAGCAAAATTTTTGTTGATAAGAGTATAGTAGTTTCAGAAATTATTTGTATAATAAAATCGGCAGCAGACAGACGGAAACGGAAGACCTACCATAACCTAGGAACTATGAAATGTCAAATGCACCCTGTTTTAATACAGCCGCAGATAACGCTCAGCCAATAAAATTTTAATGTAAAGTGTCAAACTCGTGGAAATCTCTTGAAATGAAAGAATTTAACCAAGCAGAATATTTTTAGTTATTTCTTAATAAAATATGTTTGTAAAGCACCGGATATTTAGCAAATATACTTTAAGAGCTTCAAACTAAAAATTTTATGGGCAGAACTTGAAAGTTCATGTTTCAGTTCGCTGTTTATGTATTTTTTAGGTCTTATTTATCATATTTAGTATTTTACGTACGTAGTGGCTAGTTTAACATTTAAAACAGTTGGAACGTGACAGGAGTGGTTAACCAGTTGTTTTACCGCGATTCACAATTAACAAAAATACTTCCTCCAAATCGGTCTGCGTGTTAATGCGTGCGTTCCTTTTTACAAAAAACACGAATAGCGATGATTAAAACCCGAATCAATTCATACATTTTAATTCAAACAGGCGACTTTAATTCAGAGGAATTTTTAATGAAACAACAGAGGCGCGTTGACATTTAAAAAAGAGCCGGGTTCTCTAATCGATTCATCTACAGATCCAACAAAAACTTGGTATTATTGGAGATGGATTGTTTGCATTCATTACTCGGAATCTAATCATTATTTTAATCAGCGTAATTCATCGGAACCGTCGTTCGTGCCAAAAAATTAATTAGGAAATCTATCGTTGTTTTCGTGTCTGTCATTTTTCCAACGTCTGGTTTACTCACGAAATGCCCTTTTTTAGTTTCAAAACTGTAATTTTCGGAGTACATACGTTACAAACATGTCGCTGTTATAGATTTACTTTCACAAAAAAAGCTTTGTTAGTAATTAGTTGTCGTGCATGATAGCCGGTACACTTACGTCATTGCAGCAAGCGTGTGCTTTGAACTGACCAGTGAGAGTCGAGTGTTTTGCAAGTGGTAACCATTCTTGACCTGGTTCCCCGCCGTTCCATCAATTCAATAAATTTCCTCTGCAGAATAGTGCAGCGTCGCGAATTTCTAACTCCGCACAACAAATTACTGCCATTATTCTACTACACATAAAACACATTTCGGCTTTTCCACCAATACAAACTTTGTCTAGTTGGAAATTTAGATCCTGTTATGCAGATTCAATAGAGCGATTCGACGCGGCTCGTATTTGTCAAAGCGGAGTCGAGTGACTTTCATCATTTTTGCTACTCTTTGTTGCAGTAATTCGTCTGCGCCACCGTGAAATTTTTATATCGGGTTCGTAACGGCCGCCTAGGTGTGTTAACGTGTTGTGTTAAAGACATAAAATGCGCCGCGGTGGGTAAATTATAAATCGAGCCGTGGAGTTGTGGAGTCTTAAAGAGCAAGAACGTGAGGTTATTTGGCGGCCGGAGGTGTGGAAAGAAATTTAGAAATTTCGCTGACTCGGTTAGCATTGAAGAGGAGGTTTTTTTTAACTTTCCGGTAGGACGTTGCTAGAATGTAAAATATTTGAAATGGTAATTTCGACAGATACTTTCAAGATTATGGTCTAAAAATACGTTTATGTGGTGTCTGAAACGCGGAAGTGGCAAATCGTTAATATTTACTTTAATGATTTATGATAAGATCACAAATTTCTACTTTTCCACTTGTTGCACTTACTGAAAATTGTATATATGCAACTTACTCGTGTTGATAAGTATTTTGATTTAAATATTTTCGGAATGTAGGATTCTTAATTTTACTTCTGCTAGACATTGTACGGTCGTAGAATGTTAAAAATAAGTACATATTCCTTGTTCCCGCTTATCCGTTTGTTGCCTGCAGGACTTTGGAAACTTTATAAGTTCTAAGAATGTATATTTTTACTTTCCGAGCGTAAGTTAGAGAGAAGTATTGTAATAAAGTTTATCTGATGAATGGCTGATTTCATGTGTTTTTGACGTTCCATAACTCCCAGAGGATGAAAAAGTGGGTCCTCCGTTTTCGCCTATCTATCGACTGTCGTCTGAAGGCTTGAAATGTCTTGAGGACTCCTTGTGTTTTTTTAATTGAAAGAATTTAAAAAAATCTTGTGGTTCTTTGGTATTTTGTTCTTGAAAGTGTTTGAAAAGATCGTAGAGGTTCCTCGTGTTTTTATTATTTTAAAGAATGTGAACAAATCTTTTGTTTTACTTTTCGAATAAGTTGAAACAATCCCGGCGACTCCTAGGATTTTGTTTTTGAAAATGTTTGGGTGAATCTTGGGGGCTTCTAGTATCTTTTTTTTTAATTACGTAAAAGAGTCTTAAGGGTCCCTTGTATTAAAAAAAAAATGTTAGGGAACACTGCTGTTTTGTTTTTAAGTTGCCTAAGATGTTTAGGAACCCAACTATTCTGTTTTTGAAAAAGTTTCAAAGAATGTTGAGAACTCTTAGACTTTTTTTAAATTAACTTAAAGGAGATAACAAAAAAATAAATTTGAATAATGAAATTTTATAATTTATTTGTATAACTTCAGACGAACTTTTCTTAAACTCAGAAGTTGCAAAGTTTAAAAATAAATGACAAGCACGTCGGGCGCCAGTTTTTTGTTCCGCTTGAGGACATTCTCAACAAAGAAAACAGCACGATTTTTTTTAATTCTACTTTGTTAAAAACTTAGATTTTAGCTGTTTTGCTGCTGGCGCTTGCCTCCATCAAGCTGCAGCTTTGCACTTTACGGTCAATAAACTGCCACTTATTGGACTCGCGGAAAATCATCAAATTTCATTCTAAAAATTTTATGCCACCCGCCGATCTCGCGTTCCATTTAGCCATCGAATTGCTGCTTTACTGTTTGCCGCCAAGCGGCCCAATTTTTCCGTATTTCGTCTAAAAGTATCCGAATCATCAAAAACGATTTTTTACATTTGCCACCATAAATTACAAGCAGCGCCGTAAAACAGGAAAATGCATAAATCCAATTTTATGTTTCGTATAGATTTCCGTATTTATGGGCGTAGGTATAAAAATAAACCGCTACGATATTTGGAAAAATGTATGTCGGCACGTATTTTTATTTATTCAAGCGACTTTCGAAACGTTAACGATGTGTAAATAAACAACGGGCGAGGGTTGAATTTTTTACGGTCGTTGCTGAAAGTGCATTTCTGCGCCGTGTAATAATGAATTATTTTTTATTGTTATTAAGCCTTTATGGAAGGATGTGTTATTTCATGTTCTCGTAAAAACCCTTTGTTATGTCGGTTATTAAGTTTAACTTTAATATCTGGAATGGGCGGCCGAGAGTGAATATTATCTGAATTTTTTAGTGTTCCGGGAGCTTTATGGGGGGTCCGGAGGATAAAACGTTAGTGCGTTCAGAGAGAAACAAGTTTTTGTTTTTTAATTTTGATGAGCGTTTGCAGATTTGTCGAAAACAGATTTTATAAAATTGTGCGGGGATGACAACGTTTCACGAGAGAATTACTATTTTATTTCAGGCTGTTAATTTGCTGAAATCATGTTTATCAACTGTTACGTTCAATGATAACATTACAATACTACAAGCTGATACTTTACATGGACTAAACGCCATATAAATTGGATTTTCTCTTAATCCGATTAAACGAGTTTTAATGATATCTGCATCGCAATTAGGTCCCTAAAACTGTAGCAGGCAAAATTCAGTCGACAAAAATCATTATTTAACGCTTTGTTTTATTCCGTGCAGGGCGTGTCCCGGATGTCATTCCCATTCACACCGGGATTTACCGGTGGTGCCACCTGAGCACAGTATAAACTTTTTAAGAAAAATCACATCAACAAAGGTGTAAATTAAGTACTGGAATGTGGTCAAGAATTTTTTAAAGAAAAACACTTCTTGGTGTAACATCGATAGGCGGGGTTTCCTGGAGGAGTTAATCTACTATTTTTACTTCCGCAAACAAAAAAAAATGGTTCGTGAGTTTTTTGCGTGACGAGATTTGTTGCTTTAGAACCAGGAAACAACAAACTTGATGTATATTTTATGAGTAAGCTTTATTATTGATATTAGAAAGAAGCAGAATCCCTGAAACCTGTAACTTGCGACGTTAAATGCGTTACGATTAAAAAGCACCGTTAAAGCTGGCTCAATTCAAGCTCACCCGAGCACGCACGAAATCTGCAAAATTTACTTTATATTGTATTTTACATAATAATTCATCCTCGGACGGATTAAAACTTTTTTCTCCGGTCCCTTTACGACTCAAATGAAATTTTAGTTTGAAAATCTCCGCAGTTCCGTATTAAATTTAAAGTGTCGTTGAAAAATAACTTCTCCCTCTCGATCCTAGGCAGATGACAGATTATTCTTGCTCGTCTACACGGATTAGAGTGATGCTAGTCTGCTCCGGTTGCCATTTATTCGTTCCACCTTTTCGCTAGTTTTACTAAAATACGGTCTGTGCCGTTTTATGGACATATGTCTTGGGGGATCCGCCGGATTACAACCGGGATAAATTTTTATGCAGTGTTTTTCGTCCTTTTCTTTATGGGGACGCGCGAGGATTACTCCATGCTAAATCCGGGAATGGGTCAAGAAAATGAACTTTGAACATTAAGCTCATTTGAAGGCTTTAACAGTTCCCGGTCTGTGTTTGCTCGAAAAATTACTTCACGACAAT